GTCAGTTGCTTCCCTCCCTTGGCAGCTTGGGTAGTACCTGCTAGCACTGTGGAAGCCTGAGTTCAGGAGAGAGGCCTCCAGGTTAGCTCCAGTTCAATAGTCCTGGGATTTAGATGAAAGTTAACCTTCAGTTAGCTTCAGCCTCTGAGAGGCATCGAGAGGCAACAGAAGAGCCTGTGTATTGTTTGTGGAGTCATTTGGACCCGGACCAACAATCTAAAATATATCCTGTAATTGGTACTGGTTTTGTAGTCTGTGGTTCTTGTGGAGAGCATTGTCAGCTCAAGAGACATAACTTCATCAATCTATATGTATGTGTGTGTGTTGGGTATCAAGTTCTCTGTCCTCCCTTCCCTCTCCCCAGATAGAGCCCCCTCAATGTTTTTCCATTTCCTTCTTCATAACTACCCATATCCTGCTATTTCCTTTTCAGTGTCCCTTACACATCCCCATGGTACCAGATAGGACTATTTTAGACCATTTTGCAGCTCTCCTTCCCTCCTGGGCCACAATGGCCACTTTCTACATTTTCAACATGAGAAAAGACAAGCAGCAGAGAGGATTTTACATCTTTCCCGCCGAGTCTAGTGGATGCCAGCCTTATGAAGGAAAAGCAGCTTTGGCGACACTCAGGTGGATGCCCTGCATAGGCCGGGACTCCCAGACAGTCTCAGCCACATTGGCACAGGTCCAGGTGTGGAGTACCAGGGTGTAGCCACAGGACAAATTCTGTATGTCCAGAGCTCGGCATGCCGGGAGCAAGGGCAGCTCTTAGCTGGCACTGTACTAAGACTACAGGTAACCCATGAGACACTAAACTTTGTTGGCCCCTAGTGCCTGATGCTTATCGTTCAGAGACCAGGGCCTCAGTAGGTTGCCTTGTCCCTGAACTTGCTGCTGTCCTTCTGTGGCTTCTCCTGAGTGCTGCATTGTGGGTATACACCGTGCCTGACATCTCTGACGTCCTTATACCTGATTTTTTGTTTTGAGACAGTGTCTTATGCAGACCAGGCTGGCCTTGAACTCAGCAGACATCTGTCAGCCTCTACCTCCAAGTGCTGGAATTAAAGGTGTAAGCCAAACACACCTGGTTTTGTAAAGTTCTCAGAGCACCCCTCCCAGCCTTCTGTGTTTGGTTTAAGACAGCTCTGCTTTTCTGCCTTTGATGTCTCATTGCTGTTCCCTTGGTCAGGAAACATTTTTACCTCCAAGAAGAAAATGCAGCTGCACAGCAGCTTGGGAAGGCTGAGGTGGACACCATGGTCAGTCAGTGTGTTAGATGCTCTCACAGGCTGCCATGCAACAGTGCAGGGTCCCTACTCCGCTCTGGGGTAGTCTTTGATCCCCACCCATGCCGGACTCGACTCCTAGCAGACTTCCTGCCTGCTTCCCAGCACATGTCTGCTGAGTTGACTTTGTGTGCCTGTATTTAATACCCTTGGGTCTTTGTATTCCTTAGAGCAAGGCCCAGCCATTCTTAGAACATTCTTAGCCCCTTGCTGGTGTTCCTCTGCCATGAGGAAGGTTCTGAGCCATAGAACCATCAGAGGCTGTGGCAGTCCTCTGTCCTGGACAGGTGACAAGCAGGAGGAGCTCCGTCCACCTGGGCTCAGGCTTGTCTGTCAGCATTTACAGCCCCCGCCCCGCCCGGCCGCCGCTGCCAGGACACTGTGATGAGGACACAGCGCCCCGCACCGTCCCACCGAGAAGCAATGCGTGGTGCAGAGCTAGCCACTGCAATATTTTTTTTGGAGTTTACCTGGCTTTTTGCCTTCTCCAGGTTGCAACCACCTTGTCCTGCTGAAACTTGTGTTTTCCAATCTGTAAGGGGTAAGGGGATTTGAGAGAAGCTTGTTTAGTACCTGCCCTCTTGCTGGCAGGTTTTTTGTTTTTGTTTTTTTTTTCCTAAACCTTGTAGCCAGCTTTGGCGTTTGGAGCAGGTTTGCTGGCACAGGACCGAGTGACAGCAGCAGGAACAGAGCATCGTGTCTGCCTTGCTTGGATTCTGCCTGGAGGATGCGCAATCTGTCTCTCTGTCCACACTGAGTGCATGAGTGGGCCTGCAGCCTGCCTTTGCAAAGCCTGCGCAGCCAGCTCTGGAGGGCTGGCGGCCTCCTGGATGGCAGTATCATTTGGGAGAAGCGCAGACTGAGTCCCTCTTAACTAGGCAATGAGATAGCCGTGTCGAAATTTGAAAAGAGAATCCTCAGCACTTGAAGGTTTTGCATTTATCGCCTCCGTGGTTTTGTTCTTTAAAATTGAGAGAATTCTGCCAGGGGGAAGGCACACTGGTTGGCACACCTGTTCTGTCCAGTGCCCACATCTCTTTGCATCACCTTCTCTGCCACCCCAGAATGAACTTGTCCTCTGCGGACCCCTGTGGCATGGGTCAGCTCTCAGGAGCGGAGCTCCAAGGTGGGGGAGCCCTTGAGCACATCAGCCTTGGGGAGGGAGGTCCTGGGTGGTACCTCACGGCACCCATTACTTTATCAGTTCACAGACTGTCCCTGTTCAGCTTCTCCCATCCTGCACCAGAACCACAGAAACTGGGGCCCAGTGGCCTGAGTCCAAACAAACTTCCCAAAGGATTCTGCTAGGAAAACCACTGCATTGTGACAGAACTGAGCCTGGCTTTGGGTACAGCATAAGGGTTTATGTAACCCAGGATGGCCCTGAACTTGCTATATAGCTGAGGATGGTCTTGAACTCCTGATCTTCCTCCACCTCCCAAGTGCTGGGATTACAAGCATGAGCCACATATGTGTATGATTGCCTGGATGGATGAATGAATGAATGAATGAATGAATGAATGAATGAATGAATGAATGAATGAAAATGCATGCACACAGTGTGCATGCCTGGTGGCCACAGTGGCTGGAAGAGGGCATGATATCCCTTGAGAGCTGGAGCTGCAGAGGTTTGTGAGTGGTCCTGGGGGTGCTGGACCTGCACCTCAGTCTCCTGCAAGGGCAGGGTATGGAGCTTTTAGCCGCTGAGCTGTCTGTGTAGTGCCTGTGGTGGTGGCGGTTTTACATTTATTTGTTGGGTGGGGCACTAAGTGCTCAAGTGTGGAGGTCAGAGGACAACTGTAGGAGCCTGTTCTGTCTTCCGCCTTGTGAGTTCTGGAGATGAGACTCAGGCCCTCAGGCCCAGTGGAAAGCAGTGCTGCCTGCTGAGCCATCTTGCCAGCCCCAGAGGTTTGTTTTGTTTTTGTTTTTGCTCTTTGCTGGGGCCGATGAGGGAAGTCACCGATGACGGGCAAGCACTCTACCACAGAACTAGCCCCTAGCCCCTAATCCTTCTTTTAAACCATTTTATTCTGTTCTCTCTGTTGGTTTGCTATGGAGGCAGGGTCTCACTGTGTAGCTCAGGCCGTCCTTGGCCATTCTGCCCCCCGCCTCTCTCCCAGGGCTGGGGTTACGGGTTTCCCTCACCGGGACTAGCTTTCCAAACTATCTGGAAGTACTAAACCTGCATGTCATGTAACAGTCTCTACTCCTGGGTGTTTAACCAAGGGAGGGCCTCTGTTCACACAAATGTCTGCTCCTGAACGGTTGTAGTGGTCTTACTCAGTTTTACAACAGTCTTAAGCTAGGAACAATCCAGTATCCATGAAGAGATACAGAAATCACGTGGTGTGTTTACACTGAGGAGTAGTATTCAGCAATAAAAATGGACTTGTGCCCAACATCAGTGAGGACTCTCATGCTGTGCACAAAGAAGGCAGACACCCCCAAATTTGAAGGATTTTTTTTAAAAAAGATTTTATTCATTTTATGTATATGAGTGCTCTATCTTCTTGTACACCTGCATGCCAGAAGAAGGCATCAGACCCTAGTGTAGATGGCTGTGAGCCACCCTGTGGTTGCTGGGAATTGAACTCAGGACCTTTGGAAGAGCAGCCGGTGCTCTTAACTGCTAAGCCGTCTCTCCAGCCCCTTGAAGGACTTTTATGGACAACTTCAAAGCTAAGTGTGGTGACACATGCATGTAATCCCAGCACTCAGGAGACTGAGGCAGGAGGATTAAGAGTTTGAGGCTAGCTAGTAGTTAGCCAACGTTGCGTAGTAAGATTCTGTCACACACACACACACACACACAAATCTCAAAAGTAAGATGAGGATGGAGGGCAAAGAGGAATGTGTTTTAAAGGAACATGGGGATATTGAGTGAGCAGCATGGGTATTTATTATTTTGAGGTCCTGTGTCTGGAGTGTTTGTGTCAAAACTATCAAGGGACACACTTGGTGGTAGTTTATGCAGCATTTACATGCCAGCAAAGCTGTAACCAACGTGTGGTGCTTATCTGTGTGAGGCTGCAGATCTGCGTGGGAGGGGAGCCCTTTCAGGAGATGTTCATGGCGCCTGTCAGGCTACATAATGGTCAAAGGCCAAAATGGTGAAGAGAGTGAACTTTGAGCTTGCTCTCCTAAACAGCAGGGTCAGCTGGTGGCATTGCTGGCAATGGCCCTGCTGTCTGTGGACCTGTCCTGGTCCCGTGCTGAAGACAAAGCTCCTAATTCCACATCACCTTGCATTCCTCTACCCCGTGTCACAGCTCCCCTTCTCATCCCTGTCACCTGCTTCTCTGTTCTTCTGTGGTGACTTCAGCTCCTAGTGCTCCTGGGGTGACAGCAGGTGCCAGGGAGTGAGCGTGGCTCAGCCTGACATCTTCCAGGCTTAGAGAGCATTCTGCAATACACTGATTGATAATACATTGCAAAGTATCACACTAATGCAATACTTAGTGGTATCGTGGTGTGGTCCTTGAATTGCCTTTGTCTTTGTCGTTGCCAAAACTGTACGTAGCGCTGGCAGGCTCTGGGCTTAGGTTTCTGAGACCCAGTTGCTATTTCCTACAGGCATATTCATTAAATCACACCAGAAATGTCCAGCAGACCCCTGCTTCCAAGATTCCTCCCCAACTCGATTTAGCAACAAGAACCCAGGAGGAATTGCATGGGGCTTCCTGACTGGCTTGTCTCTTTGTCTTCCTGCAGATCTGATTTGTATTCACGGCCACCAGCACTGCCCACCTAAGACCTTGTGGATCCAGACCAAGGGCTCAAGCTCACTGGACTCCTCAGAACGTGAGTAGCCATGGTGCTGCTGCTACGTGAGCCCGTCTGTCTGAGCACACTCTGGTTTCCTGCGGCATCAGACGGGTGTCACACGGCTGTCAGGATGTGCAAGCTTTGAAACAAGTTGGCTTGGCAGGGAGAGAGTATGTCTGAAATCACAGGAAGCCAGCAATTACATTATCTTTTCCTTCTTGAGACATGGTCTCACCCAGTAGCGCAGGCTGGCCTGGCCCCAATAATCCTCTTCCTGGGATATGCTACCATGCCCGGCTTAATAATTTCCTCTCCTATGGTTACAAATGCTTACTGGTATATTATTGTAAACACTTTACTAATGAGAAAAACAGAGATTTCAGATACTGAACTAAATTCATGTTAATTCCAGCACATCCCTGAGCCCAGGAGGAGTCACGTGGGAGCTTAGAATTGGCAGAGGAGGTACCCAAGAGTAGCTCAGATAAATTCCTATTTAGCTCATTGACGGTAATACAATTTGAAGACCATGCATGACCTTCAAAGCTAAGGGTTTAACTCCTGTGGTACTTGTTAGCATGTTGGAGGCAGGTACTGGTTCACCCTCTAGCACTGAGTACAGACACACACACACACACACACACACACACACACACACACACACTGACTGTGCCTGCAAATTGCCTGGGATTATTTCCATGGAAAGACCACAGTGCCTGAATTTAATGGCTCTTCCAAAAGTGTCTTGGGGTTGGTGGGATGGCTCAGCGGGTAAAGGTGCCTGTTGCCAAGCCTGACAACCTGAGATCAGTCCCTGAAACCCAAGTGGTGGAAGGAGAGGACTTACTCCCACGAGTTGTCCTCCAACCTCCACAGACATACAGCACACGATTTTTAAACAGTGAAGTGCAAACATGACTCGGCTTCTTTTTGCTGGCCTCCAGTTTCGTCGCACTATTCTGTAAAGGCAGTTTATTAACTCCCCGGCCTGCTGGGCTGTCCCTTCCATACCTTCACAAGGTCTCCACGTCTAGAAGCAGGTTTAAGAAAACATGGGAGTGAGAAATACGTGGTACCTTGGCTCTGTGGAGTGCACCACTTTGGATTTCTGGGCAGGGCCTGGACCTTCCTACACTTGCGTAGCCAGCAAGTCTGGGTTTGATCCCAACACTGAGGAATCAAAGAGTGCCCCTCCCTTCAGCAGGACTCTGCCAGATGGCTCTTCAGGAACCAGTCAGGCATGTTTTCTGTCTTTTAACTTTTTCTAAAAATAGGGTGACTGTTTTCACTGAGGCGCTTACAAAAAAAAAAAAGAAAAAAAAAGCTTAGTTTTATATTGATTTTACATGTTGGCATTGCAGGCTGCATTTCCCAGTAGCCAACAGAAAATGATTTATGTACTTCCTGCAAAGCACGCACTCTGTCTGTCTTCCTGATTCTTTCCCTTCCCTTCCCCCAAGCACTGGAGGCAGCCGTGGTAGATGAATAACGTGCAAAGTTCTGACAGACTCCTGTATCTTGCAGGAAGGAGGCTGCAGTCTGGAATTCCCTGGTGGAGGACTGACTCCACACTCTCTGGTCTTGCCCTCTGATGATGAAAGTGTGACCGCCGGCGTCTTCATGAGCTCCAGAGGTCACAGCACGCTCCCACGGACTCTCCTGGCCCCTCGGATGATTTCCGAGGGAGACATAGGAGGCATTGCTCAGATCACCTCCTCTCTCTTCTTGGGCAGAGGCAGCGTGGCCTCCAACCGGCACCTGCTCCAGGCCCGTGGCATCACCTGCATCGTCAATGCTACCATCGAGATCCCCAACTTCAACTGGCCGCAGTTTGAATATGTTAAAGTGCCTCTGGCGGACATTCCTCATGCCCCCATCAGACTGTACTTTGACACTGTGGCCGACAAGATCCACAGTGTGAGCAAGAAGCACGGGGCTACCTTGGTGCACTGTGCTGCAGGGGTGAGCCGCTCGGCCACCCTCTGCATCGCCTACCTGATGAAATTCCACAACGTGTGCCTGCTGGAGGCATACAACTGGGTGAAAGCCCGGAGGCCTGTCATCAGGCCCAACGTGGGCTTCTGGAGGCAGCTGATAGACTACGAGAGCCAGCTCTTTGGGAAGTCTACGGTTAAGATGATACAGACACCCTACGGCGTCATTCCAGACGTTTACGAGAAGGAGTCCCGACACCTGATGCCTTACTGGGGAATTTAGCACCGGCACAGCCGGCGTCCACAGCCCCTCAGCACTACCAGCGTCTGCCACACACCGTCTGCTCCCCTCTTCCTCTCTGATTCTCCCACAGGTGTTTCTACACTGGGCATTTGGATTTAAGAGATGCGGAGGGGAAAAAAACACATTGCTAGGAACGTTTTTTAAGACTAGCATTTTGAAATAGCGACCAGAAAATCTCTAACTGGCCTTTAATCGTTTGTAACAACTGGGACAGTGTAGGCCACTGTCCCTGCTCTCTTTCTGCCTCCTTCCTACTAGATATCTGCAGGATGAGCTCCTTGCAAATATCCCTTTGGGCCCTGATTAACCCTCTAGAGACCAGCTTTGCCTATGGCTGCCAGCTGGACAGTAGTTTAGGGGAGATCAAGGCCAGCTCAGTCTCTACAGGATTAGCCCGGTCCTTTCTTTTCCTGTTCCTTAGCGATTCTCTAAGTTAGCCATCGTTATTTAGTTGATAAGTGATTATGGTAAAATCTGTTGCAAAGACCCTCTTGAAATCAGTGCGGCCCGGGATTATATTAGCATTATTTTTAATAAACCTCCCTGCATAACATAAACCCTTTACTAATCATTTCAGGGGCATGTGTGTCGTGCGTGTCAGTGGAAGATGGTCTGCAGTCACTGCTGAGCTGCGGCTCTTAGGACTGCCACGGTCACTACTTAAAACAGAAGCCCCAGCGGTAGCAGGTCAGCATTTTAGGTCCCTGCAGATGAGCAGAGATCAGTGTCATCTGTACGTGGGAACAGTGCGGGGTAGATGTGTCCAACCTGCAGCTCGTGAGCAGTAAGATTCCAGGACAGCTGTGAATTTCGGCCCCACACTGTAACAGACAACAGTCACGTCACAAGGTCAAAGGTTGGGCACCTCTGGTGGCACGCACACACACTGATAAAAGGTGCTGCTGCGTTCCCTCGGTCAAAGTATCAAGTCCACCACCCAGGAAACAGAAGGCGTGCCTCTGCTCACCTAGAAACACAGGAAGCCTCTATCGGCCGCAGCAGCACAGCCCGCTAGGGAAGCGGCACAGGTTTAACAAGCTCTTCAGTGTTTGCTGTCCTGAGCGACTGCGGGGGCCAGGCAGCCCAGGGCACTGTTTCATTTTATTTGCCAGGTCGTCTGTTCATGAGATGGTTTTCTGGCTTTTTGATCCGTTTTAACAAGACACAAACATGCCAGTAACATACAGAAATGAATTCTATCTTGCAGATTTTTACCTGGTTTATGGCAATGGTATTCCAGCAGTTTACCTTTTCTTGTTTTATACTATTTATATACCCTTACACATACCCATCTTTATCTAAATAGGCATTTTTGAGAGTTGCTCTGGGAAATCAGAGGAACATATATGCAACATTAGCAAATGGCCAAAAAGCAATCCGTGGAGCCTGGCTTTTTTAGCATGAAGCCAAGCTTAAGTCAGTCTCTGCATACATCCCACAGTAATCATTGTACCACAGGAAGAAAATACTTGCTGACATTGTAGTTAAGGGAAAGATTCCTGTGAAAATCCTGGCTAGAGCTGGGGAGATGGCTCGGTTGGCAAAGGGCTTCCTGTGCAAACATAAGGACCTGGTGCCATTCCCAGAACCCACATGAGAAACGCTGGGTAAGCACTCCTACGGGGAAGCAGGCAAGGCTGACTGCAGAGCTCACCTCGCCCTCCGCTCCTCCAAACCCAATCCCCCGGTCTCATCCACAGCTCTGCAGCCGAAGCCCTGCTGCAGCCCCCTTCCCCCGACCCCAGCTGCAGTCTCCCACCCCTTTGCTCCACAGGCACTCCCTGGGAGCCCACAGGTAGTCTCAGGGCAGATCTTTCACTCTCCCCAAGTCTCATCTTCTGGTGTGGCCTCTCCTCACTCTCCCCATTCCCAGGGCTCTCTTATCTTTGGTACATGACAAAAAGAGAAACGTGAACACCAAGCCAGCCACAGACTAACTGTTTTTAATCTACAGTAGTAGTTCCCTGCCTGCAAAATAGCTAGGGTAATGGTGGCCCAAAACTTGTGGGAGAAACCGGTATCTGATTTGGCTTAAGGCCCACTCCACAAGACGGAACCCATACCCAACACTGCTTGGGCGACCAAGAACCAGAAACTGGATAGCCCAGGGGCCTTTTCCTAGCCCATAGGAGAGGAGGACGACAGAGTGTAAGAGAGGGGATGGAGGACACCAAGGAAACATGATCGAAGCTCATATGAACTCGGCCTGAAGAGGTCTGCACCAGGCCCTCTGTGGAGATATGGCTTCCAGCTTAGTGGGTTTTTTATGGAGTTCCTGAGTGGATCTCTGTTACGCCTTCTCTTGGGCTCCTTTCCTTGTCCAACTCTGATGTGTTTTTGTTTCATGTTATCCCTTAGAAGCATGTTTGTCTTCTAATGAGAAAGGGAGTGGATCTGGATAGGAGATGGGAAAAACTGGGAGTAGAAGAGGGAGAGTGAACCATAATCAGAATGTATTATATGAGAAAAAAGTATTTTCTTCTCCATTTATTTATTTAGGTTTTTTGAGACAGGGTTTCTTTGTGTAGCCCTGGCTGTCCTGGACTCACTTTGTAGACCAGGCTGGCCTCACACTCACAAAGATCTGCCTGCCTCTGCCTCCCAAGGGCTGGGATCAAAGGTGTGCCGTACCATGCCCAGAAAAAATTTATTTTCAATAAAAGGAAAAAAATAAAGAAATGCCAGGCATGGTGGCACACACTTGCAACCTCAGCACTGGGAATCCCTGGGCCCTTTCAGCCAGGTCCGGGCCTGCTTAAGTTCCAGGCCACTGCTTTCTCCCCACCTGGGGAGTGACCCCCAAGGCTGTCCTCTGACAGGAACACCCCCCCTCCCTAAAAAAGGCCTCCTGGTTAAACGTTAGCACGGGATGTAACCGAGCACGCGGGGTCTAGCGCCTTCCAAGCGCCTCGTCCTGCGTTCGCCCCAGCGACTGTTGTGTGGAAAGAGCTGCAGTCGGGAGTCTTCCCTGCTAAGGAGGGGGCTCCTTCAGAACAGACCCTGAGACAACTTACACGCCCAGTTTCACAGTGTGTACACACAGCAATCAGAGCAGTTGTTTATTAGAATGTAGACAGAGGAGAAAAGCTTTGTACATGCCATCCTTTAACATATGGACCGTGTTCCACATCACACCTAAGACAGCTGCTTTGGGGGGCTTGTGACATTCACCAGGTTACTCTGTTATGGCTCTGACGTGAGAGATCACAGGTAAATGCTCTTAAGCCACTTGCACTATTTTCGCCATATGAAGAATGGAACTAGGTAAAATTTTTATTATGATACTTTGTTAGAGAGGCAAAGTGGCTTAAGATCGAGCTGTTTCACATAAGCCCTATTTATTTCCTTGGCTGGACTGTGGAGAGAGAGGGCTTTTCAATATTATTTGGTGCACCCTTTTCCAAGGAAATGGACCTAGTCTAGACGTAAAGCCACACACTACACACATCTTGACCACCATCTGGCATCGGCTGGGATGTTTGCAACAGGTTGCAATGGCCCCTTCTTCATGATGAATGTCAGAGTTCATTCGTTAACTGTTCCCAAAGGGTGTCTGACCTCAAAGGTACTAGAATTCTTAGAGCAGCCCAAGACGCAAAGCAAGCCTTTCAGACTTCTGTTTTCAAGAAATCTTTTTGATGACACATAAATAGAAAAAAAAAAAAAACTGGAAATAAGACCAAAAATAAAAACAAGCAAAATCCAAACACCTAAAATATGTATAGCAACAGAAAACATTAAGACGTGTTTCCCAGATGGGAAGCTAGCTGGCAGACTCAGAGAAGGAAAGCTCCGATGACCCGAGTGCGCCTGGAGCCTCTTCTGTCTCAAGCATGCCCACACAGGTCACACACCAGTCCACAGGGCAGAAAACGCGAGGCACAGCACCCAACCAAGTGCTTATTAATGGCCGCTCAGGCAGTGGGTGAAACTGCCTAACACAAAGCACAGTGCGGAGATGAGTAACCTTGGTTACTGTTTCCAAGGACACCGGGCTCTTGGCTAACAAGAGCTGAGCCGAGGTGAAGCTGAATGCATTGTGAGTCATTTTAATACACACATGCAAACAAAATCGGCCGGCTGATATTCTGCACTCCCCAAACTTCTGGCGGGGTTATCCAACTAAACGTTTGAAGCATTAAACAGTCAATACTTTCATGGTAAAGGCTTTTTGCTTACATCCACTGACTTCTCCTCTGGCACTTCCTGAGGAGTGACTAACTCGATAGTAAGAGATTTTAACTTAGGCGTTCTGGACTACATCTAGGAGTGGCGACAATCTAGCTAACAGGTACTTTAGCAGCTGCCATCGATACCAGCCACTGTGCAGAAGGCTCCCATAGCATTTCCAGAAAGTGCTTCAGCAGTGTGAACGCAGCTACACTGGGAACATTCTTAATGCTAAGGTCAATCCTATTACAGGTTCTACAAGGAAATAATCTAGAATACAGACTGGAGGCCCGTTTGTTACTCTGGGCCATGGTGAGACACTAGTGAGTTCAGCAGAAAAGCCTGCTGAAAACCAGTCCACCCGTGTGTGTGGAGCCTCGCAGCCCACAGGCCTGGGGAGGGAAAGGCCATGTGGTCACAGTACAGACCGCTGCCTGGACGCTGGAAGCTGGAGATGACATCGTGTGGGAGGGGCAGATGAGTGAATGGATACATCAGCTCTTCTCCCTGCATTCTGGTCTACAGCAAGGCCAAGGGGAAGCGGCATCAACAGAAAAGAATCCATCTCTTGGAGAAAATACACAGGAACAAGGTGGAGCAATACAGAATGCCCTTAGCTTCTGTCCTGGAAGGGGAGATGGCGAGTCATGCAAAGGCAGCAGTGAGAGAGGCAAAAGCCGACATTGTAGATTTCCAAATAAAAACTAAGGTCAGTGAGGCCTGTAAGATGCAAAGTCCTTCCCAAAGCCCAAAGCCAACGTGCCAGAGAAACAGGTGTCCCAGACTGCTTGGCTTCTCCTGAGAATTACACCCTTCAACCACTTGAGCTTTTCTTTTCATAGTTTTATGCGTTTTCTTTATGTGACAAACTTCTACACCAGCATGAACCTTTTCCTTTGAAAATTCAGAGCTGTTGGTAACTGCTTTCCTCTGCTGCATCTGAGATACACACACGCACACACACCCCTCCCTTATTGTTCTTCTCACTAGGTCAGTGGTTCTCAACCTATGGGCTGTGACTCCTGGGGCTGGGGGTAGAACAGTCCTTTCACAGGGGTCACCTCATTGGAGAACACATGTATTTACATTATTATTCAGAACAGTAGCAACATTACAGTTACGAAGGAGCAAGGAAAATAATTTTGTGGCTAGGGGATGTCACAATAAATATGAGGAACTGTCTTAAAGAGTCACAGCATTAGAAGGTTGAGAGCCACTGCGGAAGGCCAGAACTCCACTCTCACCCTGAGGCCATTCTCGGGTATCTCCTGAAACCCTGCAAAGTACAGCATTGCTGGCTCTGTGCAGTCATCTTTGGGAGTGTGGAGAGAGGTCACTATAAAAAGATTTCATCCCACGGCTGTTACAGATTTTGTCTGAAGGGAAAACACCGCGCTTTGTGCCAGACTTGATGCTGAAGTCAAGCAGCATGTTCTCAATAAAGGCTCCAAGGAGAAGGACATGCAGGACACAGACTCTGGGACTGTCAAAGCAGGGAGGGGCTCCTTGAGCGCTGAGTTTCAGGGAAGGGAAGAGGATGAGGTGTGATGAGAGGTGACTGCAGTGTCCTCCTTGCCTGCTGCCATCCAGTGGAGACCAGCGAGCGAGCAGTGTTTTCTTTACCAGGACAGCGTGGGCTTAATCATGAGTCCCCTTTTATTCATCTCACGTAGAATGCAGTGAAATGCGCTGTGCTTCCTGGGACCGTAATGTTGGAGATATAAACGAGAACTGGCTGGACACAAACTTGCAGACTCTAGTCCGGGGATAATGTATTTTTTCTTCTTTTGTTAATTTTTCACATCTTAAACACTTTAGCAGCAGATTACTCCTCACAGAGAACTGTGGTCCACATTTTAAAATATCTTAAGTGAACAAAAGAGACAGGATATGGTGTCACATGCCTGTGATCCAGCACTAGGGAGGCAGAGACAGGAGAACTGCTGCAAATTCAAGGTCAGCCAGGGGTATGCATCAAGACCCTATCCTTAAAAAAAAAAAAAAAAAAATCAAACCAACATCAAAATAAAAAACGAGAGGAAGATAAGCAAGTAAGTGTCCGGTGCCTCGTGCAGTTTGGGTTTAGCTATTTACCTCAAGTCTCAAAGAGGGGCAGGCAGAAGCAGTGATCAAAGGTTGTCTGATGGGCAGCTTTCCACCCTACCTCTTGGGGAATACTTCAAAGAGACTGATGGAAGGGAACTTTGCAGTGCTTGCATTCTATTTATTGATCCCTGTCACCCCAAGTCATGTGACAGAAATAACCAAAAGTCATCTGGAGCTTCACTGAGCAGCTTTTCAGAGCAGATCTGGCAGGAGGAGGCCGGGAGGCTTGGGTTCAACACAGTTGATCCAGAAGTTGGCACAGCTGGCATGGTACTGGTGTCCTCCATAGGCCAGCTTGAAACTGTCTGTTTCCGAGTTGAATGCCTGCCAGAAATAGAGAAATATGGGGCAAGTCAGGTTCTTTCTACATCTAAGAGCTTGTCAGCAGCAACCACGGGCACTCCCCAGGTGTCACGGAGGCTGAGGCCCAAATGGCACACAGAGATAAAAGCTGAGCAGGTTGCTATAGGATTCAAGTAGGAAAGTTTTATTTATTTTACTGCTAATTAAAGGTATATAAGTTGGTACCATTCAACCTAGTTTCAGCAAAGGGCCTAATCTTCACAGAAAAAGCAGGCAGAGGTTACAGGAGTGAAGGAAGGGGCAGGACACAGGAGCTAAAATAGCCAAGGGCTGTGGGTAATTGTCTCCCTCACTGTAAAGGCCACCCTTCCTGGAGGCTGCCATTGCTATATAACACGTAGCCCCTTAGAGATCTATGGCTAAGGACAGTCCTATCAGGACTGAAAACATTTAAAAGAGCTAGAAATCAACTGATATTAGTTCTAATGCACTGGTTCTCAACCAGCTGGTAGTGACCCCATATCAGATATTCTGCATATCAGACATTTATGTAACAATTCATAATGGTGGCGAAATTACAGTTATGAAGTAGAAACAAAATAATTTTATGGTTGGGAGTCACCACAACAGGAAGAAGTTTATTACAACGTCACAGCGTCAGGAGGGCTGAGAACCACCAGTCTAAGGCCATTGGGAGTTAACAACTGAGTACAGGCGAGAGTCCGCTCATCTGAAGCTCCAGTTACCCACGGAACACTCTGCAGTTTCTTTTCTTAAACACCGCAGATAAAATCCTAAAACCCAAATGATTTGTTTTTGTCCGTCATCCACTGAATCCTGAAGCTCTCCAATCTCTACGTCACTACAACTTGGAGTCCTCCTGAAGCTGGTGCTGATTCGTGGCAGAGAAAAATAACGACCACACCAGGAGCCGATTAGCAGCTACGAGCATGCACACAAGACAAGCTACGAGCGGCTCCACACAGACACATCGGCTGAGCTGAGCAAACGTTACAGGGACAGAAATGAGTCAGCGGGGGATGCAGGACTGGCACAGTCCAGGACGACAACACAATTATCTGTTGTCCCCTCACACACAAGACTGAGATGGAGACACTAAAGTACCCTGTAACTGGCTCATACTTTTTTAGGCTGTTCTTCTGCAGGCTTCTCTTCTTTCTGAAATGTTAAAATCATAAGGTCAAAAAAAAAAAAAAACAAAAAACAAAAACCAACCAAACAAAAACAAAAGTCCCTAGAACTCTTGCTTCCAGGTGAATCCACACCGACTTGACCTTTTCTCTCCCGCCCACCACTGGCTGAATGCTTGCTCAGCAGGGAGGGCAGGACTTTGTCCACGCCCTCAGCCGCTTCCCTCACTGCCCTGTGGAAAAAAACAGATCTGCTTCTATGGAACTTTGTAGACTTCAACATCCCCACTGCTGGTCACAGAGCTTGTTGAAGGGGGCTACATTCAGCTGCCCCCCAAGTCATGTTAGGAATGAACGTTGCCACTTGAAGAGGGAAGGCAAGGACTTACCCGGCTCCTGGAGTCCACATTTAAGAGACACACCCCGCAAGCCAGCTCCTGAGCATTTTTAATCCCAGGCCGTAACATACAGGAGGAAAAATCCAGTGAATTTTCATCTGGCTGAGGATGACAGAGAAAGATGGCTCAGGACACAGCAATTTCGAATGCTATGTAGGCCAACTACAAAGTTAAATCAACTAATAATACCAGCTCCAGGCCCTGCCAAGGAGTGGCTATGGTCCATCTGCTAGCAATGGCCATGGGATAGGACCACTCTCTAGCGTTAGGGACCCCGTGATCTAGGGGGTGTCAAGCAATACAGGGCCATTAGTGCTCCATTACTTAGTTTGGGGTAAGTTGCTGGGTGTTCAGGCACTCAACAGACACAGTTAGAGAATGCTTCCTGGAACTCAGAATCATCCTGCCTGAGCACTGAGACTACAGGAGGTGAGGGTGATGGGTCAATGGGTTGATGGGTCGGGAATAGGATAAGGGAAGGATGTTTAACACAGAGCAGCACAAAGCTAAGACACCTAAGCAAAAGTCCAGCTACGAGACAGAATTGAGGGTGAGCCAAGGAGTGGGTGGGCAATGAGGGCACAACATCAGGGGTCCAGAATGGAATGGAGGGAGGCGAGACAGGAGCACACACGCATCACAGGTACACACTTCTCAAGGCAGTGTCACCAGCAGGCAGGGGGCTGGCAGACCTTAAGCCATGCCTTAAGGACTGGTGGAAGGCAGAACCAAGGCAGCACTGGGGAAGGGCGGGAGGACTCATGCAAGGACTGGGGAGGCGGCAGACTCCAGGCGCTGGGGCACGGACAGCTATGAAAGGAAGGAGGTCTGGGCACATGAGAAGATTCTCTTTAAGCCCAAACAGAGGAGATGATAGTTTGGTTTGGGCTCGGTTGTCAGAAGCACACGGGGTAGGGACGTGCAGCCCAGCTAAGGCTAGCAGAGACTTGAAGTCGGCAGCTACAGACAGTAAAGGGAATACCTGCCTGGCAGGCTTAGGCTAAGGACTCCGCTCTCTACAGGCATTATCTAGCTTATCCCTTCCCAAACGAACAAACAACCAAGCACAAAAAAACCTATAAAACATGGTGAGTGTGACGATTAAAGGGGTAGGTCTCAATTTTGAAAAAAAGGTATCAATTTTTTTAAGATTAAATATGCATTTGCCGTATGAGCTTGCAATTTTATTCCTAGATATTTATCTAAGAGAATGGAAAATATGTCAATAAATCTTGTTCAAAAAAAAAAAAGCATTCATAGCAACTGTATCCATATTAGCCAAATCTGGCACTAACAAGTGTCTAGTAATAAGAAAACGGATAAACAAGTCGTAGTATGTTGATACAATAGACTGTTACTCAGCCAGGAAGCAAAGTGATATTTAATCCACATGGCTGCATTTCAGTATTATGCTACTAAGCAAGCCAGGCACAAGATGCTATCATGTGACATCACTTCACAGTTATGAAGTATTAAAAAGGGGCTAGAGAGATGCTCTTCCAGAGGACCTGGGTTCAATCCCAGCATCTACATGGCAGCTCATAACTGTTGGTAACTCAAGATCTGACACTCTCAGAGACATACATGTGTGAAACAGGCAAAACAGCAATGCATATAAATAAAAGTAAATTATTATAAAGTAGTAAAACAAAGAAATCTCTGGCTGTGGAAATCAGGTCAGTGGTGGCTTTTGGAATTAGAACAGGGGTTGAAACAGCAAGAGGGAACTTTAGTTAGGGACAAAAATATTCTGAATGTTTTCCAGGCCTCATGGCACAGGACCTTAATTTCAGCTCTTGGGAGGCAAAGGCAGACAGGTCTCTGTGAGCTGGTGTGAGGCCCATCTGGTCTATGAGGGAGTTCCAGGCCATCCAGGGCTACATAGTGAGACTCCTCTTAAAAACCAAAACTGAACCAACCAGACAAAACCTTGGAAAAAAAAAACAGCAGAGAATATGTTCACCTCATTGTAAATTCCATATTGCCAAATGATTTTCATTTTTGCCCATCTTTTGGATTCATAGTCAACTTTTGTTTCCACAAGTAAATAGAATACTGGCGTGAGGATTGGTGATCTAAATTTTTAATCACTTTTATATGTACGGGTGTTTTGCTTGCTTGTACTTCTGTGTGCCACATGCAGGCAGTGCCCATAGACCCCAGAAGAGGGCGGCAGACCCCTGGAACTGGAGTTAAAGATGGTTGTGAGCAGCCGTGTGGGTGCTGGGAACTGAACCTGAGCCCTCTACAAGAACAGCCCATGCTCTTAATCACCGAGTCATCTCCCCTGACCCTAAGTAGACCTCACTAAACTGAAACAACCAAAACATGTTGAAGACTTCACTGGTCAAAGACTTGAGTGTCTGCCAGGCACCGGCTCATTTCCTTAGCTTTTGTGCTGTTCACAGGCGATGGCTTTGGACACATTTAAGATCTGCATTATCAGCACTTTTCTAGCCACGTTCTTAAATGTAAACAGCCAGCAAAACAATCAGTCAAGCCCCAGCGAAACATTCGCTGACTTCCGTGTTCTAAGCACCTCTATCATGGCTGACTCAAGCTTGCTGTGGGACATCACTGAACATGGAGCTGGGAAGAGCTGCCCAGCAGCAGAACCACTGCTCTAGGCTGACCCTCTTCGCATTTATCCAAGACTGCTCTGGTTTTAACACCCTAGTCCTGAGCATCGGGAATAGTTTGACATCATGTTACTGGATCAGAGTCTACTGGAGAAATGATTAGAATATGGGAAAACTGGGGCTAATGAAATTAATAAAAGCCCTTTAATATCTGTTTATGGGGGACACAGGAAAGCAAATGGAAAGGACACACTGCGGTCTGCCCTGAGAACAGTAGGCTCTGCATAAATCACCCCGTGGTTAGTCTTCCAAATGATAAAATTAGCTCTCTTAGCTAGGTGGTGGTGGCGCATGCCTGTAATCCCAGCAGCTAGGAGGCAGAAAAAACAAACGAAAATAGTCCTCTTAAACATACACCCATACGCAGAGGACTATATGTAATGCACAGTAGTAACGTGTCACCGATCAATGGCCAAATGATAAGTCACGCCTGCTCTCGACTGCTGTGAACTGACTGTCAGCTCTGGCAAGTACTTCACATATTTAGTAAGGATGAAAACATAGTTACATATATAGCATTTTATTTTTTAAGTATTTACTTTTATTTTACGTGTATGAAAGTTTTGCCCACATGTCTTTGCATAGCGCACGTGTCCAGTACGACTGAATGCTAGACGGGGGGGTCAGATTCTCTGAAACTGAAGTTACAGGTGGTTGTTAGCCACCATGTGGGGGCTGGGAGTTCAATCCAGGTCCTCTTTAAGAGCAGTATGGTGGCTTGAATAAGAATGGCCCCCTCAGGGTCATATATCTGAATGCTTAGTCATCAGGGGGCAGCCCTACTTGAGAAGGCCTAGGAGGAGGGGTGGCCTTGTTGAAGGAAGTGTGCCACTGGGGGTGGGTTTCAAGGTTTCAAAAGTGCAAGCCAGGTCCTGCTCTCTATGGATCCAGATGGAGAACTCTCAGCTCCTTCTCCAGCGCCATGTCTGTCTGCCCGCTGCTGTGCTTCCCTCCATGACGACATGGACTAAACCTCTGAAACTGTAACCAGCCCCGGTTAAACGCTTTCTGTCCCAAGAGTCGCCATGGTTCGCGGTGTCTCTTCACAGCGATAGAACACTGACTAAGACACACGGCAAGTGCTCCTAACTGCTGAGCCGTCTCTCTAGCACTGTACCCCAGCTCTTTAAAGGAATGTGGGGTTTACAGAAAGTTGGCAACAGTTAAAGGTTCCTGAATATGAAACCACCAAACGTTGATTCAGAATCAAATGCTAATGAACCTGAGGCAGATTGCACTGCACATGCCGCTCACCACGTCAGTGAATGTTGCCTCAAACACCTCGTCAGATCCCAGGCCCTGCTGTAAACTGCAGAGTTCTTACTGAACACAGGAAGTTTTCTGATGTTTTTCCAAAACAAAGTATTTTAAATACAGAAAACACTCACTGCAATCTCACCAGCAGAGAGCCCACACCCCACTGCAATCTCACCACACCTCACGCCTCATGGCCTTTTCCACCAGAGAAACGCCTGCATTGACCACAAGAGGGAGCTTCAGCCCACAATCACCCAGAGCATAAAAGGGTTTTGCTGTGTAACATTCCTTTGGTTTAATAAGATACTAAGCCACATTTTGGAGTTGAAACTGTGTACTTTCTTTACCTAACCCAGGCATCCCTACATAGGTACTACAAATGGGGCTTTTTTGGGTGGAAAAAAAGTAATACAGCTGGTGGGTTTGTTTGGTTTGGTTTTTGGTTTTATGAGACAGGGTTTCTCTAGGTAGTCCTGTCTGGCCTAGAACTCACTCTGTAGACCAGGCTGGCCTCAAACTCACAGTGACACACCTGCCTCTGCCTCCCCAAGTGTTGGAATCAAAGGCGTGTGCCACCACAACTGGCTGTGGCCACTCTTATAAAGGAAAGCATTTAATTGGGGCTGGCTTACAGGTTCAGAGGTTTAGTCTCTCTAGCAGTGACATGCTGGCTTTGGGCATCTCATGCCGACTTGCTAGGTTTTTTAGAGTTGTGTGGCAGCTGGACTAATGGGCTCAGGGTTGTGTTCAGATGCTACTGACATTTCTATGGCTCTCTCTGTTGGCTCTGTTACAGTAAAGGCTTGTTCATGGCAATCTATGCCTTATATTTCTGTGGGGTACATGCCATTCCTCACGCAGTGGGTAATTCAAGTTGAGGTTTGTAGACTGAGGACCCATGTGCCCATTCTCAAGAGGAAATGACCTGGCATAATCTAGAAAAGTATCTGAACAGAGAACAATTACTGCTCTGTCACAGCTACCCTGGTAAAAATAGCAGCTATAACTGAAGTGCATGGCTAATCAGGAAGTGAACTCTTGGTATTCACGTATACTCTACACACATCCAGACACCGCAGGGTGAGACGAGGACTCTCTGGGCCATTACGTGTGTCTGAAAAGCCAGTCCAGTTATGCTCAAGAGTCTAGGTGTGGGTGCTGGGAATGGATGTTTACAAACAGAGTCTGAGGAGAAGGCATGAATGTGAAGCCCCTTCTCCATTTACCTCACATTTTCCCCCTGTGGAGTTAGAGCCACCAAATGTTAGTGGGGCAGAACATTCTAGGTAAATGGGTGACAAGCTGCCTTCAAAGTAACACAATCAAATTCCTTGGCTTCCTTTAAAAAGGTCTGGACAAAGTGATGCTCGGTGTGAAAACTTGCAGCTGAGGAGACTGGGAAGACGCGCAGGAAGCTGTCTGGGAGGATTTCATGGTCCACATCTTGTCAGGGCACAGGGCACAGACGGGGCCAAAACTCAGCAGGTAAGAAAAGTCACAAAATCCATGGCACAGTGTAACTCAGGTTTTGCAGTGTGTGAATAAAGTGGTCTGGTGTGACAAAGCAGAGCCTAGAAGGCAAGCCCTTTCCATGAACAGTGAGTGGCAGAGCACAGGTGCCTGGGAGTTGGGGCAGATGCACCCTGAGGAAAATGGCTTCCACTTCCCTTGGTGACAGCAGCTACTTCACATAATGAACACAGGCCAGCAACCAGGATGGACACTCTTCATCCTAACTGGAAGGACAGACATGCACTTGGCTAGATGCACTGGGGCTTGGGAGGGCATTTTCTCTTCTAAGACTCTGGGCAATCAAATATGAGCGTTCCAACCCAGCCCAGCTTTCTCCAGCAGCACCGGGACAGGAGGGCTGGCTGGAGGGAAGGATGGAGATCTAGTTCTCAAGGCGCTAAGCACAGTGAGGGAGGACAGACGGCCACCAAAACAAGGAAGCTTCAAATCGAAGTGGGAAGTGGGAGGCTGTAAATGGCTCCACCACCCTGGGAGGGAAATCACAGGGAAGGTGCAGAAGAGCTGACTTCAGATGCATAGAGTGCCAGGACCAGCTGCTGCTGGCTCCTCAGTGACCTTATGCTCTGCCCTTCTACCGTCCTCCCCAGCGAAAACGTTTGCACATCTTTGGTTTTACCTACCTAACTCACCCTCTTCAGGATAGAATGACGCACAGAGCAGGCCGGATGCCTTGGGCACTTCCTGCTTCAGGACAGGATGATGGAGGAGCAAGGGCGGCAAGTTGCTGTGTAGCTTTAACAGAGTTAAAGAGCCCACCTCACAGTTCCGCCAACTGGATAACCCAGGACGGCTGAAGCAGAAGCAGCCGTGACACCAAAAGGGGGCTTAAGAAGGGGTCCGAGTGTGTGAAAGCAATCAGAAATTTCTCTACCAGAGGAAGGATTTCTTTCCCATTACAAATGCAACAAATACTCATTAAAAATAGTTGGGAAAGACAGAGAATACTTGTAAAGATGGATTTTATCACTAAGCCCCCATGTGGTGACAGTTTTGCTGTTTCGCAAGTGCTTCTTGGCAAAATGCCCACAACACCCATATGAAGAGCCACTCTGGATTACTTCACTTACGCTGGGTTGGGACTTGCAGGCGGGTTCCGACTTTTCTCTTTTGCATAGAACAACACTGTGCGCTTTGCTGGCTTCTCTTGGTGACCTTACTGGGTGTGTGAGTCCCCTCAAGCACTCAGCACTACCTCCGGGCTACCTCTGAAGTGCTGGGCTCAGGTGAAGCCAGAGAGGTGACAGAAGACATCCTTCCTGGTATTGTTGCCAGCAATAACCAAGCTTCCCCTGACTATCAAGTTTATTTTTATTTTGTGAACACAGCGAACCGTGGAACTCAGCACACTGGAACACAGGAGATAAGAAGTGGGAGGACCAGCATCCACAGATCACCACTCCATTCCTGTCTACGTAGTGAGCTCAGCTGTCTCAACCTCCCACCAGAGCGAGAGGAGCCTTCTCTGCCATGACGGAAGGACAGCACCGCTAGCTGGGGCACACAGTCCCTTCTTCAGGTGGCTTCAACGGGGTGTTTTGTTATAACAACAAGCAAGAAAGGTAACTAATGAGGCAAGCGCTGTGAGATGAGAGAGAGAGAGAGAGAGAGAGAGAGAAGGTGCTAACGACACCCACACAGGAAGGGCACTGGAGATGCCTTCTGGGGAGAACTAGGCAGAGCTCAGCAGAGCAGCCAAGTTCTGCAGCAGGAAAGCTCTACCTGAGCTAGGCAGTTTGGCTGATGTTCTGAAGACCGTGGGGGCCCACTGCAGGACTTTGAATGAAACTTAAACGGAACAATCAGATGTAGAGTTTAAAACAGTACAGTTAGGTGATCGCACAAAGGATAGATTAATAACAGCTTTAAAAAAAAAAAAAGAAGAAGAAGAAGAAGAAGAAGAAAGAAAGAAAGAAAGAAAGAAAGAAAGAAAGAAAGAAAGAAAGAAAGAAAGAAAGAAAATAAAAGAACTAGCTAGGAGTGTGTGGCTCAGTCGCAGGTGACTTCTCCAGCCATCATGGGCCTTGAGGTCCATCCCTAGGGAACTGAACGCAAAGCCAGAAGCAATGGCAGGACTGAGAGAGTGGCTGTTCAGGACGCAACGGGACAGCCGGCTGCTGCCACTGGGCTGCCAGCTGGGAGCACTAAGAATTCCTGTCTCCTGAAGAGATGCGACCCTGCTGGGAGGGTCGCGAGTTACCTGAAGGACTAGCAAGGCCTCCCGGGAATGTAACCGCTCCCTGGGAAATGTTGCAGCAGCCACGCGGCCTGCATGCATGTGGACACAGTCTGGCCTTCTCCATCCACTTTGAGGGACTGCAACCCCAGAGGGAAGCTAGTCATTTGTTGATTCAGAGTACCGCTACTCAGAACATGGAAAAGTGAATCCAAGGAAAGTATTAAGAGCGGTGAATGGCCAGCAATGTGATGTCTACCACACAGCTTTCTGAGGAACACGAAGGGACGACACTAAGTCAGGTGCGAAGAGATGAACTCAAACCACTACTTTTTGGTAAAACTTGAATATGTAAGAATTAAGAACGACTGGTGCTGGGAGACTGTCGGTGGGCAAAGTGCTTTGCTGTGCAGGCGGGGGACGTGAAGTCAATTCTCCAGAACCTATGAATCCAGGAGTGCTAAAGGCACTTGTCTACACTCCTCGTGCTTTGAGAAGGCAGGCAGAACCTCCAGAAGCTTGTGGACACCAGTCTAGTGTGCACAGAGGCTGCCAACAGAGACCCTGTCTTAGACAAGGAAGAAAGAGAACAGACATGGATGTCCTCTGACCTCCACACTCACTGTGGCACGTGCACCCGATACACACACACTGTCTCTCTCTCTCTCACACGGGCCTCTTTTTCTTTCTCTCTCACACAAACACACACACACACACACACACACACACACACACACACACTAAACAGATAAAGATTTTGTCCTACACTCCTATTTTTCCGAGGTACAGGGGGCCTTGGAACTCTCCAAAGCCAGTCTGGAACTGCTAGCTCAGACCTCCATCAACGTAACACAACCCAGTCAGCACATTCATGCTCTGATAAGTCATAAGAACATATTCTCTGCTTCCAAACAGACTTCTGGACGAAGAAGCAAGCGCTGAACCGTCCAGCAGACTTACTGTGAGTGTGGCGAGCGACATGAAGCCGATTAGGTTGTTCCACACCTTATCGATGTCCTTCAGCAACTGCTGGAGCTTCTCACTGCACACGGCAGTGGCTTTTATCCCCAGTTCCACGCGCCTGGTTACTCGGTACACTTCCACGACACCTGAGGAGCAGAGGGTAGAGGTAGGCATCGGGAAAGCAGAGACAAAGCAGCACTGTGGCTTGCTGCTGACTCCATTAGGAGGGACACGACTGCACAGACAGGGCTGCGAGGAGAGATCTGTATTGGTTACTTTTCTATGGCTGTGATAAAACCCCACGGCCGAGGCAATGCATAGGAGAAAGTGTGATGCCGCCCCCCGTAACTGCAGAGTGAAGGCATGGTGGCTGGAACAGCTAACTCATACCTCAAACTCCAAGCTGAAGGCAGAGAGCATACTGAAAATGGCAGGGGGCTTCTGAAGCCTGAAAGACTCTTGCCCACAACACACCTCTTACTAGAAGGCCACACCTCCTAATCCTTCCCAAACAGTTCCACAAACTGGGGCCCAAGTATTCAAACCTATGAGTCCATGCGGGCCACTCTCATTCAAACCGCAAGATGTGAGCCTCCTTGATCTACCAGAATGGTTCTTTTCCTGTCGTCTTTAATCAGGCTAAACTCTCCAAGCATGAAGAACAGGTGCCGGGCACCTCCTCATTCTAAGGTGGTCACTAGACACGGCCCCAGGCCTCTAATGCGGCCATCGCCAGACCACCGTGCTGCCCAGTGCTGCCCAGTGCTGCTATACAGCTTTCAAGGAGGAACACAGAGTCCAGAGACAGACATTGTGAGCTAACATCCCCTGTCCCACCTCTTACTACCCACATATCCTGGGGCAAGTGATGAACCTTCCTGGGCCTCCGGTTAATACAATACTGTAGAAGGCTCAAACAGTGTTTTAGTGAACAGAAGACACTGTGCAAGCTATTCGGCTCTTTAGTTCAAAGTTCTTTTTCCCCCTAACGTTCTTTGTTTTTAATGATTTATTTATTTCTCTTATTTTATGTACACTGGTATTCTGCTGGCTGGTATGTGTGTGTAAAGATGTCAGAGCCCCTGGAACTGGAGTTACAGACAGTTCTGAACTGCCATGTGGGTGCTGGGAATTGAACCCAGGTCCTCTGGAAGAGTAGTCAAGTGCTCTTAACTGCTGAGTCATTTCTCCAGTCCCTAGTTCAGATTTCTTTATGAGTATTTTTTTTTTTTTGGGTGAATCAGGAAAATCCCACTAACTAAAAATGGAAATAAATTTTTAAAAAATCTGAATGTTAATGTCATAATAGAGTAATTCATACTGAATCCTCAGTCTTTTAAAAAGTCATCATTGGGGCTAGGTGCCATGGTAGAAGCAGAGGCAGGCGGATCTCTGTGAGTTCAAGGCCAGCCTGGTCTACATAGTAAGTCCAGGACAGCCAAGATTACATAGAGAAATCTTGTCTCAAACAAAACAAAACAAAACAAAACAAAACAAAACAAAACAAAACAAAAAGGTTGTTGGGCTCCTATGTGCTAGAAATTTCAATTTTTAAAATTATATTTCTTGCCGGGCGTGGTGGTTCACACTTTTGATCCCAGCACTTGGGAGGCAGAGGCAGAGGCTAGCCTGGTCTACATAGCCATGTGTGTGCAGAGTCTGTTGGAGGCCAGAAAAGTGCCTAGAAGCACTGGAGCTGGATTTACTGGCAGTTATAAGATAGCCAACATGGGTATAGAGATCTGAACCCTGGTCCTCTGCAAAAGTAGGAGGCACTCTCTCTCTCTCTCTCTCTCTTTTTTTTTTGGAGGGGGCGGTTTGAGACAGGGTTTTTTCTGTGTAAAAGCCCCAGCTGTCCTGGAACTCACTATGTAGACCAGGCTGGCCTCAAACTCACAGAATGCCACCGGCCTCTTGGTGTGTGCCACCACACCTGCCTGCAGTAGGCACCCTTAACCACTGAGCTATCTCTTCAGCCCCCACAGACATAGTTTATAGACGCAGATATAAAACAAAGGCTTGAAAACTTCACTATAAAGATTTTAAGTAAAAGTTCCTCGTGCCCATGACTTCAGTGTTTACCTATGAATGCAGCTGCTAGTGAGGGTCTGTGGGAGAGCACAGACCTAAGCTACCAAGAGTGAGAGAACACTCATCCTAACGCACCGTGTCATGGTTTGGCTATGTGAAAATCAAATGGCATACCTAGGAGATATTCCATGCCTTGGGCTGACTGGATAACTTCTGTGCAAACAGCACTGCTACTAATGCCATTTAAGGTGTCGTTTGCCTTCTTAATGACCTACAAGAAATGAATCACACCATAAAGGTCACCACAAATCAATTTCCCATTAATAGAAAACCCAACCAGTATGAAAAGCCATGCCTGACTGGTGTGAGCATTTGCCTACGCAGAGACAAATCTAAGGACTTAATTTTAACTTTCAAGAAACTATCCTTCACTTCTGTGGAAGAGGTAGATAGGTAGACAGACAGACAGACACATAGGATGAGCCCGTCTCTACTACTGTAAACTTGAAGGATGCGTGACATTTTCTTTTTTAAAACATACTTTTATGTTACGAGCACTGGTGTGTTGCTGCATGTGTGTCTGTGTGAGGGTGCTGGAACTCCCGGCACTGGAGTTACAGACAGCTGTGAGCTGCCCTGTGGGTGCTGGGGACTGACCCTGGGCCCTCTGGAGGAGCAGCCTCCTCAACTCCTGGGCGTCTCTCCCCCAGGGACTGTCATGCTGTGCTGGCGATGGAAGTAGGGCACCCCTCATGTTTGCCTGCATCATTCAGAGGAACCGAGGAGGGGACAGGACAGCGCAAGAGACGGCGCAGGCGCAGAGGAGCGGCATACTCACAGCCAGGGCGCTTCCCAGGCATCTCTGCCACTCATACGCGTATCTCTCATTTTCCTGTGGGTTTTAGAAAAGAAAACTGGGTGCAACAGGCAGCCTCAGGGTCCTCTGTTTACGACTTCAAAGGCTTAGAAGACTCCTTTCTCTTGAGAGCACTCTTGCAAAAACAGTTATCATTTTAACTCCACTAAGAGACAAGAAATATGAACGTGAAGGACCTATCTTACAGCGGCCTCTGTGTAAATGTTGCCTCACTTGTTCTTGTCAGTAACAATGTAAACTTCTATCCAGTTTCTCACCATGGAGGTATCTGTCTATGAACCAGTGCCATACAACAGCTTTCAGCTGGGCACGGTGGCATACCACTCAAATCCCCAGCATTTGGGGGGCAGAGGCAGGATCACTGTGAGTTTAAGGCCAGCCTGTTCTACATGGAGAGTTCTAGGCCAAATAGTGCTACGTGAGACCATCTCAAATAAACAACAAAAACTCCACAGAATAAAAACTACAGCTTTCCATTCCATAGTTCACTGCTGCTGTGTACATCTGTATGTGTTTCAAGGAACAGAGATGTTTAAGGTACCACAAACAGAAACAGTAGATCCAAAACATTTTCCCCTCCTCTATGTTGATGCTTTAAAATTCAGTAGGATGATAAAGTGTAAGATTTGAGGAAGATTTTCTTAAATACTTCTCTCCTTACAAAGTCCCATGAACAATTTCAACTTTTAGTGTCTATCACACATAGGGAGCATTTTCACCCTGGGCTAATGCTACCAGCCTACTTTTTGTCTGGTGTACAGTGCCTCCTCCTCCTCCTCCCCCTCCCCCAGGAAGGCGGAGAAGCGTTCTTCCCACGGTGCTCAGGGCTCTGGCAGCTTTCCCTTTACCTGTTCCTGTGCAGAAAGCTGCCCAGCTTACCTCCACCTCACCAGTCAGATCTTTGTACTTGTCGCGGATGACAGGCAGTGCTGCCTTCTCACTCAGAGTGTTGGAGCGGTCTCTGAAAGGCTGTTCCAGGGCCGGAGAAGGAGAGGAGCGGCTTATTTCTTTATCCCCCAGGCTCAAGCTCCTCTTGTGTGATCCTGGGTGGAGGGAAGAGTCAGCACAAAGGTTCCATTAGATTATGCAGCTGGCTCAAGCAGGGACTTGCTTGCTGATGTGACCATCTTTTTACAGACGGTCATGTCAAGAGGCATTCGGAAACCCAGTCTGGCAAGTTCTTTGAATCTTACTCTCTTGTGCTTAGAGCCCTTAGTGTCCTTCATTACTCTTCCTTGATCTGTCACTACACTACATAATTCTAAGGACTAAATGACTGGTGTTCAGATGCAATGCCTTTGTAAATACGGGTGTCTAGGAGTCAGGAGGCCCTTCCTGTCATTGGCTGGAGGCGTGTACCATTGTGCCTCCTTGCTTGCAGGCTGGCTTTCTCCTGTGAGATCCAGAGCTTCAGAGACAGGAAATGAGGGCAGCAAGGAAGCAGAAGATTTGGAGAAAGATGTGGTAGAGACTCTGACTGAGAGGTATCACCTCCATCAAGTGTCTAAAAGTACTTGCTATTACTTCAGGTTATGGACTGATTAAAACAGATACCTTTTTTAAAAGTACTGATTTTCGTGAATTTTAATTACTCTCTGTGTATCTCTGGCTGTCCTGGAACTCACTCTGTGGAGCAGGCTGGCCTTGAGCTCACAGAGATCCACCTGCCTCTGCCTCCCGAGTCCCGGGATTAAAAGAGTGCCCCACCAGATCTGACATACCGCATGTTCCTAGCCACTGAGCCACCTCGGCAGCCCCAGAGAGCTTTTAAAAAGTATTTGTTAAAATGTTATTCTTAAATTTATTCATTTCATTTTATGTGTGAGTGTTTTGTCTGTGTATATGTATGTGCACTACATGCATGTTTGGTGCCTAAAGAAGTCAGGGCATTGGATTTCCTGAAACTGGAATTATGAATGGTTGAGAACCACCGTGTGGGTGTCAGAAATCAAGGATCAAACCTGGGCAGGAACAAGTACTCTTAACCACTGAGCCACTTCTCTAGCCTTCTATTTTTAAATAAATGTGTGTGTGTGTGCGTGTGCGCGCGTGCCATTTGTACGCAGAGGCCAGAGGCGTGGGATCTTCCTGGAAGCTAGAGTTACAGGCAGTTCTGCCTGATGTAGGAGCTAGGTGCTGATCTTGAGATTATTTGTTGTACACTCTCTTAGCCACAGAACCATCTCTTCTGACCCCAAACAGATCATTAAAAATGCATTCATGGAGCCAGGCATGGTGGCTCACGCCTGCATTTCCAGCACTCAGGGAGGCAGACGCAGGTGGATCTCTGTCTGTTCCAGGCCAGCCTGCTCTACAGAGTGAGTCCAGGACAGCCAAGGCTATACAGAGAAACCCTGTAAAAAATGCATTCATGGGCATGTTGGCTCAGAAGGTAAAGACTCCTGCTACCAAGCCCAACAAACTTAGGACTCATATGATGGAAGGAGAAAACAGACTTGCAAAAGTTGTCCTCTGACCTCCATATGCATGCCCTGGCACATGTGCCCACAATACGTAGACAAATATGCACTCAATGCCAGGCATAGTGGTATGCACGAGCACACAGGAGCACTGGGGAAGTTGAGGCAGAAGGATCAGGTGCTTAAGGTTATTCTCTGCTACACAATGGTTTTGGGACCAGCCTGGGCTACATGAGACCCTGTGTCAAACAAAACAAAATAATAATAAAACAAATAACATACCCAGATGTTGAATGCAGGCTGAATGCAGACCTACTGCCATATGGAACCTGGGAAATAAGAGCAGATGTAACCTGCTCCGAAAATAATCAAATCCACATCTTTGGCTATTTTAGATAGCACGCTTTGTTTTGCTTTGTTTTTTTTTTTTTTACTCAGGGTCTCTTTCTCCATAGTACTGGAACTAGCTATGTAGACCAGACTGACCTTGAACTCAAAGAGATACTCCTGCCTCTACCTCCTGAGTGCTGGGATTAAAGCCAGGTGTCACCACACCTGGCACACAGCACACGTCTAAGCAAATGAGGGAGTGAACAAAAGCCTCGTTCTCCTTGTTCTTTCTTAATAAGCAGACATGAGGGACAGCGACCCAACTTCAGCTCCAGGGAAAGGACCCCAGTCTCGGAAGTTGGGACATCTACTTCCTGCTGAACATAGAACCGCCATTTTACTTTTTCTTTTAAATTATTTTTTTAGTTTTTGAGATAGTGTCTCATTATGTTGCCCAGGCTGGCCTGAAGCTTGCTATACAACCCAAGCTGAGCTCAAACTCATGATCCTCCTGCCTCAGCCTCCCGAATGCTGTGATACAGACATGCCTCACCATGCCTGGTTTTCAAGAATCACCGTTTTATTCTCAGGAAAGGAGGTGTGTCATTACTACAGAACAAGCCCACAGGAAGAAAAATCTTACCTTGAACAGAAAGGTCAAAGGTTGCCAGCTCACTTTTGATCATTTCTTCACTGGATTTCATTTTGCTTTGTGAATTGGCTACTAAAAAGTCAAATTTGCTGATTTTGGGCTTTTCACTTTGAAATTCTCCAAAGTCGTCTGTGCACTCCTTGGGGGTCTCATGGGAGGCGACACTGGAAGCTGGGCTTGGACACGCGGTCTCCTGGCTCCGGTCCACTATGGGTAGGTCCTGCCTTGTGAATTCCTGGAAGTCTTCACTTTCGTACTCTTTCTGCTCAGTGGTCTGAGGCATCATGTCTTTAAAGCTGGCAAAAGCTGGGAAGGGAGTCTCTGGAAGAGCATCCTCACTTGCCAAGGCGGTTCCTTTGAAGAGAGATGACACTGTGATGTTTTCAGAACTGCCAAATGAGATCTCTTTCTTTTGAAGGTTTGAGGTGGCTGAGGAGGCCCCACTTCCTGCTGAGAGGACAAATGGAGAGTTTTCTGCCCTGAGGTGCATCACCCCTCTCTGACCATTCAGGGCTTCTGAGTGTGCTCCCTGCAAAATGGCTACTACAGCTTCCAAAAGCAGCACAGTTTAAACCCTCTCCATCTGAAAGGGAAGGAAGGCCCCACAGCCAGACACAAGCTCCTAAGTTAGGCAAAACGCCTAGAACATTTCACCAGTCACATGCCACGCTGCAAAAGCCATAGTCAGAGCTTGTACTAAAATGAAAGGAGCTGGGGCTGTACCATTTGATCCTTAAGAAGCCATATTCATTTTCAGCTAGCACTTATATTTGATTACAAAGAATCCTTTACTTGGGCATGGTGGTACACACCTTTAATCTCAGCATTGGGAGGCAGATCTTTGTAAGTTTGAGGCCAGCCTGGTCTACATGGAGTTCTAGGAGAGCTAGGTCTTCAAAGAGACCCTGTCTCAAAAAAAATAAAACAACAAAAATTCTTTCCATTATATGTAAAAAATTACTACAAAGGTAGGTTACATAGCCATGTATACACTGTTTGATAGAAGATTCAGATCATTTCAAGAATTATTTTATGCTTGAAGACATACTTACATATTTCTTACCTAAAACATGTCACCTTTTGGTCTAGACTGTGTTGGACAGTGTTTCCCTTAAGTACAACTATAGGAAATATGATGAGCTAAAAATCCAGTTTCTCAAAACAAAAAGTAAAAACATTCTCATCTAACTTTGAAAAAATTACTAGAAAAGTCTATGTCAGGCAAAGACACACATGGGGTTTAATCAAGCAGTTACTTACCTCATTGTTATTTTGGTAGTTTGGATATCCTATTGCTGAGATAGAAAATAACAAAAACCAAAATCAACCTGAACTAGTTTAGTCCTTAAAAAACAAAAACAAAAACAAAAAAACCCAGAATGAAGGGCCTGGGTGTGGTGAAGCATGTCTTTAATCCCAGGAGGCAGAGGCAGGCAGATCTCTCTGAGTTCCAGGCCAGCAAATGAAAAGTCTGAGGTCCGCCTGGGCTGTTTCTGCTTCAGTCACGCATCTCCCTGCCCACACTCCCTGAGGAGGGGAAGAAATAAATGAGGAGTCACCACCTTCTTTGTATACATTAAATAAGAAGCTGGTTGAGGTGGTGCACGCCTTCCATCACAGCACCTGGGAGACAGGGGCAGGCAGCTTTCTAAGGCCAGCCTGGTCTACAGAGTGAGTTCCAGAACAGCCAGGCTGTCTCAGAAAAATGAATGAGTGATAAGGTAGCAGAAGACAGGGAATACAGCTTTTCAGTCTGGACAGATCTAAATTTGACTCTATCACCTACTTAATTTCTTAGCACAGGGCACGACTAGCCTTGAGTTCAGTGTGGCCCTGGACTTCCATCTCAGCCCCCAAGTGTACTTTTCTGAACCCTGGTGTGCTCACCTATGAAGTGGAGAGGAGACTATATATTTGGAAGGGTTGTGGAGATAGTTGTGGGGATGTGTATGGAAGATTGTTCAGTACCTGGAGAACAACACATGTAACAGCTTCAATTCTGAGTAAAAATAAAAAGGCAACTCACCATTTCAGTGATGTTCCTAGGAAAAGTTGTTCTGCTCATGTTCTTCCCCTCTTCACCCTTCTGTCACACAGGGGACTGAACCAGGGCCTTGGGCACACTAGGCAAAGGCCTGGCCACTGACCCACACCTCCAGCTCTCTGTGGAGAGAGCTCTTACTAACCGGCCTAGGCCGACTGTGAACTCAAGACCCTCCTGCTGCAGTCTGCTGAGCAGCTGGAACAACACGCCCGAGTCATCAGGCTGGCTTTCCAGGTAAGTTTCAAAAATCCAAACCAGAGAAGCTGCCTGTGGCTGGGGTGGAGAAGCCCCTTTCAGCAGGGCACTGGGTCAAGCTGCCTCATTTCATTTTACTTACTGTCTGAGGTGAGAAGGCCAACTGTCCTGACAACCGTACACACAACTCACAAGGAATGCCAAGTTCTGTGACCCGGGTTTTCACAGTGAGGTCACTGGGAGAAACAACGTTGGTCACCTTCCCTCCACGGCCAGAGCGCATCACAGTTCAGAACAGACGCGCAGCTGCAGACCCTGCCACAGCTCTCCCACCGTCACTCCACACAGCTCCCTACACTCTGATATGAGCATGGGATTAATATTAAAATGCTAGCTAGAGTCTCCCAGTGAAAAGCAAATCTCTTTTGCTAAGTGATAGAATACTTTAAAGTTCTGCTGTGCAAGCTGCACCCTTCGTGTGTGGCCTGCTTAATAAAAAGGAAAAATGATTTGGGTGACAGATCTATAGTGTAGAATGAATGAAGCAAGCCATTAGACAAAGCACTTTCTTAGTCCCTCACTGTAGCATTTTCCCCTTTAGGTAGAAGGATCTGCCTAGATCTAGCTGTCCAGGCTCAAATAAGGTGCCACTCAGAAGGCGGATGCAGTTAGACGCGAGGTTAGTTTGTCAGGGGTACTTTCGGCTGGGAGCTTCGCCACACAGGTATGTTTATTAACTAGATGTCTGCAGAAGGCCTCTGGGCAAACCATTTGAGAACCTGCTTCTAGTATCTTATCTAGTAAAGAAAGAGTAGTGATTTTTTTTTTTTTTTTAATGCAGACCAAAGATAAATTTATGGAAAGACATCTCTAGTTCAAACAATTCACTCAAGTTGCTATGGTAATAAGAAGATCTTTTTGTGCAATTATGCAACAAAATAGAAAGCCTTTTGTATAAAAATCAAGACTGACTCACAGCATCAGGTAAAAGGCATTGTAAGCAATAAGGACTGCCTTGGCGAAAGAGCTCTTAAGACTTTTTATAACTACAAAAGTCTTCGATGAAATCGTGTAACATTTCACCCTCTGGAGCCGTTCACCACATAACTAAATGAAAAAGCAAATGGCAGACTTAAAAGAAAATGTTTGGGATGCGTATGTTAGCCAAAGAGTAAACATGTTATGAGTCACTAAACGTGGGTTTGCAGCTCAGTGTTTTTACTTTTCCTTATTTACTGGCTACTAGTGGGTGAGAAGTAATTTTCTAAAGAGTAATTAATTTGAACGAGTAAGTACTAAGACTGGCATTATGTAAGAACCCGAGGCAAACAGTTACGTAAGCCTTAGCATCTGAACACAGCTTAAATATGGGGTGTGCTTCCTTGGTATAGTGAATACTGGTAAACCATTTTCTAAGAAAAATCTGGCACATTAGTTCACTGAAGGCAAGGGACAAACAAGGAAACTCCCCATTTTCTGGTATTAGTAGCTCTATTTGCTTAGCAACTCGGTTCTATGTAGTATTGTATGAAGATTTAAAATACAGTAAGTAACAAGGCCTCCAGCATGAAGGACTGGAGCCCTGTCTGCAAAAAAATGATACAGGATGTTATAATCACCAAAGTGACTAGAGATGGCTTTGCGATTTCATAGCTGAATTCTGAAAATTGCCAGGAGAAAAATAAAAAAGAAAATCGGGAATGACCATAATAAGAGGAAGAGCCGCCACTGTATCTCCGATTCTCTGGCGGGTTCCTGGGTGGTGCTAAGTAGAGCCACAATGGGGGACAGGCAATAAGCCAAATTGTGTGCTTTCACAGACGGATTTGTTTGCAACCAGGAATTCACTATAACAAAGGGCAAAAGGATAAAAAGTACAATCTGCTTCCCATCATGGATCAAATCAAGACATGGCTTTCTCTCCTACAGGCAGCTAACCCTACCAGGCTCTTCCTTAACCTCTATTCAAATCCACTCTGAAGGCATGTTGTTGTACATGAAAACAAGTTATCTCCAGGCACACGCACTGCCACCATAGGACAGAGAAATGAGACCCACCCCATGGATGTTTTCTAAGGCTGTGGGAGTATGCCTGAGAGAGTAAGAGTTACTGGCTTTTAAGAGAGGGGCTTCGAGGAAAGGGGAGAAGGTATTACATGTACAATTCCAGTATTCTCCCGAGTCCTGCACAGCAGTAAGACTGTTTGCTGGTCTGAAGAGGCGACGCCAGACTTAGCCCAGCCTTCACTAATCAGCACAAACCATGCAATACTTGAGCATTTCCACTTCTCCCCATATGGGGCCCAAGTCTCCCGTAAGAGGACATTCTCTACCGACTGTAAGGCCTGGTCTATGTCCTGAGTCTTAAGCATCCTGAAAGGCATAGCTGTGGAGAACAGAAAAAGTGACCCCATCATGCAACAGGCTACAAAACTCTGCTGTTTGATCACTTTTCTGTGTTTTCTAATCTGTGGAGGAACTTCCCTTTCTGTGTGTTTGTGCTGACTCCTGTGATGCTATGGCTTGAATTGTACCCACACTGTAAGCACCGTTAGGCATCAGTGTCGGTGCTTTTAAGTTCAATAAAGAAAAGCAGCGAGCATGAGAATATTAAACCTCAGAGGAGATTAGAAGGCAAGAGACAGTAAGACTGTCTGTGGTCAGCCAGGGAGATCCCTACTGAAGACAGGGCTCAGAGGTCAAGAGCATGTGCTGTGCCACCAGAGGGCCCAGCATCCAGGCCAGAAAGCTCACAACCACCTGCAACTCCATCTCTAGGGGATCCAAGGTCTCTGGCCTCTGCAGCACCTGCACTCAGGTGCACACCCACACACACATATATAATTAAAAACAGTAAAAATAATAGAAGTCCCATCAGAATGAAAACAAATGAGCACAAAGGATGCTAAGTACAATGAAGGCTTTCTGGCTACCAAAAGGGGGAGAGAGAGAAAACTTAGGAGCTGGGTATATGGCCCTCTTATGTTCTCAAAATCACTTAGCTGACATTTCCAGACAACTTATCAAAAGTCCTTAAATGACAGACTTGAGTAGAAGCCACTCATAAGAGAAACAAAGTAATTTGGGCTGAGAGTGTACCTCAGCGGTAGGGCACTCACTTAGCATGCAACCAATAAATATACATGAGTAAAAATAGCTGGGCCCGACGACACGTGTTTATAGTCCTAGCTACTCTGGAAGCCGAGGCAGGGGGAGAACGTAAACTGAGGAGTTCAAGATCAACCTAGGCAGGACAGTGAGACCTTGACTCAAACAAAACAAACAAGTATAAATAAAAATAACTGCCAGGTGATACCCTCCTTTAATCCTGGTGCACGGAAGGCAGAGGCATGTGGATCACTTGAGTTCAAGGTCAGCTTGGTCTATAGAGTGAGTTTCAGGACAGCCAGGGCCACACAGAGAAACCCTGTCTCAAACAACAACAAAAGTAACAGTAGTAGTAATAATAATAATTCAATTCCTTCCATTATTTTAGAAGCTAGCACAGCTTGTGTGACACTGCCAGTGTTCTCTGTGAGTGCACCTGTTTCCACTGATAGCATGGATTCTAACAGTGACTGCAGAACATCAGCATGCTTGTGGGATGCCTCATGCCCTGACAGAGACAAGCATTGGCCAACCGTATCTTACCTGACGTCAGGATAAACAGCACAGAGTTATTTTCTTTCACACACACACATACACACGCACACGATCCTGTGTTATTATAATATTAAATCTACCTCCCTAAAAATAATATGGTGTCTAGTCGCAATGAGCTCTTTGATGATTGGCAGTTATACACAGAGTCACTTCTGCTCACAAAGGAGATTAAGCAACCCTGTGGACTGCTCTAGCTTTCGAGAATCTACTGACAAAGGAAGCCGAAGCCCCATGAGGTCAGTCTCATGAACGGAGCAGTGCAGCTGCTGCTCTCACTGGCTGGACACTTTTCTCCCCAGTCTGGTAGCAGCACATGGTTCAAATGCAGAGCATTCTGTCCAAGGTTTTAACAGCAACCTCTCAACTCTCAACATGTTACACACCTTGGGTGGAAGGCCTGGCTCTTTTTAAGGGTAAATTTCACCTGACACCCAACTTTTTTCTTTCTCCAGGGGGCAGAGCAAAGTGACCTTGGGAATCCTACTCAAAATTCCCATTTTCGGGAGTTTAATATCCTTAAGATGCAAAAGAGAACAAAAACTTAAAAACTTCAAATTGCATGTAAAAAGTGAAAGCACCGAAATGACTCATTTCCCTAAAATCTTTATGGGTTGGGTCTGGGACTTGAAAAAGACTTCTATTGCCAAGGTTCCTCATGCTCCTCCTACTCTGAAACGGAGCAAACAATTTATTGCTTGATTTATTGCAGTGCTGGGATCAAATCCAGTGCCCTGTAAACATACTACCACTGCGTCAGGCGGGAATTAATAAGCGTTTCTTAAAAATGAAATTTAAAGTTTAAAGTTTGGTTCTTTTGTTTTGTGGGTTGTTTTAATTTTTAACGCTTATTGTGTATATGACATGTCTATGTGTGAGCACAGTGCGCCATGCACGGGTATACAAGTCAGAGGACAACTCTGTGGTGCTTGCTATGTCCTTCCACTCTTTCAAGGTTTTCTGTTTGTTTGACTGTCTTACCATATACTCAGGCTGGCCTTGAACTCACAATCCTGTCCCTGCCTCGTAAGAGCCGAGATTATTGGTATGTGTGTCACTCTTGGCTGAGTGAGGACTGTGCATAATATATTTCCACATATGTTGATTTATTTGGTTCTGAGATTAAATAAGTACTTTGCAGATGCTAGCAAGCATGCTACCAACTGATCTCAAGAGCCTAGAAGCTACACGATTCATTTCAATGCCACACTAAGCACTCTGTCAATGGGCTTATAAGGGGCAAAGGTTAGACCATACCCCTGCTTTCTTAGGGGGAAAAAAAAAACAGTCTCAAGGGCTATTGTGACTTCAATTTGATACCAGTCCGGTATTTCTTTGGTCTAACTCTGAAAAACACAAATTACACACATCCCCACACTTTCAAAATATGCGAAAGAATCGTTTATTAACACAGGACTTACAGATCGCAAAAGAGAGTGGTACAGAAGAGCTAAAGAGGAGTCATCAGAGTAAGCATGCAGGCAAGTGTTTGCAGAGGAAGAGAATAAAGCAAGTTCCAAACGGCACATCCACACACAAGTGTCTATGTTGAAAAAAAGACATCAGAAAAGCAGCCAAAAAAATAATAAGGCGCTGATTAAAATACAAAGATTTTCCATGTCAAAAAGAGCTACTTCACAGGCAGGGAGCCACAGAGGGCTTGCTGACTCTTTGAGAAAGTCACAGATCAAAGTAAGCTCTTGCTGCCAGAGAAAGAAAGGACCTTTAAAGACCAAATCAAGATGCTGCTGTGTGGGAGAGAGTAAATTTAGGAGGGTGGAAAGCAGCCTCGTTGAAATTATACGCAGCAAGGGCTTAAAGGGTTAAATGTAGTGATATGCAAAGAGAAACCAGGCAATGTTATTAGTAGATCTACCTTCATACAGAGAATTAACAGCACGGGTTAGAGACAATATCCCCTTCAGAGTTAAGTTAGGGTTTCCAAACAAGATAACGGTCCATAGACAGTTATCACCTAAGTGTTTTGTTTTTGTTTTTGTTTTTTTTTTGCTCCATCAGCCCGATTCTTATTTCTTCAGGATGTCCTTTTAACCCTCAGACTAAGAGAGCAAGAGATTCCACAGTGAATGGAAGGACAAAATAAAGTCACAGTGCATGAAGCAATGCCTGCCGCTCGCCCTCTCTAATGTATTATTCATGCAGCAAGCTTGCTCAGTGACATGTAGGCATGATGGTCAGCCGTCAACCCATCTTTAACAACCGCTCTGAAGGATGGATACTGCCCCTTCCTCACCAGAGGTTTACAGAGCAACAGAAGGAAACAATCTGCATTAAGGTCTCCTCCCTCTGAAGAAAGCTGGCTTGAACATGACAGGTTCCATTCTGGGAATGTTCCAAACATACAGAGAGAACACAAGCACATATTATTTAACAGGTCCATTGAAATGAGCTCAGTCAAAAGCCAACCTCCCCTTCCCAAATAAAAGGTGGGAAAAAAGACATCCCAAACTTGAATTAACTCATTTCACAAAGATATGTGGTTTGGCACTGTGAAAGAATATAGATTTATTTTCAGAAAAATAGCCTCTAATTAATAACTTCAAAGTCCAAAGGCTAGAATACATGTTGTGAAATTGTTTTTAAATAAAAATCAAATGCTGTTGTTTAAAAAACAATGTCCTTTGCAACCAAGTGTTGTGGCTCATACAGCTCATACAAAAAAGAATAAATCATCCTATCAAATGAACAGCAGTGAAGGGGAAAATAGAAAAAAATAAGAGAGAGAGAAAATAACAGCGAAGGGCAGAAGAGCTCAGCCAGCCTGCCACACCAGGAGAGCCTCTGGCGGCAGCAGGCGAGCATGGATCTCTGCTAACTTGCTTCCCATTCAAAGCCCAGCGTAAGAAACTGCCAACATTCCAGTAACAAAGGACAGACGCCATTTGCCAGTTTGAAATCTGACGACTCCACAGCACTTCACAATGTCTGCTGAGCCTGTAAACTTGGAAGTGTCTTACCTGTCCCTCTCAGGTAAAGAAGCAAACCCTGCAAGCGCACACTACATTTTCTAACAGTACAGTAAGACCGAGATAGTTCTCATTATTAAAGGCCACAAAATAGTTTATCTTTCTATAGACATATCAAAAAACCAAAATGAAATAAAAACTAGGACACTTGGGAATCTAGTTCTTGAGACAGGAAGTTGGACCGGATAATAAACTGCTACATGTAAAGCCACGCAGGGTTTAGAGGGCACCCTAGGAAGCGGTTCCCACACGTCTTATCAGAAGTTAGTAGGTACCCTACCCTAGCATCTACAGGGTTATTACAACTTAATACTCACAGTAACACTGCAAAGCAGTCACACTGACAGCAGGCTGCTCCCCGCCAGGCCCTCAAACACCAAGCGTCCCTAGGTGGTCTCCCTCTCCTCAGGGAAGCTGCCAAACTGCACTACAAGTCGGGAGAGGTTTTTCACTTTCTTGGCCTAGTAAGAGTCAGTTTCCGTAAACCAAAAAATACTGTCTTAGCAACTCTATATATATGAAAGAGAAGACAAAAGGGAGGGCGGGCGCCGCTGATCCCTCTCATAGGAATAAAGAAACATTGCAAAAGTCTATAAAACTTCTGGCTATGTGGGGCTCACTGAGCAGCAGGTTCATGTGGGCCTCTGATACCAAGTGAGTATTGGGTTTCAAAAATAAAGGTATTTTGGCTATCCAATCTAAACTTCAGAGCAGTCAGAGTGCCCATAGGTTAAGATTTTCATAACATCATGTTTAACCCTGCTTTAGACAGACAGATGGACAACTGCAGACTAGTTATTATTAGAAAGCCTGTCCATCAGTCAAACAATGCCCACAGAGCCATCTTTGAAATCTACGTCACCATCACCATAGCAATCTCACCAATTCCTCACCTGCGGCAGGAGGATGTTGGCCACTAACTGTTGGTAAATCCAAAGAGCTATCAGACATGACATGCTTAAGATCTCCTCCCACATCAGCCAGTTTCATGTCAAACTGAACAGAAAGCGCATCTTCAGAGTCCTCCTTGCCAACGCTGCTGCCACCGATGGAGGGAAGGTCTAAAGACTTCACCGAGGCAGAGTCTTCTTTGGCGTGTCTGAAAGCCACCGCCTTCTCTCCCAGGGATTTGTCTGAGCTCGTGGATGAGAATTTACTGGAGTGGAAGTCAGCGAAGTCATCGTCACTCTTTGCGGACTGAGGGTTCTCTTTGAACTCCTCCATGGCCAGTCCAGCTCCCTCGAGGGAGAGCTGTTTGAAGACGTCGTACTTGGCAGACGCCGCAGGCGGGTTCTGTGTGCCCTCCACTGCGCTGCTGGCTAAGGGGCTGGGGCTCGCTTCCTCTCTGAGGGCTTCAGATTTGTCATCTGCTTTTGGCTCAGATGAAATTGAGCTGTTACCAAAAGCCATGAAGTCTGCAAAGTCGTCCTGCTCCCCAACAGATGCAGGATTAGAATATTCCCCGAAGAGGTTGAAATCTCCGAAATCATCTGCCAGACTAGAAGTTTTAGTGGGTGCCGGTGCTGCCAAGGCTGCTGCAGATCCAGCCGGCTGAGGCCTCGTGGAAGCTGACTTTGATGTGCTAACCGCAGCTGAAAAGGGCACCGATTTCTCGCCACTGCAATTCACTGAGGAGAACATATCTAGGTCTGCTAAGTTCAGAGGGGTTTTCACCTGTGTCTGTCTCTGCTGTGCAGCTCCAGAGGGAAAGGCTGCTGGAAAAGCATCTTTTGCCGGCGGCTCTAGGGGTGACACGCTATCTGCGGTCTTGAAGTCGGTGAAGCCGTCATCGGCTCCTGTGGATCTGAAATCGGCAAAGCCCTCTCCTGAAAGAAGAAAGGGCAGTGAAGTAAAGACCCAGAGCTGTAGATGACATAGAACAAGGTGGATTAACCTGAAGTGTAATTCTGTATAGTTTCCCCCTTGGCTTGACGGTAGCCATGGTCCACGCCGTCACACTACTTGCTTCCCCATTAAAGCCAATGATACAGAAACAGTCACGCACTGCTCAAGACTCCCTCCTCTGGCCAGACCAGAACCAGAAGCTGGAGGCTCTGCAGCGGCACACTGTCATAGCAGCCCTTTAAAGAGGAAACGTATCAATGAAGGGGATCCATGAAGTGTTGAGGAAAGCCCTGCATCTGATACTGGGAATGTACAACTTCAAACAAATAAGTGCCTGAGTGTTGCAGGACACACCTTCCCAGAACTGGGGAGACTGAGGCAGAAGGATCACAAATTGAGGCCAACTTGGGCTACGTAACAAGACCAACCAACCAATCAACCACCACCAATAAAAACAACCCAGTTATCAGAGGCTAGCGTTAGCGCAGCGCTCGGTGGGAAAGCTCAAGCATGAACAACCGTGGGCGGCCTAGGTTCAATGCTGACCAGGCACATGTGCACACTGACACACATGCACATTGCACACACACAAGAGAACACAAATTAGACAGGATATAATGTAGTCTTGCTCAAATATGCTGACATATTAATTTGAAGATATTTTTGTAAAAAAGTCTTGAAAAAGTAACTACTTATTTGAAAAGCAAGCTCGGCGCCCTAGATAAGAGCACTATAAAAGCTTGACAACCTCTGACTACTGTTGCTAGGTGTGTGAGTGTGACGTGTACAAGTGGAGGTCAGAGGACGGCTCTGGGTATTGACTCTCTTTTCTCCTTTGTTTTAAATCTGAGGACTGAATTCAGGCCATAAGGTTCTTCAGCAAGCATTTTCATCTTCTGAGCCAATCTTTTCTAGCCCCTGACCGCTTGTCTTTAAACTCTGGAACCACGATTCTTAACAAGATTTCCACTCTTCAGTAGTATCTAACTTTGTCATTTACAATTGCAACGTCAGGATGCCAATGACCTCAGTTTTCTTACAGCGTCTGAAGGTCTACAATGAAACCCACCTGGATAAACCATTTAATTAAAGCCAGAGATATGCCAGACATGAACATCGCTATACCAACCACGACTGCCACTTCTGAAGAATTTTAAAAAATACAGACTTAAATTTTGTTTGTTTGTTTTTGTTTTTTGAGATAGGGTTTCTCTGTGTAGCCCTGGCTGTCCTAGAACTCGCTCTGTAGACCAGGCTGGCTTCCAACTCAGAACTCAGAAATCTACTTGCCTCTGCTTCCTGAGTGCTGGAATTAAAGGTGTGTGCCACCATCACCTGGCTTTTTTTTTTTTTTTTAATAGACAGTCTACCTTTGTAGGTCTGGTTAGCCTAGAATTCACTAAATAGATCAAGCCGGCCTTGAACTTGTGGCAATCTCTTGCCTCTACCTCTTGAGTGCTGAGATTACAGGCATGTACTACCATGTCCAGTTTCTCATTCATTTAATAAAAAAATATTCTTCCTAAAAATAAAACATAGATGCATACAAACCACAAAATGTACTTAAAACCCAAACCCTAAAATCAATTTCTAAAATTGACACCAAGGAAGACTGGCTTTAACCCTACCATGCCTGATGCATGATCTGCACTTTGGTTTATCAGAGAGAAAAGGCAATGTGATTTTTCTTCTTAATCTGATACTGAACCTATTTACTAGCACTATTTATCAATACAAACACTCCCATAATCCTAGAGAAATATGAGAAAGAGGAGCAGCTTTCAACTTTCCTAATTTTTAAGACATAACATTAAAAGTCATAACATAAAAAAGTCAATTTCACAAAATGACAGGAAATACAAATGTGGAAATTAGGATTTTAGAGACACATCAATGACATCTATGTTATTTCTATAATGAAAAGGTAATTAGTAGTAAGCTTTTTTCTTTGTTTTTTTTTTTTTTTTTTTTTGAGGCAGGGTCTCACATGTTAGCGTAGGTTAACCTGAAACTCATGGCAATTCTCCTGCCTCAGCCTCATGAGTGCTACAATTAGAGGTATGATCATGTCTAGATCATGGCCTAAATAAACCTTTGATGTGTTGCTTTGAAATATCTGTGAAATTGACAGGTTTTTATTTTTAAACACAAATCACACAGCAAACTAAACTTACTGATGATGAATTGTAAATTTCTCCATCAGAAATGTAAACTGGGTGAAAGGGTTAAAAGGAAATGAAAATGGGGGTTTAAAACTTTAAAAGCAAAGAGAGTATTTCAGTAAGTAAGCTAGCTGGGCATCTGCTAGTCCGCTGGCAGCTTTGTAGCTCATGTGTAGGTTCTTAAAGCTCCTCCAATCGCTTTCTGTAACTTTTAAGGCCCTGAGAACATTTCAAGAAGAATTGACTAACTAATAAGAAGTCTTCTTTCTTTATTCAGGATGCTTTTCAGAAGGTCTGTGTAGCTCCTGGCTTAACCTGGAGGAGGTGTTCGGCTGTCACTCAGCAATGCGAGAGCCTCCGGTCTGACCTGCAGTCCTGCAGAGCTGGGGTCACAGCCCCTCCTATTCTGTGGCTCAAATGTGCTGCTAAGCCAAGAATGACCTTGTGCTTCTCATCCTCCTGCCTCTCCTTTCCAAGCGCTGGGAGGAAATGTCTGTACCACAAGTGGCCAGATCCAAGGACATTTTTCAGAAACTTTAGGAGAATAAAATACTTTCTCCTAAATTGAACGAAGCTAGTAACTCAGAAAGCTTTAAACGGAGTGAAGAGAAGTGAAAGCAAGCAAATAAAAAGACAATAACCTTGGGCTTGGGTTCAGGGTGGGAAGCAGGGCGAAGGCACACTCACATTTTGGGCATCACTACCCTTTCCTATTGTCTCCAATAAGAATAATGTTTATGGAGCTGGAAAGATGGCCAGCCATTAAGAGGACTGTTTGTTCTTTCAGAGGACCTGGGTTCAGTCCCCAGCACTCACATGGCAGCTCACAACTGTCCCTAACTCCAGTTCCTGGAGATTCAGAACCCTCTTCTGGCCTGTGTGGGCACCAGGCTTGAATGTGGTACATAGACATGCAGGAAAAACCACTTATAGACATAAAATAAAGTTTAGACGTTTACACCTGGATCAGTAACAGTGTCACACGAAGAATCCTGACATTGAGCCAGGCTCTACTCGAAACTCGCCTGAGCAGAAATCAAGTCAAGATTCTTCTAAGGTTCACATTTGAGTGCCCAGTGCCTAACACACGTATGGAAGAAGACAGAGCTTTCCTGTCCCAAAGGCTTGGATGTTGCTGGAATCTAAGATCTACGAGAGACTGAATCCCGAGAGGCGGCCCTTCCTGAGTGCAGTGGAGTGCTGACCACCCTCCCTTGCCTTGTATACCATTTCCCACCCCTGGCAAACGTGTAGAAGTCAGCTTTGAGCACGGAGTGCATAAAGGCAGACTGGGACGGGATTCTCAGGAGAACATTCTCACTAGAGAAGAAACATTGCACAATACGCAGATTAAGGTTTAGGATATAACCTGTGGGTTACTACCTGTGGAAACTGCATGCCATGTTTAACCACACACACTAACTTCTCTCTCACACACATAGACACGCTTCACCTTTCTCATTAAATCATAACTAATTTTGGAAATCCTGAACAATGGTGGCTTGAGTCAAACACAGTACAGTAACTGACCTCTCCTTCCTCCTATATAGGCGAGCTAATGTCTGACTCATTCATTCATTCATTCATTCAATCAATTAATTGATTAATTTAGCAGTGCTGGGGATGAAAACCAGGAGCTGTCCACGCGTTATTACACTCTTAAGCATTCACTCTACACTGAGCTACCTCTGAGCTCTGAAGCTTTGGAATGCCACATTGTGCCACAGAGCACTCCCGCACCAACAAGGTAGATTTGGTAAAATGCTAATTAGGCCGAGTCCTTCTTGCCTCCTGTTTGTCATTTTCTATAAGTACAATGTTTCCTTTTTCAAATGGTGTTTAGTCCCTGAAGGGTATGAAGTGGGTGGGACTGTCACTCATGAGGAGAAACCCCAAGAAGGCGTGTTTCCTTCCTTCTTAGCCACGCTGCTGCTCCTCACGCAGGCTCTCTGAGGGAAACGCACATCAACGCTCACATGATGCCAGCTAAGCTCAGCTGGTGGCTCTCTAGCCATCACACTGTCACACCGCACCTCTGCAAGTGTCGAATGCCTCATCCCTGCCCTGCTCTATCACAGCTGCTGTTTCCTACTGCTTCCCAGGCTGGCTTTGAACTTGACATGCACTGACGGTCCTGCCTACGCCATGTTGAAATTTACAGGCTCTGCTCGCCTGGTTCATTGGAGCCCCCATTTTTTTTTTTAACTAAAAAATTTAGGTTTATGTATTCGTGTGTATATGCACACACACATACATACACACGCAAGGGGACATAACTACATGCATGCTACAACATGTATATGTGTTAAGTTCATACATGGCTGGCAGGAGGAGCTGGTCTCTACTTTCACTGTGTGGATTCTGGTGACGAGACTCAGGTTGTCAGGCTTGGCAGCCAGCATCCTTAACCATGGAGCCATCTCACCAGCCTGAGGGCTGTTTTCAGTAATGGTGTTCTACAGCGTTTTTCTTTCCAAATGGACAAGAAGCCAAGAAAACAAAAATAATGCCAAGTACCATACCAAGAACTGATTTTAAAAGTCTTGACTGCGACTGGTGGCTGCCTTCTGCACAGTCCACAGACTTGGGTGCACTTGAGTAGCCACTGGGGAATGTCGGGATGGAATAGCTGCTGTCTCTCACACAGGACTTCTGAATTCAAATATGTGAAGTCTGAGTATGCATCACAACTATTACTATGCCATATACTACTACTACTACTACTAATAGTATGTAGTTTCTTTTTAGTTGGTCGTGATGGCACACACCTTTAATCCCAGCAATTGAAGGGCAGGCACAAGTGGATCCAGCCAGGCCTACCTAGGGACTCTGATAGGCTCTCACTAGGTAGCCCAGGAAGACCTGGAAGTAGCTATACAACCCAGATTTCCCCAAACTTGTGTCAATCCTCCTGTCTATGTCCCACAAGTGCTACCATCACAGGGGTGTGCTAGGACATCTGGTTTGCCTTTTTATTTTTAAGATTTTATTTATTTTGAATACATGTGCACCCGCATGCCAGAGAGGGCAGTAGAGGGTATAGATGGTTGTGAGCCACCATGTGGTTGCTGGTGTTTGAACTTAGAACCTCTAGGAAAGGCAGACAGAACTCTTAACCCCTGAGCCATCTCTCCAGCCCCCTGGTTTGTCATTTTTTAAAAGACTTTTCTTTTCCTTTTAGAAACATATACTCAACTTAAAAACCGAATGGATGTCATTAAAAACAAAAAAATCTTAGAAGGTTGGCAATGTAGCTCAGTGGCAAAATACTTGTTTAGCATGCACAAAGCCCTGGGGTTTTCCTCCAACTCGGCAAGAGGAAAAAAGAAATGGAATCCACACTTACCTAAAGGCTTACTCTCTGCTGTTTGCTCCAGCTCCCTGAAAGCACTGTATTTATCACCAGACTCTGCAACAGAGAGACAGAAACTCATTACAGTGAGGAGTCCAGAGATCACAGCCAGAGAAGCAGGGCACTGCGCTGAGCAAACATATTTAACGTGTGGCACAGCATCTGACACACTCAATAAAACCCTGCCACCTGAAGATTTAGACAACTTAATTAAAAGCTACGGCCGAGCTTTAGCAGCTGACAAACTGCTTTTACCTCCAAATGCAGCCGTGTTTTCAGAGGGCTTGTCGGCGGAAATTCCTTTAAACACTGCGTATTTATCTGTGGAGGCTTTAGTTCCAGGAAGTGGTATCAACAGCGATGGAGCACTACAAGGAAGGAGAAAAAGTGTTGTTATTGCTCAGGTCGCTGAATCCTTTCCTCTTCACTGCACAGGGTTTAGAAGGCAGAGAGAAGTCAGGTTCTCTACCCCCTCCCCCTTTTTTCCCCTCCCTTCTGGAAAAACAAAAAACGAAAAATTTAATGTGTGTCAGGAATAGTGTCATATACCTTTAATTCCAGCACTTGAGAGGCAGAGGCAGATGGACCTCTGTGAGTTTGAGGAGAGCCCGGTCTACACAGTGAGTACTAGGACATCTGGAGATACATAGTGAGGCTCTGTCTCAAAAACAAACAAAAAAAATATGTATGCCATGTGGTATTCAGGTACGCCTACCTAGGGGCCACAAGAGGACACCGGAGTCCCAGGAGCTAGAGTTACAAGCAGTTATGAGCGGCCTAACATGGGGGCTGAGAATGGAGCTTATCTTGATGTTAGCTGTATCCATTCTGCGGGGCAGACAGACTGCCTGAGAAATATCACAGACAGAAATGCAGAGCAAGCTAAGGACAGTAACAAACAAACTCCAAAATGCTTTACTGAAGCAAGCTGACATCTGTGGGAATGGGAGAGAAGACAGCTAAGAGTCCAAGCCCTGAGGAGTCTGGATTAGGCATTTTATAAGACCCCCACTCCTCCTGTTTTCTTACCCTTTCACTGGACAGGACTTTTTTTTTTTTTTCTTTCCTCTTTCTGCCTTTCTCATGAGGAAGGAAACGGCCATCCTCTTTCCCTATCTGGATATGCTCTCCTTCCTTCCCTCACTCTGGAAGAGCAGCAAGTGCTCCTAACTGTGACCACTGAGAGTCCCCTCCCCAGTCTTTCCTACCAGCAAAAACAAAACAAAACACCAAACAGCTGGTGAGATAGTTCAGTGGATGAAGGCTCCATGCTGGGATGGAGGTGGAAGGACAGAACTGACCCCCAAAAGTAGTCCCCGTCCTTCACACGAGTCCTGAGGCACAGCACCCCCCCCCCCGCCACCTCACAAAAAATAATGTAATCTTTTTTTTTTTTTTTTAAACGACAGTGTGCCATGTATCCCTCATGTAGTTGAATTTCGACCCTCCTGCCTCTAACCTCCTGAATGCCGGTGTGCTGGGATTGAACCCAGGGCTTCCAGCATAACAGGGCATGTGGGCTGCCAACTGGTCTGCATCTGCACCCTATGGCTCTCTGCTTCAAAAGTGAGAAACTATATACAAACTCCAAAAATGACTAGACACAGTGTCCTTTCTCTTGAAAATAAACATTAACATTCAATCATTTTCTTGACTGAGGAGTAGCATGTACACCGATGGTCTAAGCATCTGGTTAAACTATAAGGGCACTGAAAACAGTCTTTTAAGACCAACAGTGTCCTGTGGCTTTAACTTACACATCACAGTAATTTAACAGTAAGTTCTTCTAAAAATGTATACTTAACATTTAAAGACAAATTACAACCACTTAATGTGAGACTTCTCTAAAATGAGTTCAGCCTGCAGAGGTGGCATAGTTAAGATAAAAGTCTATTTGTAAAATGTTCTTCAAACCAAGATGTAAATTCTGCTTTTGATCATTTCATGGATGCGCAGACATCCGATAAGCAACAGAAGGCACATTTTGACCAGGAGCACCACCAGCAGAGTCCCAGAGAGCTGTCTTTGCAGCAAAACAACAATCACTTCAAAATTAGATGAAGATAGTTTTATCTGTGGACATTTTTTTCCTTTTTTTTTTTTTTTTTTTTTTTTTGCTGGCTGGAAAAACAGTGTAATGAGTAGCATCTGCGTAGGAAACTCCTGGCCGGCTTAAACACATTGCTTTTTTCCTCTTATCAGCCCCAGGCGGCTCCCTGGAAGAACAACCTTTACATATGAATGACCACATCTCACCACCAGCTAGTGTCATTCAATACCAGAGCACAAGATATAAAAATGGATTTCTATTGAGGTCTCTGCCCTTCTGCAAAAACCTTTCCACAGTCATTTCAGTCTTCTTATCAGTGGCCCACAACCACGATAAAAACCAGGCTGTCCCGCATGCATGGTAATGGGGTCTACTGTGTCCTAAGATTTACAGGCATCGAATATTAAAATTTCACATCGCTGCCACACAGCTGCTACTATCTGATCTTGACAAATTTAATAGTTATCATCTATACATGTAGGTGGATGCTTTTACAGTTCTATAAATAATTAAACTACAGCTCATTGACCAGAATGTTACACAGGAATACAGGTAATTGCTGTTTAAGGACAAAAAGCCCAGGAAGCTGGAAGGCCTGCCTGCTTTTTGTAACCCTTCAATTTTAGCTATGGTTTTTTAAAAGCTCAGTGGCAAAATCTTTCTGCTAAATGTGACATTTAATTGAATGTAATTAATTTTAAAATTATATTCACAGAACTGGACAAAAAGAGACTCCGCAGAGTAATGAAACAGTGCTGATGGAAATCAACAGAATTCAGTTCCATTCCAGAACACTGACATACACTAATTATACACACACCACAAATCAGTGTTTCATTCCACTCCTGTCTCTGGAGCTGTTATTTTTTAAAAAGAAGGCTGTAATCACCATCAGAGTGTTTATGCCAGTTATATATAGCAGTTGTTATGTTTTATACATGAAAACAGTCATTTCTGCTCTTTAAGGGAAATACTCAAGTGAGAGGGGACACGTTGTTTTAAAATGTAAGAATCTGCATTCCACTGAAAGGCAAGACTGGGAACCTGGTCATCAAAGAGGACATTTCTTCCCCCAGAGAATCTGCTTCCGTGTGTCTGTGGCAGGTTTTAGGAATAGGAAAGCAGCCACCATTCCACCTTCAGGGTCTACACGAGGTACTCCTGAGCACACACAGACAGTAAGCGCTCTTGGTTTTCATTCTAAGTCTCCAATGGCTGTGGTCTGACCTCACAGTCTAACTGGTTAGTTTGTAAGGAGTTAGGAATGACACAGGAAGTGAAGGAAGGAAAAGGGTAACTGCTCCAGAATTTCTAATTCCAGGAATAGAGCTGTGGACCTTTACATAAACAAAGCGTTTATGGAATTGGGGGCGCTGTAAAAAAAAAAAAAAATCTGAATTCCAAACACACATTTTATAGCATGTGATAGGAAAGACTATTTGCTATTTCTTTTTTTTTTTATGTATTTATTATGTATACAATGTTCTGTATACATATATATGTATGCACACCAGAAGAGGGCACCAGTTCTTGCAGATGGTTGTGAGCCACCATGTGGTTGCTGGGAATTGAACTCAGAACCTTTGGAAGCACAGCCAATGCCCTTAACCTCTGAACCATCTCTTCAGCCCTATTTGCTATTTCTTACACAGATAGTTTTGTTCACTCTGCTAAACATAAATGTTTAAAAGAAATGCTTAGAGTACAGTGTGGCGGTGCAGTCTTTAATCCAGCACTTGGGAGCACTCTCTGAGTTTGAGGCCAGCCTGGTCTACATGGAGTTTTAGGACAGCCAGAGCTATGTAATATCGAGAACCTCTCTCAACAAACAACCCACAGAAAACAAAAACAAAGAAATGCTTAGTTCTCAACAAAACAAATGAACAGCCACGATGCCCCTGGGGCTACAACTTTCGGTCTCAGAGCTCCATCTCTGCAAAGTTGGCTCTCTTGGTCAGCCCCACCCTGGGCATTTTCTGAATACACAATTGGATGTTGGTGCTTCATGCCTGGATGCTGTCGCATCACTGACATCGGAACTGAGTCTGACCAGCGCACCAGTGTGCAAGGAATAGCGCTTCCAAGCTGTCACTCAAAACCCAGAGTGGCGCCCTGGGCTCGCAGCAGGAAAGGGTCCCACACAGCAGCACAAGCCCTTCCCAAAGCCATTTCTTCTTCTGAGGATGCTTTCCAGATGTGACCATAGCTCACAAGGCTTCCCACAACAAGGCCTGCCCTCACTGCTATGGTTTCCTCACCAACTAACAGTGCTCTCTGTCAGCCACGGCCACTCCACAATGTAAAGCTGCTCCATTCTGGTTAAAGACAGCAAGTGCAGAACTAACTTGGCTCTACAACTAAAGTAACTTGCTATTCTGGATTCTTGTTCTTCTCTCCCCCTCACCGGGTCAGTCCTCCAGTAATGGTGGCCACAGAGATGCTTATGGATCTCATAACATTCATTTCCACAAAGCTCACTTATTTCCTTAGCTATCTCTAACAACAGGACCACAAAGGAGACATTTTAGTTCCCTTCCCCCTCTCCCTTCCTGCACCATACTGCTCAGCCTGTAAGCTGGTGGCAGGCTCTCTGGTTTCTTGGACTAGAGAATACCCCTCTACAGACCTCTTCCAGAATAAAGCCTGTGCATTTATTTGTTCCTTGTCTGTCTTTCCTTCTCCAACCTTCCATTTCCGCCCATTCTCCCTCTAAACCCTTACTCGTTCTGCCATCTTTTCTGACAAATAATACCCACTTTTGTCTATAGACACTGACCAAGGTGAAATCTCTCGGCTTAGTCATCATGACTCAACAGACGGCCTTTAAAATAATTTCATAATATCAGCCACAGATAATTCACATGCAGAGGTGCGAGTCTCCAGTATGACGGGTGAAGTATTTGCATGCAATCCGCCCGCATTCTCTGCACGCCTGGAATCAATCACCTGCAGTAGCTATAGTAGCTAACACTGTAAAGGCTGTGAGCGCAGCCACTGTGCGATACTGTGTAGATATAAAAACACCAAACTTTGTGCATTTTCAGTAGATACACCATTTTTCTCCCCTGAATGTTCTCCACTTTAGTGGACTGATTCTGAGGACTCATCGGACATGCAGTTCAGACTGAGTCATGAGAGCTTTCATCTTAAGCACTAGATGAAACTGAGCTTGTCTGCAGCAGCAATTGTGGGCCTCGGTCTGTACTTCTGGTGTTTCACCCCAGGCTCGTCATACAGCAGCCGCTGAGTAAACACATGCTGAGGACTATGTGAGCACGAGTGTAGGCTTTTAGACAGGAGAAAACCACCTCCATTCAAGGGAAACGGAGGTAAGGAAACGAAAGCTGTAAAAGGTACAACGCACAGCTGTGTATGAAACTAAGCGATCACATGATGCAGCAAACGATGCCAACAGCCCAGGGGAGGGGCATGGTGGTCCTTATTAGCACTTAGGAGGTAGAGGCAGAAGGAGAGCTATGAGTTCAAGGATAGTCTGGTTTACCAAGCAAGTTCCAGGCCAGCCAGGACTGTACAGCAAAAACCCTTTCTCAAAAAAACAACAACAAGCAACAAAATTTAAACCACAAGGGCTGGAGAGATGGCTCAGAGGTTAAGAACACTGGCTGTTCTTCCAAAGGTCCTCCATCTATAGTGAGATCTGGTGCCCTCTTCTGGTACATAGGCACACATGCAGACAGAATACTGTATAAATAAAAAATAAATAACTCTTAAAAAAAAATCAAATCAGGAGCAGGAATGCTTACTCATTTGTTAAGAGCACTTCCTGATTTTTTCCAAGGGACCCAACTCCAGTTCCCAGCTCCAAGGTCAGGTAGCTCCCGGCTGCCTGTAACTCAGTGCCAGGGGATCTGATGCCCTCTTCTGCCTCCCTGAGTACCCACACACACATGACATACATTCACACAGACACAGACACACACACACACGCACACACAACTCTAAAAAGCAAAACAAAACAAGCAAAAACTAGCCAACCAATGCAATAAATAAAGAAACCCTAATAATAAAAAATAAAAACCTGGCAAAAGCACACACATCTCAGGTCAGGCTACCATTTTAAAACTTTTTCCTACAAATTTTAACTTCATCAACTGAAAGACCTTTCCCCAGCCAATGAGCCACCCCCTTGATGGCCTCGGTGTCCAGTCCACACACAGTATCATCATCTAACAGTTCTGTACCGGCTGGGCAGTACTGGGGAGAAAACAGGAGAAGCACAGGCCATTACAGTCAGTAGAAAAGGAGGGACACTAACTCATCTCAGAGGCATGGGCAGCTGGAGAAATTAGGAAAAAAAAAACAACACCCTGATATTTAGCTGATTTTTGACATAACGTATTTTTGTTTGTTTGTTTGTTTTGTTTTTTTGAGAAAGGGTTTCTCCGTGTAGCCTTGGATGTCCTGAACTTGCTTTGTAGACCAGGCTGGCCTCACAGAGATCTGCCTGCCTCTGCCTCCCTGAGTGCTGGGATTACAGGCGTGTGCCACTGTCCTTGGCTTGAATTAACTCTAGAGAGACCAACTAGATAAGGTTTTACGGTTTGAGGGACAGAGAAAGTACAATGCCAAAAGCTTGAAAGGCAATGGTGAGAAGCAAGTCTCTAGTAGTCTGGAATTTGGACTGCCAACTGCATGAATAGGGAGGAGCAAGATCACACATTAAGCCTTCTTCTACACTAGGCAGAGCTGACAAGAGTCAGAGGACATGTGCTTTCAGCCTGGTAACTGGATGTGGTAATATCATGGACCAACCAAGGAAGATGAGTAACAGCGGTGTAACAAATGTTTGCCTCTCGGCAGGAAATTAACTCCATGCGGTAAATCTGAGATGTCTAACTTGAGGCATTTAGACAGGAATGCCCAGATAATGTGTCCACTGTGTTTGAAGGAAGAGATCTGGGCAGAAACGATGCAACAGTACTAGACATGGCATGTCGCTGACTTATGTTCGGTATGTGTTTCTGTTGGTTTTGGAGACAGGGCCTCGCGCCGTAAACCAAACTGGTTTCTTGTTCATGGCACATCTCCAGCCTCAGCTCTACGGAGTTGAGATTACAGGTGTTGGGATTACAGGTGTGTGCCACCATGTCCAGCTATGTAGAATATATTCTTTATGTCCTTATAGTCAGAAGAAGAACCTCTGTTTCTGATCTGAAAAATCCTCTATCCTGCCTACTTTTAGTTATAGTGTTATGTGGGAGGTCTGACTGGCTAAAATGGGAGCGACGGTACTGACTATACAAACAGGAACATAAGAGAACACAGTATGTGTTCTGTCTGACAGAAGCAACTTCCAAAATAAAACCAAATGCATCCCTATTGTGTACTCAGTCTGGTCTTCCAATCTGTGGAAGAAGAATCTGAACAGAGAGGAGGGGGTGGATGGATGAGGTGCACAGTATGCTGGCTGAACCAATAACTATTAGGACAGTAGTTCTCAACCTGTGGGTCATGATGCCTGTGGGGGGTAGGTCAAATGACCCCTTCATAGGATCCTCCAAGACCATCAGAAAACACAGATATTTACATTATGATTCATAACAGGAAAACTACAGTCATGAAGTAGCAATAAAAATAACTCTATGGCTGGGGGTCACCGCAACATGAGGTACTGTATTAAAGGGCTGCAGTGTTAGGAAGGTTGAGAACCACTGGTCTAGAGGAAAACCTAAGTGAAATGTTTGTGGTTCTGTATGCAAACAAACAGAATTCTGGAGGCAGAAAGCCACTGATGGAAAAGGGCACATGAATAATTAAAATCCAGAGCCTTGACTCCTGATTAAATCAGGAGTACATCATAGTACTATAAAATACAAAATCACATGTTCTTGCTTCAAACTTTTCTTAAAAGCTGAAGACTGGGTCTAATAAAAGAACAGGAAGCCATGGTGGCACAGGCACTCAGCTGTCATAGGTCAGGCTTGCTGTCTTTCTTCCTTTCCTTCCTTCTGTTTAAAGATGTTTTCTTTATGTAGCTCTGGCTGTCCTGAAACTCACTATCTAGACCAGGCTGGCCTTGAACTCACAGAGATCCACCTGCCTTCGCTTCCCTTAAAGAAGTGTACCATGACACCCCGCACCATGCATCAGGCTTAAAAACAAATAAATATGACAAGCAGGTATAGTGGAAGGAAGGGAGGAGCCAAAGTTCAGGTGGATACAGAGCACAGAAACAGAGTGTATGAAGGCAGAGGACGGTCCAGGAGACACGAGAGGAATGGGTATGTAACTGCTCTCTGGACAGGACACTTGTTGTTTTCAAGTTTATACCACGGATGCCCTTTCCCTAATGATAACATGTAATGTTAAATATATTCAACTCTTCTCTACCTGTTTCCATGCTGGGAATTACTGTTTTTTGAGGAAGCAGGCACCTCTTGAAAGTCAGTGAAAGAATCATCAATGGATCCTGACTTTGAAGCATCTTGAAAATCCTGGAAGTCATCTTCTTCTGTCTTTCCCACCTAGATTTAGAAAGTGTTAAGAGTTGGGGTTATTACTGCTGTGATGAAACACCATGACCAAAGCAGCTCGGGGAGGACAGGGTTTATTTAGCTGACACCTTCCTATCATCACTTTTCATTACTGAAGTAAGTCAGGACAGGAACTCAAATAGGGCAAGAATCTGGAGGCAGGGGCTGATGGAGAGGCCATGGAAGGGTGCTGCTTATTGGCTTGCTTTTCATGGCTTGCTCAGTCTACTTTCTGATAGAACACCAGCCCAGGGGTGGCCCCACCCACAATGGACTGAAGCCTCACCCATCAATCACTAATGCCCTACAACTAGCTCTTTTGGAGACAATTTCCCAATTGAGGTTCCCTTTTTTAGGTAACTCTACCTTCTGTCAAGTTGACAAAAACTAGCCAGTGCAACTAAACCCTTGTTAACTTGACACACAAGCACATAACTGTTAAGCCATAACATTTCCTTTCTTGTTTTTCCCCAAGATCACACACTGATATCAACATCACAATATAAACATCTCAATTTTAAAAGCCCTAGTCTTTAACAATTCAGTCTCTTTAAAACAGCTAGTCTTAGCCTGGCACAGTGGCACATGCCTGTAATCCCAGCACTCCTGGAGACAGAGGCAGGTGGATCTCTGTGAGTTAGAGGACAGTCTGATCTACAAAGTGAATCCAGGACAGCCACGGCTACACAGGGAAACCCTGTCTCAAAAACACCAAACCAAACCAAACCAAACCAAACACCCAGCCAGTCTCTTTAAAATCCAAAATCTCTTAACTATAGGCTCATGTAAAATAAAAAAAAAAATTAAGTAATTAAATATTTTCTTACTTCAAGAGGGAAGAACCAGGGCACAGTCACAATCTGCACCTAGCAAAACCAAACTTCAACAATGTAAAGAACTCAATGTCCAATTCTCTGGGATGCACTCCACAGGGAGTGGGTCCTTCTCTGGATCCGCCCTCTGCAGCACGCGCAGCTTGCCTCCCAGGCTCAGCGTGCTCCACCCCACTGCTGCCGCTGTTCCTGGCGGTCACCCCGCTCCAGAACTGCTGGGGTCCCTAGCTGCACTCGGGTTGCACTTTCACCAACAGCCCCTCCCGGGCTCTCCTCAGGGACTCCAGCCCTCTCCCTCAGTGCCAAGCCTCAGCTTCTCTCCATGACCCCTTCACACCTTCAAAGCCAGCACCATCTGGGCGACTCTCATTTATAAAGTTCAGCTGCCACCACGAGGTAGAACCTTGACTGTGCCTGGGACACAGCTTGTGCGTGCTGACTCTCTGGAGACACTTCCCAGATTTCACCTCAGTAATGCTGGTCTCTACTTAACCGCAGCTGATTCTTCAGCCCCAGCTGACCTGCATCCATTGTCTCAGCAAAGGTTTTACTTTAGTGGTTCTGGTTTCTTATTAATCACAGCTGATTCTTCAACTCCAGCTGAGCAGAACCATAGATTGTGTGCACAAAAGGCCGAGGAAAGTCTTTGCTTTTCTCTGAAACTTACAAGCTAGGCCTCCATTGTCTGCACTGCTCTCAACATTAGCTCCCAAGTTCCTACACAACAGTTCATTTGGCTCTCAACACTGATGGCTTTCCTGGACCAAAGTTCCAAAGTCCTTCCGCAGTCCTCCCAAAACAACATGATCAGCTCTGTCATAGCAATATCCCTGGAACCAATTTGTCTTAGGGTGACTACTGCTGTGATGAAATGCCATGACCAAAGCAACCTGGGGAGAAAAGGGTTTATGTAGCTTACATTCCACATCTGTTCCTCACTGAGGGAAATCAGGAAAAGAACTCAAATAGGACAGGTGCCTGGGGGCAGGAACAGATGCAGAGACCACGGAGGGTGCCGCTTACTGGCTTACTCCTCACGGCTTACTCAGCCTGCCTTCTTATAGAACCCGGGCCACCAGCCCAGGGATGGCACCACCCACAATGGGCTGGGTCCTCCCCATTAATCACTAATTTTAAGAAACAGCCCTACAGCTGGGTTTTATGGAGGCGTTTTCTCAATTGAGGCCTTTCAGATAACTATAGCTTGTGTCAAGTTGACATAAAACTAGCCAGCACAGAAAGGATATTTACATAGGGAACACAAGATTGCCCAAGTAAATGACTCCTCTCCAAGCATCAACCACAGAGACTATCATTTAATTGCTCAATTTAATCACATCTGCCTAATTTCATAATTGTGTGTATCTGTACGCACATGCACTGTGCTGTAACTGGACACGAGGTCTCGTGCACATTAGACAAGTGCTCTACCACTGCGCATGTATAGCTCCAGCAACAACACAACTGAGCTGTAACAACAGAGGTGCTTAAGGCAAGAATCCTGATTCATATTTTAAACTCATCGCAGGCACAAATGTGAAAAGACTGGCTGAGAGAGCTAACCTCTGAATATTTTATAAAGTAGCTGGGTTACATTTGCCGGGTTGCTGACGGCAAACCACTGTTTGTGGAGAGCTGTGACAGGAGCCTGTCATAACCAGTCATATGCATGCATGTAGCAAACACCGGCTCTTAGGCCACCACCCGGAGCAGACACAGTTCACGGTCCACCGGCTTCACCAACAAGCTCACATTACACTGTTCAGTACTTTAAAAGTGTAACTGCACGACAGGGTCGCCCTTCCATGCCCCAAATGGAGATCTACTGTGCTCATTTTAACAATCACTTTCCACTGTGTGGGGAAACTGACATCCATTGCTCATTTTCTCCATGATGAGCAGTAACATTTTATTCTATCCAGCAGCAGCACTGCCGGCATCCTGTCTACTAACTTCATCTCTGAGGCGCAGGTTTTCAAATAGTTGTGCCAATAAACCTGCGGGATTTTTTAGCCACTTTTTGTACATGTTCATTGATATTATATATCTCTACATTAAAAATATTGGTTTGCTAATCTGAGAAGTGAAATTTTAAAATCTTTCTTTTTCATTTTTATTTTCATTTATTTATTTATTGGAGACAGGATTTCAGCATGTTGCCCTGGCTGACCTAGAACTCTCTGTGTAAACGAGGCTGCCCTCAAACTCACAGAAATCTCCTGCCTCTGCCTCTGCCTCTGGAGAGCTGAAACCAAAGGTGTGCACTACCATGTCTGGCCTCAAATCCTTGTGTGTGTGTGTGTGTTTAGGCCAGAAGTTGGCATCACATGGTGTCTTCCTCACTGCTTTCCATTGTAGCAAATACCTTAGTTTCTCAACAAATATTTTGTGTATTTTAAGAATAATTAAAAACGAAAATAAACAATTACATTTTGTATTATCTTAATACTTAAGAAGCATCTTATTTTTTGTAGAGCTGGGGTCAAACTTAGGCTCCTGAGCGTTCTAGGTGAGCACACACTGATGAAGCACACCTGCCTCCACACGGCCTGATTTCCGTATCAGGTGCCCACTGTAACCCAGCGACAGGGTTTCTGAAGGAAAGCGGCCCACGTGTGCCTCTAGGGATGACCTGGCGCACACACGCCTTCTCCACTTACCTGGCTTGAGGGATAGGCTGGCATGAAGCCACTGGAAGTTGGCGCTGCAGCTCCACCCACTGGTCCAACAAGGTTAATGCCCATGATGGGCTGTCCGAGGGTAAGAGGCATGGAGCCTGTGGGGCCAGAGGGCATGGCAGTCGGCTGGCTCACTGGGGTAGACAGAGTCACAGGAAAGCCACTTAAGGTAGGAATGGGAGCCGCTGGGAACTGGTTCAAAGCATCAGGGCTCATGGCAGGCACACCCCTCTACATGGAACACCAGGAAAATGGAAACATGTTAGCCAGCTGCAGACCATACTCAAAATCTGATCAACTGAGACCTGCACATAGCTTTCCTGTTGTTTCACTTTCTTTGTCTGATGCCTCAGAGACATGAATCTGATACCAGGAGAAAAGTAACAAGGCATTCTCTATGCTCAAAATGCAGTTCGATAAGGCCATCTTTCATGCAGCAAACTTGGGCCTAGTTCATTCGTCCAATCTCTCCTCACTGAAAACACCCAATGGTAATACTTAGACATGGCCAGAACACATCAACTCATCAACTGTGATATTTTCGATCTCAGAAGTTTGGCTGATTTGCTAAAATCAAAGAATTTAAATTAATTCCAAAATATAGGAAACATTTTTATCAAGCTAAGTATACTTTAAGGAATTCTAAATAAGGGCAGAAACTGATTTCATCAATTATTTTCCCTTCTGAACGAAGGGCTAACGTGCTGGGATGTGTAGAATAGGGACTATACATTTTTGGATTATGCATCACAAGCTACGAAAATTTTAATGTACAAGGAAATCTACAAGGCTGTGGTGAAACAGGGATTTGCATTTTCAATCGGTAGAAACAACACACTTGTTCTGACATAAGACACATAGTCTACCTGCGTCACCGCTACCATGGCAAGGACGGTATAGAGCTCTTCCTTAGTAAGTTTGCCAGGTGTAGTTCGATTAGCTAAGGCCCATATCTGTCCAAGAGTTTCCCTGGGAAGTCCAGACGACATCAGAATGGGATAAAGTTTAGCAGTGTCTATTCCAGTTGGAGTCATTGTGGTTTCTAAAATTTTCTTATACGCATCTATTAAAAGAAAGACCAGATGACAAATGCAAACACATTGCAGGTGACTGACTTTGTTGCTGCCATTGTTGGTTATAAAAGAAATATAATCTTAGGTCAAATTGCTTTAACATAGCCGGCATCTGGCTCAGTGAAGAAAGGTATCTGCTGCCAAGCCTGATGACCTGAGTTCAATCCCTGGAATCCATGCAAACTTACACATACATGACTAGGAAAAGCTGCATGCATATATATAGGGAAGAATGAAGGATAAGATAAACTGGTAAAAAATGGACAAAATCTAATTTCTGTAGGGTTTTAAGAGAGGAAAGGGAAGAAATTGAAAATGGGTGGATGAAGCCAGGTGTGGTGGTGCACACCTATAATCCCAGCACTCTGGGAGTAAGAAACAGGTGAATCTCTGTGAGTTTGAGGCCAGCCCAGTCTACAAAGCAAGTCCAGGACTGCCAAGGCTACACAGAGAAACCCTGCCTCTAAAAACAAAAGAAAGAGAAAAGAAGGAAAGAAAGAAAGAAAGAAAGAAAGAAAGAAAGAAAGAAAGAAAGAAAGAGAAGGAAAGAAATGAAGAAAGAAGGAAAGAGAAGGAAAGAAAGGAAGAAAGAGGAAAAGGAAGGAAGGAAGGAAGGAAAAAGGAAAGAAAGAAAGAAAGAAAGAAAGAAAGAAAGAAAGAAAGAGAAAGAACGAAAGAAAGAGAAAGAAGCAAAGAAAGAAAGAAGAGTGAATGGAGTCCCACATAGTTTGGGAGAATATATAGCCTTTGATTTGTGGTTGTATGATTACAAATCAAAGCAGACATTACCATTTTCTCCCAGAAAGAAAATTTTCTGTAGAGATATTGCATCAAGGTTTATTTACTCAAGTGTAGAACAACTTTTGTCTGTACCACTTGAGCACTGATGGACATCACTTCCAGTTTGCAAGGTGCTGAGCAGCAAACCAAGCAGCTATGATTTACAAACATCAGCATCTGCTGCTGAAAGGGCCATTATTTCTGTGTCTACTGATGGTGGCTTACACATACTATTATGTCCACTGAGGACTACCATATAATCCATTTTAGTCATTTCTTCAGCAACGATAATACACATAAAGCGAACAAACAAACACTACGTTCCTACGTAGAAAATGATGTTACCCAATCTTTCATATAGTTTCATAGGACAATCAGAAAAAAAAAACAATATGTAAAAAAATATAACCCTCAACAATGCAGAAAGTATTAAACATTTTTAGTGTGAGTCTTTAAGATGTTTTTAAAGATTGTATGTGTATAGGTGTTTTGTCTGCATGTAAGTCTGTGCACTACATGGGTTTCTGGTGCCCACAGAGGCCAGAAGGGGGTGTCTGATGCCCTGCAGCTGCGGTTGTGAGTCATTATGTGGGTTCTGGGACTTGAACGTAGGTCCTCTGCAATAGCAGCTATGCTCCTAACCACTGAGCCATCTCTCCAGCCCCAGTACTGTGATTCTTGATACGTTATTAGTAGTCTTTGAAATAAGTACCTGACAATATCATCGTTTAGAACATGACAACTCTAATGGCTTGGTCTTTGCCCCATGAGCAATCTTGCCACTCCCAATAGTCTATTTCTTTCTTTCCTCATTTTTTTTTAAAATTATCTGGAGACAGGGTCTTACTGTGCAGCCCTGTCTGTTCTGGAACTCACAGCCACTGCCTCTGCCTGCTAAGTGCTGGGACTAAAAGTGCTTCACTGCGCCCAGCCCATAAAGCAGTCTTAAACATGAGATTTGGTTTTCTATACTCTTGTGGAAAAGGTGTAAGTAACAAGTCCATCTGAATATTTTATAGCCACAAGAATAGATATTTAGAAATACCTCTATAACATTTAAAGTAAAATATCCAGAGGGGAATGTTGGGCAAAGCAGCTTTACTTTACCTGGAACCAAACTCTCATTGTAAATCCAAGGTGGCATTCTGGGCTGAACAGGATCCTGAGAGGGAAACACGCCCACACCTAGAAGGTAAGATGGTTAATGTACATATGGTCTGGAGCAAAGTCACTGCTTTTAACAAAGAGGAGCACTGGCTGGAGACGCAAGAAAAAAAGTCACCAATATAATGAAAGCACTTGGTTCCCAAACAACTCTTGTACCCTAACTGTGTATTGAAATGTAAGGAGTACAAGGTACTAAAGCATCAATCTGGGTCCCAGGAGGCTTGCAACATTTAATGTGTGTGACAAGTTAGGGGGAAAACACTATAGACAGTGGCTTACTGCACGTGTCAAATATCCTCCTGAGGTTTGTCTCCAGGGCTGCCCAATCCTGATTCATTTCTGCAGTTAAAATTTGTTTTGGAAACAGGACTCAGGCCATGCAGTTGCTGAGCATGTGTTCCGCTGCAGCCTGAGGACCTGCTTGTCTTTCCTCTGTCCTGGGCTCACATCCAGGGCCTTGAGTGTGTGGATCTGGATCTTCCAGGCGGCAATGCAAACAATTTAGTTCAGAGGGAAAAACTACATTTTCATTGGTGACTTTTCCAGTTACAGCTAAACCTTTAAACTTTCACGGAAAACCAGAAAGTATGAGAGAATCAAAAGGGAGTTGATGTAAAGATGAGAGGAAATTTGAGGTCAGGAGTGATTGTGATTAAGATACAGGGTTATCAAAATCACTTGAGTAGGAGTAATACAGTGTGTTCAAAGAATTCAGAACAAAATCTTAGGGGTTAATTGGAGAAAAGATTGCATAAATATTTTTGAAGCAAAATTTTAATTAGCACAATCAAGCAGCATCCATTTTAAGATTAATGCTTTTCAGTGTTAGCATCTGAGCGGCAACTGGTTAAACAAAGTGTGTGCTGAAGGTTCCAGGAGCTCACCACTCTCTTCGTTTGACAGGTTTGGCTCTGAAGTCTTTTCTGCCTCTGCCGTGATGGGACCACTTACACATCCATCTACAGCACCCCCGTTACGGGCCGCTAAGCCGGGACCGTTCTTACTGGAACCTGGGCCTACGGCTTTGTGCCCAGCTTCAGGAGTGTTTAATGTAATTTGTTCCTGCCCAGATGTGCTTATATCACAAGGTACTAGGAGCTTCTCTTCCAAGGAAGGGCCTAAACAAACGGCACGAAGGATTATTTGTATATTACTGCATATTCCAATCTTTTCATCATCCTTTCCCACCCAGATATTCTCAAGTGAAGGCCTCTTACAGCCTATGGAATTCTGTAATAATTGTTACTCATTTGAGTGGGATTTGAGAGACATCAGAGGTTTGGAAGAACTTTGAATTACCCCACTCTGGTTCCTCAGGAATTCTATGCCACAGTGGGTAGAATCACATAGTGGTGGTGTGTGTGGGGGCTGGGGATATTTGGCAAGCTACCGATACTAGACACAGACACTGCTCCTAATTAGTGGGAGGCCCCAGTCTGGCCTGTTCCCACATCTGTCAAATGACAAGTCTTATAAGCTAAGTATAGGTTTCCCAAGACACTTCCCCACACACTATGTCTCGAGATAGACTGTGCCTGCCCGATAATTTCACAGAAGTACAGAAATGCGTAAGACTTGGCCAAGGGCAAAAGAGTCACTGCAGCCGCCTGGCCTCAAACCTGAGCAGATCCTCCTGCCTCCGTCTGCCCGGTACTGGGATTGCAGACATGGCTACCATATCCATCTTAGAAGGAGTCCTCCTTTTCCCCTTTCCTTCCTTCCTTCCTTTCTTTCCTTCCTTTTCTTTTTTTATTTGCTTATTTATTTATTATGTATACAATGCTGTGTCTCCATGTACACCTGCAGGCCAGAAGAGGGCACCAGATCTCATTATAGATGGTTGGGAGCCACCATGTGGGTGCTGGGAATTGAACTCAGGACCTCTGGAAGAGCAGTCAGTGCCCTTAACCTCTGAGCCATCTCTCCAGCCCTTCTTTCCTTCCTTTTTGAAACAGGGTCTCATGTAGCCCAGGCTGGCCTTGAACTATGTAGCCAAGGATGACCCTGAACTCCTCCTTATTCTTCTGCCTCCATGTCCTAAGGAATGGATTACACATGTGTGCACCGTAGCTAGCTAAAGAGATCACATTTAAAAAGAATTACATTTATTTTGTGTGTGTGAGTGTGTGTGTGTGTGCTGGCCCATGTGTGAAAGTGAGGGATCATTGCTCTTCTTCCAGAATGAATTCTGAGGATAAATTCAGGTCATCAGGCGTGGGGGCAAGCAATTTACCTGCTTGTCATCTCAACTGGCCCTGAAAGATTGCCCCCACATTTACTTATTTTTAACTTTTTATTGATTCTTTGTGTAGAAATACTGCTTTTTAAAGGAGCTTTCCCCAGTGCATTCTTTTTCATGTGCTCTTAGGAGGTCAGTCTGCTCCTAAAGTTTTAAACTGGACTCTCTTGTTTCTAACACAGCAGTGAAATGTTTTTAATCACTTTTCTAGCAAATGAGGATGCAAAAACTTAATCTAGCCTTGCGTTGGTGGCTGTCAATGATTCTCATAAATCACATATCTGTTTCTTTGCCAATAGCACTGTATAATTCTACATAAGTAAGAGAATTAAGTTATCCTAGAATATCTTAGCACTTTGATAATAACACCAGGAGTTACCTGCTTTCTGCACACTGTGTGAAGCTGAAGCAGTGGACAAACAAGGAATTTGCCCATGGCCACCATGTAAGGCAAAAGACACTGGAACCTGACCTGGAGGAAGAGGCTGTGTCCCAGCCTTCTGTGTGTACAACTGGCCAAGTGGGGCGGTGGGGAGAAAAGACTGAAAGGGCCGGGCCGCAGAAGAAGGCCCACAAGCGGGGACCTCAGCAGGCCCCTGCATAAAGTCACTGAATTCGTCTTCGTCAAGAAAGGCTGATGATGGGGAGGAAGTTTTAGCAGAATGAGGTGATGTGGGACAATCTGCAAAATGGAAAATGGCAATGAAACATACAGGCATGAAAACCAGAGGAAGAAAGAAGTCCAGATGTAACACAACCCTCAGAACATACTGAAATGTGAACAGTGGAGCTGAGTAAGAAACAACAGTCAGCCAGGGGGTGGTGGCGCACGCCTTTAATCCCAGCACTTGGGAGGCAGAGGCAGGTGCATCTCTACAAGTTCAAGGCCTGCCTGGTCTACACAGTGAGTTCCAAGACAGCCAAGGCTACACACAGAGAAACCCTGTCTCGAAAAAACAAACAAACAAAACAAAAAAGAAAGAAAGAAAAGCAACAACCACAGCCAAGTGGGGCCAGAGTGCTCCCAGGACACTTGCCTGTTATGTTCTAAAAATAAGTTCTAGAGCTAGTTTGCATTTGGTTCAAAAACAAACAAAATTGACTCAAATTTCCTTCTTTCATTTTATTAGGTAGTACCCAATGTGTATCAAAATGACAATCACTTCTGAAATCCAAGTGCCCTAGCTAGAGAATATTTTTTTTTTCTTTCTTTGTTTTTTTGAGATTGAGTCTCTATTAAACCTTGGCGGTCCTGGAATGTAGACTCTGTAGACCAGGCTGGCCTCAAACTCAGCTCTTTCTGCCTCTGCCTCCTGAGTGCTGAGACTAAAGGCATATACCACTACACTCGGCCCTAGAGAGATTGGTCTCTCTCTCTCTCTCTCTCTCTGTAAGACTGCTGCATAAAATAAACAAAATCCCATTGCTCACAGCACTGAAGATACAGGCACATATGGCTAATCCTGGCTTTTTATATGGGTGCTTGGGATTTGAACTTAGGTCCTCATGCTTGCATAGCAAAAATTCTTACCCACTGAGCCACTTCCGGAGCCACACTGGCTTTTTATCATTACATGTTAGCTTTACTTTCATAATGAATGTGCCCTGCAAGGACTATATTTAATATGGAGCTCACTAACAGTTCCATTTTACTTATTTATTCATTTATATTTTTGTTTGTTTGGTTTTTGTTTTCTATTTTGTTTTTCTAGGCAGGGTCTCTCTGTGTAGCCCTGACTATCTGGACCTCTCTCTGTAGACCAGGCTGCCCTTGAACTCAGAGATCCGCCTGCCTCTGCCTCTGCCTCTGCCTTCTGCTTACTGGGGTTTATAGGCATGTGCCGCCATTCCCAGCTGTTTCTTCTTATTTTTAATGTTTGAATTGCTCCGCTATCTACTCATGTTTAATGTAACAATGAACAGTCTCTCATCTGAAAAAGAAGGCAATTTCAAGCTTGTGACTTGTCTTTAGGATTGGTGGAATAAAATCTGGAATTACTCTTCTGGAGTATAAATGGCTTCACACAGGAGCGTCAGCTGCAAGCGTACTGAACTTTGCCGATTTGAGTAACACATCAACTGATTACCTAATGTGCCTCCCTTGCCGCTAACTGATGACCACACTCTCAGCTCACAAGAGAACTCTGTGTGAACAGTGTCTCACCTACAACGGCCACTGCTCTCTGCCTTTTCTAAGGTTGGTTCAGCTTTAGTCTTAACTTTCAAAGTTTGTGTACCTTAGGTTGGCCTAGAACTTGGTATGTAGGCTATGCATTCCGTAGGCTAGCCTCAAACCACACCCCGACCTTAGCCTCTCGATGTGCCACCTCACTGCCTGAGTCATGTCATCACTAGCTTGTTTGGCTTATAATTTTCAGTTTTAGATATGCTTTTCCTGATCGCAAAAATGATTACTAACAGCTATTCTCCTTCCAGTTTTAGTGTCTACTCTACTTTGGGCATGATTTTGGTAACAGCAATCAGGGTACTTAATCTAATCAGTGGAATTAACAGGGCAGAGTAAAGCAGAGGCAGAAAATCAAGAATTAATAATAATATGCTGGAGAGATGCTCAGTGCTCAAGAGCACTCGCTGCTCTTCCAGAGGACTTGAGTGCGCTTTCTAGTGTGCACATCAGTTTCACAATAGCCTGTAACTCCAGGTCCAGGGGATCCGATGGCCTGGGTGGACACTTACACTTACACACACACACACACACACACACACACACACACACACACACACAACACACATCTATACACACACACACACACATACACACACACACACACATACACACATACAATACTTTTTAAAAAGAAGTGATAACAGTGTCAATATTAGATTGATTTCTCCTAATATCAACTTGAAAGAGATACGAAAACACAAGGATTTAGAATAAAAGTTATTGATGTAATATTTTCTGGCAGAACATAGTACTTTTTGGTTTGTTGAATTATTTGTGAAAATTGTTTGTCTGTTAATTCTACATTATTATTGAAATTACCTGATAAAATGTCAAAATATTTAATTTTTAAAAGATGAGAAATATTTTGCAGACAAGACAATTCCAACAAAGTGTTTAAAATGATAACAGATCAAAAAATAAATCCCTTTACCCTGCTTCTCTAAAAGGCAATTTTATTTGATTAAATCAGGATTAAAAACTACAAAGAAATTTACTGAAGAAACGAAACTTTCCTGAGAAATATCACAGCCATGACTAGAAATGGGGCACTTTGAGAATTTCTAAGTTTTGTCTCATGAATAATGAAATCTGACCTAGCTCATAAGAGTGCACATTTCATTATGATAAAGATGGACTAGTAAACTCACTACATTTCTTTGATTCAACAGACTAATTTTTTTCTTTTTTTAAGTCAGGGTCTCTCTATGTAGTCTTAGGAGACCAGCCTGGTGTAAAATTTAAAAGGTCCTCCTACCTCTGCCTCCCGAGTGAGTGCTGGGTTAAAGGCACACATCATCGTGCCCGAGAACGGACTTTCTTAACATTAGTACACACACTATACAAACTTCCCAGGAAAGTTATCAAAGCAGAGGACTAAGGATTTTAACCTCAGCTTATCTGTTAACTGGGTCTGATCCCTACATTTCAAGATACCCAAATCTGAACTCAGCTTGAAGACAGAATTAAGCACTGACTTTCACAAACAAAGGCCATTTAAACACAGGGGGATGGTTCCAAGGAAAGAACATTTTTGTGTCTCTTAAAAAAAAAACTACCTGGTTTCTTGGGGTGAGATGCTGGAGTGGGGTGCATCTTCGCATCTCTGGAAAACCCATCCAGGTTTCCTTTTATGGCTTCCAAAGCATCGTCTCTATTCTTCTCTCCTGTCTGCAAGACAAAAAACCTGTTTAGTTCTTCCCTTCTCAAACTAAAACACAGATATTTATTTCCAGCATCCTTTTGTCCTTTTCCATTTTGAGACAAGGTTTGCCACAGAGTTCACTGTCCAGCCCAGGCTGGCCTCAGACCATGCAGGTCATCCTCTTGCCTTTGACTCAGGAATGAGCCACCACAGGAGGCTTCAGTTCCAATATTATTACTATACATTTGTGATAATTAATTTTCCAAGTCATAAAGACATCATCAATAAGTATATAAAGTAAAGGCATAAAAAGACATTCTATGGAATATAAAAACTTTAGAAGATTCGTTCTCAAGTACTACTGGACAAGACTGAAATAGTAAAATGTTCTAAGAGGGATGGGTGTACAGCATGCCCGTGAGCTCTGGGAAGAGACAGTGTATACATCACCTTGGGTTTCACGCTACTCAGAAGTCTGAGCTTTTGTTTTTGCTCTTCAAACTGACGTCTTTTTCTTTCTTCTTCTAAGAGTTTTTGTTGTTGTTCAAATCGTTTTCTGAAGGTAAAACAACCACATCAACATTCAGCATAAAGGAGTACACTGAGATTTATACTGTCAGCTTCACCAAGACCAACTTGCCTCTTTAGAATTATAATCTTCACTCTTAATTATATATAATGCTTTTATGACAATCTGTTTCTTCTGTAAACTAGCTCTAAAATGCTTTAAATGAATCTACAGAATGATTCACTTAATTTGCATGTATGCTTTTATTTCTTACCTAATTTGCAAGGCAAAGAAAAATATATATATTTTGGTGGTGTAGCTGGGTATGAGACCATCTGCATGCGGTATCATCTACAACTGAGATAGCTCCAAGTGTAAAGAGAGAAACCCACCTGTAGGTGGAGATGTGCCCTTTTCTCCTGCCTGAAGGATTAACCCAATGTGGCAAGGCCAGGAACCTGGCTACGGGCCCACCCCAGGAAGGCAAGTTCACCTTAAGAAAGGGGCCCCAGTTGGTTGTCTAACACCAAGTGGTCAGCTCTGAAATCACATGCATACAAGTAAAATTACATGGGCTGAGTAGGTTGTACTTAAGAGACCATAAATTTGGGAGCAAGGGGAGGGGATATACAGGAGGATTCGAGGGAGGAAAGAGAAGGATGTGTGTAATTATACTTAATTTAAAAAATTTTTTCAAATTATCAGTTGAAAAAAGGTAACATTCATTCCTGTGGTGGCTTAATAGTTAGGGCCCTCATAGAGTCATGTATTTGAATGCTTAGACCCTAGGGAGTGGCACCATTAGGAGGTGTGGCCTTGTTAGAGGAAGTTTGTCACTGTGGGGGCGGACTTAGAGGTCTCCTAGGCTCAAGTTACACCCAGAGTGACACACAATCTCCTTCTGTTGCTTTCAAGATGCAGAACTCTCAGCTCCTTCTCTAGCGCCATGTGTGCCTGCATGCTGCCATGCTCCCCACCATGACGATAATGAAGTAAACCTTTGAAACTGCAAGCCAGCCCCAATTAAATGTTTTCCTTTATCAGAGATGCTGTGCTCATGGTGTCTCTTCACAGCAATAAAGCCCTAAGACAATGCCTTTCCTTCCCAGAATCCCCTCCTTCTGGTGCAGTCCCTATGAGGCACCCATCTTTCTGAGACCTGACTCAGAAAAACGTAATTATTTCTTTTTCTTCTCTTCTGTCTTTTTCTTCTGGATGCTGGCCAGAGCCTAAGCGTGTTCTTAAGATCCTTAACACTTTGGACTTCCTCACTCTGTTTCTAATGTTCCCATGGCCTGCCATGTGGCTGCCTGTCATCATGTGATTGATCTCCATTCTCCCCTTTCCAGGCAGCTGTGAGAGTTACAGCTTCTCTGCCCTGGAGTTTTCCTTCCAAACTCTAATGAACTGTCCTTAATCTTCTGTTTGAATATGCTCTTTGGCCTTAAAATTCCCTTTGTGTCCATTTTAAAATTCCATAAATAAGACTAAAAACCCCCAAGAGGAGACCCCAATTCCCTAGGTACCATATGATGGCTCTACTGGGAACTCCCCAAGATCTCTAGGAATATTTCCTTCCTGCTTTTTAATTGTTTAATTGGCAGAGAACATAAACCACTGCCTGTTGCAAAGGTATCCCCAGCAGCAAAGGAAACAGTCTTGGTGCACTGAGCAGTCACAAAAACCAGGGGGAAAGATGAACATAAAAGCATGCTCAGTCCTGAAGGCTGGGCAGCTCTGTGGTACAGCACTTGCCTAGCAGCTACAGCTTTACAATCAAACAAAAGCAGCAGAAACAGCCAATTTCAAAAGCTGGGAGCAGAGGCAAAAACCTGTATTTCCAGCATTTGAGAGATCTGAGCACAAAAGACTGCAAATTCAAGGCCACACTGGACCTTTTTTGTTACTCTGACTCCAGAAATCAAAACAACAACAACAAAACCCAACCAAACATATAGGAGATTTCCCTGGGAAGGAAGGCAGTGTGTCCAGGAGCGAAAGCCACGCTCTGAGAAGCGGGGCCTTGCTGGACAACCGGGGGTGTTGGTTATCACTGTAACTAGGCTAACCAACTGCATCATTTCTCTGGTCTTCCTTTCCTCAGATAGAAAACAAGAAGTTTGAACAAAGGGACCTGTAAGGTCCCTTTTGTAACTGAACATATTTTTCTTGGTTTTTTATTTCGTTTTGTCTGAGACAGACTCTTGTTATATTGCCCATGTGGCCTTAGATTCACACTTCTTCCACCTCAGTCTCCTGAGAGGTCGGGCTTAAAGGTGAGTGCCACACCATTCAGTTGGCTCTAAACCTCTTACAAAAGTATTTAAAGAGCCCTGCCTCAAAATCAAACAACAAACAAACCTGTTTTTAAAGTGTTCTAAAGACAACATATCTCTTTCAGCTTCAAATTACAGAACATTTGATAATCGGTAGCTGCTACTGTAAAACCCTGTTATCCCTGGATCCCGGGGGTCTCTTACTGTTGCTCTTCTGCAAACTGCTTCTGCATGTCTGGAGTGTACTGTGGGCCTGCAGGACGCATGCCCAGGAACGGTGGCTGCCCCAGGAAAGGCACACCTGCTGCTGGCATTGGCCCCATTGGTATTCCTGCCTAGAAGAAACAGACAATAGATTAAATAATATATGGGGTTTTTGGTTACAGGATGTTGATCACACTGTGAACCCAGGGAGTTTGTTGTTTATTAGAAAAACGTGTTGCTAGTTGTGGTGTGGCTCAGCCCTAGCACACACCTTTAATCCAAGACCTTCCTGCTTGAATTAAATAAAATCAACCATAGATCAAGAGGTGGAGCAGGCAACCAGTTGACAGGGCGTGAACATAGGAAAAAAAAAGAGTAAGAGATAGAGAGATGGACAGGAAATAGAAAAGAGGAACATTCACTTTTGAGGGGGTTTTGAGGTGATATGGGGAAGGAGGCCTATTTCTTCTGGGATGTCAGTTGACGAGGAAGGTCAGCTGGGTGCTTTCTCTGCCTCTCTGATCTAGCAGGCTTTCACTGCAGCATCTGGCTCCCAACTCTTCTTTGGTAAAATCGAACAATTGAGATTTTGTTAAAAACAACAGGTTTTCTTTTTAATTATTAAAAAAGCAACTTGTAAAATAATTTCATAGTATTTTTTAGTGATATATATGATATATCACTAAATATGATATATTCTAGTGAAAGATTAAAAAAAAATAGGCTAAACATTCACTTTAGTGTCACAGGACACCACTGGTAGGAACTCCTTTGGGCCGTGTGTGGAAACCCACAGTTATGCTCCAGTGCATTTAGCAGTCCACACGCTTTGAGAAAAGGTGTCATAGCATATGTATGCATCTTTGTTTTTACAGCATCAGTGAAGATCCTGGCATATGCCAGTCATTCCATAGGTAATCCCGAATTTGATTCCCAGTATTTATAAGATAATAAATATTTTGGGGGTGGAAAGATGATTCATCGGTTAAGAGTACTTGTTGCTCTTGCAGAGGACCTGGCTTTGATTTCCAGCACCCACATGGTATCTCACACCCATCAGTGACTCTGGTTCCAGGGCACTGGATGGCCTCTTCTGACCTTGACAGGCTCCCAGCACACATGTGGTACATATTCATAAAGGGAGGCAAAACATTCACAGACATAAAATAAAATAAAATCTAACAAAAGATAACTATTTTGATGTTCATATCACAATCAGAATAACCTAAACTTTTACAGAAAATAATATATCTAATCTATAGTAAATTATATACCAATAGGGGCTGGAGATGGCTCGGCAGTTAGGAACACTGACTGTTCTTCCAGAGGTTCTGAGTTCAATTCACAAACTCTAAAATCAGATTTAGAGTAACAAGAACAGCCATTTTTCCTGAGTAAAAGTTTCTTCTGAGTGTTTCCCTTCTGAGCCATGGCTGCTCTTGAAGCCACAAGAGACTGCTGCTTCTACTGTCTTGGAGATGGGGAGCATGTCCTTGTCCCTTTAAACCTTTCCTTCTCTCTAAAAAGCCTGAACACAGTTTGTTGGTTTTGGTTAACAAACTTCCCCACTCTCTACTGCACCTTGTTTAACTTCCTCTTGTTTCTTTATTGAGACAGGGCCTCATGATGTTGCCCAGGCTAGCCTCAAACTCAAGATCCCTCCTCTCCTTCTTTCCCTTCTCCCTTCTCCTTCCACAGGCCAGCTTTTACTTTTCAACTAAAGACTTAAGATGTTATTTTTCCATTCTACCTACAGAGTATTGTTGGTAAAGTTACCAATCCCCTGGATGACTCCTCCAACATTGCCTTTCAGGTCTGTGGTCTCTGCCATCCCCAACACCATTCTTTTGTCGCATCCTTAGTCTATCAGCAAAAATACCCAGGCCCCCTTAAACTTTTTTTTTTTTTTTAAGCATCCCAATACTTGGCTTCTACCAACCAGCCTTTCAGCTTATCTATACCAGTAATTTTCTTCTTAGGAATACCCCCAATTCTGTCATCTCACCACTTTACCTACTGTCCATCTTCGTCAAGGCCTCACTTCTCACTTCTCTTCCTGCTCAGATTAGATTCCAAAGTTCAACATTAAAATGGTCTTAAAAGGGGCTGGAGAGACGGCTTAGCAGTTAACAGCACTGGCTGCTCTTCTAGAGGTCGTGAGTTCAATTCCCAGCAACCACAGGGTGGCTCAAAATCATTTATATTGGGATTTAATGCTCTCTTCTGGCACACACCATATATGCACACAGAACACTCATACATAAATAAATAATAGTTAAAAAAGGAATTAACTATAAAAGATGGTATTATCGATATTCTCAACTCTCTTGTCAATTTCTTTAAATTTTTTTATTTTATTGTTCCCCAATTGGTGTGTGTGTGTGTGTGTGTGTGTGTGTACCCATGCATGTATCACAATGTGTATATGGAGGTTAGAAGCTAACTTTGTGGAGTTAGTTCTCTCTTTTCATCTTTTTGTGACCTCTAAGGATCAAATTCAGGTCATCAGGCTTTGGCAGCAAGTACCTTTATCCACTGAGCCATTTTGATGACTTAATTATCAATTTCTTGATCTGGTCTCCTGTTTTCTCTATGATGTGTCTAGATGTGAAGATTTCTATTCATTTCTTATTGCTATCAGGTATCTGTGCAGCACAGTCCAGTCCAGTTCCTTTACTAGAGAAATGGCTACACATGGCTAGGTCAGGAAAGGTATCGCAGCTTCTGCAGTTCCCTCAAATCACCTGCTCTGAAGAAGCTCGTGTGAACTTAGAGGGCCATCTAGGAATGGAGGCCAGCAGATGGTACCAACTGCCAGCCTGTGACGAGACCACGGAAGCAGATGCCTTGACCTCAGTCAAGTCTTCAAGTGATTATACACAACCAGCATCCCGACCTCACCCAAAGTCTCCAAATCAGAACCACCCAACCAGAGCCACACCCGAGTTCCTGGCCCATAGGAGTGGTGAGCTGTTGTTTGCTGCTGCTGCAAGGCACTAAGTCTCGGAGCAACCTGTGTGCATCAGTAGACGAAGACTACAACCCATTGGGTATGCATTAAGCTTCCTGAGTCTATTCTTTAGCACAACCAACAATCCAGATGTTTCAACTATGACTTCTGATTTATTCTTTTTCCTGTTTTTCTAGGATTTCGACTAAACACCTTTTAGGCCTTCTCTTGTATCATCAAACTCTCCCACACATATTTTTATGTGTGTGCCTGTGTGTGTGTGTGCTCTTGAACATGGGTGGGCATGCATTCGGAGGCCCCAGGCTAATGTCCAGAATAATCCTCGGTTGCTCTTGTACCTTACTTACTGAGACAGGGTCTCTCATTTCAACCCAGTTTTGCTCACTGCCTTGCTCTGGGGACCCTCTGTCTCCATCGTCTAGGTCTGCGTCTACAGGGAGGGCACCGTGCCCACCAGGCATTTAAATGAGTTTCTGAGGTCCAAACGCCACCCTCACACTTGCCATCAAGAACCCTCATGGCAAGCCCAGTTCCCCAGCTCCACTGATACATTTTTGTTTGGTTTTTGGTTCATCCTAAATAGTTTTTTTTTTTTTTTACCTCTCCAGCTCACTAATTCATTCTTCAGCCATTTCTAATTCTCTGTTAAATCCCAGAATTCTTCCTTTGGCTAGTATATTTTTCAGTTCTGAAATTGCTTAAATCTGATGTTACTTTTTATAATTTCGAGTTCCCTACCAAGATTTTTCTACTTCAGCTTTTGTTTCTTACATCATAAAAAAATAAAACAAGGTTCCAGAAAGAAAAAAAGAACACATAGCTCACAGTCTGTCCTGCTAGTTCCAACAACTAACACTGAGAACAGTTACTGGAGTGGTTTGAGTGATAATGTCCCCCATGGGCTCATATCTTTGAATGCTTGGTCCCCACTTGGTGAAACTCTTTGGAGAGGATTGGGAGGCAGGGCCTTACTGAAGCAGGTGTGTCATGGGGCAGGCTCTGATGTTTCAAACCCCGGCACCATTCCCAGCTAGCTCTTTCTCTTTGGCTCCCACTGTGGAGAAGGATGGGACCTGTCAGCCACTGCTCCAGCGCCTGCCTGCTGTTGTGCCCCCCACTACGTTAGTCATGATGGTCACCCTCTGAAACCGTAACCCCCTAATAAACGGTTTCTTTCATAAGTTGCCTTCACCATAGTGTTTTATCATAGCAATGGAAAAGTAACTAAGACAGTTGCTTAGCATGTGTGAGTCTTTGAGTTTGAACTATACTGTGGCATATACCTACAATTCCACCTACCTGGGAGGTCAAGACAAAGGAGATCCCCTGAACCCAGATATGATAAAACTCCATTAAAAATGCAAACACAGCATCTAACCATAGCTCTTGACAGGCAGATGCCCAACAACAAGCAATTAACTCTATAAACAATCAACTAAGAAGCAAGTACCTGCATTGCAATGGGTCCTTGGGACATTTGAGAGCTGTAATTCATTCCCATCATGCCTTGCATACTGGGCTGCATGACAGAGACCATGGGAAATCCTTGCTGCTGCATTGGCATCAGGCCTGCTGGAAAACACCAAGGTTTTATTAAAGCCAACATGTTCTAGGGTTTGTTCCTTAAAACCATAATACCCAGAGGACTCACTGACTGAAAAGCTCCATGTTGCAATGGAAAAAGCACAAGGTCTCGATGAGACAGGCGTGAATGAGAATTCCACCATCTACTTAGCTATGTGGCCTTGGGGAAGCTATAGAATGTCATTTGTTAAGTGAAAGTAATATAGGTTCTGCAGAACTTGAATGAGATGAATAGCAAGGCCCAAATGGAGTACTCAGTCTTCACCGTGGGGCCCAGTGATGTCTGCCCCTCTGGGACTCATAAGCTTATATCACATCCTCCTATGCTGACCTCATGCAGCTAACAGGATACTGTGGTGGTGACAGCACCTAACTGCCCAGCCTTGTTCTTTTCGAGACAAGATATCATGTGACCAAAGGGCTGGGCTGGTCCTCCTGCCTCCGTCGCCCAAAGCAGTAATTACAGATGTGTGCTACCACACCTTGGTTCCCAAGGCTAGTCAGTAGCTTCCTTCTTGCTTTCTTGGAGTACTTGTGCTGGAGGAAGCCACTGCTGCATCTCAGGAGCACTCAAGTTGTCTTCCGGGGAGTCCTTGTGGACACCCGGGGCCTCCTCTGGAAAGGCAGCCTGTGTCTGCCACCTTGAATGAGCATCTTGGAAGCAGATCTTTCCGCTCCATAAAACCTTCAGGTGGCTGCAGTTCTGCCTGACAGCTTTACTGCAGCCCCCAGGGTGCTTTGGGCCAGCACCACCCAGCAAGGCCCGCTCAGAGTTGACTCATAGGCACATTGGAAATAACAAAATGCTTCTTTTGCAAAGTGTTGGGGCCACCTGCTACAGCAGTGGATAATAACACTTCAGATCGTGAACTCTGGAAGCCAAGTGCATGGTCTACTTATGACCTATGGGGGCCTGGGTTATTCGCTCGCTCCCTTACTCTGTCTGTCGATATGCTTGTACGTCTGTCTCTGGGGCACTCTTTCTGATTCTCTCTATGTCTCTCTCTTTTTCTCCCTCTCCCTCCCTTCTTCCCTCTCTAGAATTCACTATATAGCCAGGCTGGCCTCTAGCTTTCTGAGTGCTGAGATTACAGGTGTGCACCACCACTCCTGGTTTTTCTTAACTTTGTTCTAGGCCTTTGCTTCTCATCTCTAAAATTGCTTAATGCTTATTATGTCAAAGAAATGTTATTTTTCTTCCCTGTCCTTACAGGGAAGAAAACAGTCATTTCTATGTGAAGTGTATATAATACAAGGATAGGAAAACTAGAGGGAACATATCATGTACACTAGTACCTCCCAGACTTTCCCAATAAAATATTCCCAAGAGCAGAGAAGAACAAATAGCCCTTTGGGGTTTAGTAAAGGGTAAATGTCTACTATAATAAGGAACAGTTCCATATGCCTTATGCACGACAGTGAATAAAAACATAGCTTCAGCACAAATTACATTACAATTTTGCATTTTACCACAGCCTGAACTCTCATTGATTATAGCAGGCATGTCCAATCTGTGGGCTGTGGGAAGCTGATCTGAGGATAATCCTGAACACAGCCCAATACAGAAATCGCCAGCTTACTTCGCATCACAGGGACACTGTAAAAACTTGATTTTATGGTTTTGAATGTGGACAACAATGCAATGCTGCACCTAACTAGAAGTTTAGCTTCTGGTTTGCTTCTGAGACAGGGTCTCACTGTATAGAGTAGACTGGTCTCAAATTCACAGAGATCTGCCTGTCTTTGCCTTTGAGTGCTGTGAGTAAGAGTTATGTGCCATTATGTCCAGGCAATTCTCCTTTCTTCTTTCTCTTCTTTTAAACCAAATATTCTACTTAAAGAAATACAGAAGCTGTCAGTCATGATGGAAACCACCTGTAACCTCAGCACTGGGTAGGCTAGCACAGGAGGATGGGAGGTAAGAGGTCGGAATATACAATCAGATGCTATTTCAAAAAATAAAGGTATAATAAGCAGTAAAGGGAAAGACCAGTATAGCAGATCTATCTTGTTCTTCCATTTGCTTTCCCTGTTTCTTACTGCTTAGTTTCAGAAGCACAAACATTTACATTTACAGGTAACAGCTAGCAGAGGCAGGCTACTTGTTTATTCATTCAGCCATTTGTTTAGATTCTCAAGGGTCAACGCCATGGCAGGCATCATCCTAAGAACATATCAATGAACAAAACCAGAGCCTCATGCTATGGAAATCATGCTGTAATTAGAGACAACCAATAATAAAACAAAACATAAGAAAGCCCTACAAGTCAGGGCATGGTAAGAGTTGGGGCAAGAAATAAAGCAAAGTAATGGGAATACAAGAGCCAGAGAATGCAGTGGTTGTGCTTCTGAGGCATGTTTCTGCCGAAAGGATGCCATGAGCACAAGGCCCTGAAGGAAGGAGGGAAGGAGGGAAAGAGGGAAGGAGGGAAGGAAGGAAGGAAGGAAGGAAGGAAGGAAGGAAGGAAGGAAGGAGGGAAGGAAGGAAGGGAGGGAGCCAGCAACACAGACTTCTGACAGAAGAGTATCTCAAAGGACACCAAAGGCAAAGGCAAAGACTGCGGTGTCGTGGATAACCACAACAGGCTCAGTACAGCCACGGTTTCCTTCTTTGTGCCCTAATGTCCATTTCATCTTTGCAAGGGCATAGCATTTAAAGCATAAAAGTATAGGAAGTGAATATTAAGTTTCCTCTTCTTGTCTCCTGATCAGGTACGCGTGGTGCTGTGGTCAACACTGCTGCTGGTTTCTTGTATATGTTTTCAGAAATGACCTGCGCTTCAAGTGCTCAAATGACCAAAAGTCTACTCTAAGATATTTTTTTAAAAACCCTCACGCTGGACAAGGTAAGTGCGTGCCTGTGATCCCAGCACATGGAGGTAGGGGCAGTGGAATCAAGAGTTCAAGGTCATCCTCAACTACAGAGTGAGTTCCAGACCAGTCTAGATGGCATGAAACCCTATTTCAAAAACAAAGCAGAACCGGTGAGGTGGCTCAGTGGGTAAGGGGCTTGCTGCCAAACTTGACAGCCTAAGTTCAATATCCAGAACCTTCATGGTGGAAGGAGGTGACCCACTCCCAGGAGCTATCCTCTTACTCCACACACATTCACTGTGGCACTGATACATGGATACATACTACACGGAAGTTTTAAAAAGTCAGTAAAAATAACAACAAAAACCCCCTCCGAAACAATTCCAAATTTCAGGGAATGAAGGGATGGCTCAGTGGTTAAGAGCACCTGCAGCTCTTGACAGAGGACCTGGGTTCGATTCTCAGCATCCACAATGGTGGCTCAAAACCACCTGTAACTCCAGTTCCAGGGGATTTGACAATTCTGACCTTCACAAACTCCAACACATCTGTGGTACACAAATGTATATAAGGTAGGCACACACACACACACACACCAGTTTAAACAAATTTTAATAGAATTAAAAATTATCAGGCAATCCTTGGGATTTTTTTTTTTTGTACATTTTCTGTGTTCAATGTGTAAAAAAAAAAAAGCAAAGCAATGAACCACACATGACAGTAAACACAGCTCTGTAAGTACAGCAGGATACCTTAGCTCATGTGATGGAAATCCAGAACATCTGGGCACATCTGGCTTATGACACACACATGTGCACAATGAAAAGAATACAACTGACCCTTGGAAAATTGGCCTGAAACTCAACCTCTTCCACTGATGGAGACAAAGTCGGAGTGAGTTATTTCCACCTGCTCTGAGTGCCCTTTATCTTCCATCTCTGCTGGTGACCTAGGAGGTTCTGTTTCCCCTGTGAGTCTACCATAGCCACCCCCACTGGTTGTGTGAGATGGGCCGCTTTTCAAAAGCAGCTGGGACAGAGGGAGAAAAGAGGAAGACAGTGGAACTGAAGAAGGGAGCAGAAGGAAGCAAGGCAAGTGTAGGTTATTCTTTTTTGTTTTGTTTTGTTTTTGTTTTTGAGACAGGGTTTCTTTGTGTAGCCTTGGCTGTCTAGACTCACTTTATAGACCAGGTTGGCCTCAAACTCACAGAGATCCACCTGCCTCTGCCTCCCAGAGTGCTGGGATTATAGCCACCATGCCTGGCTACAGGTTAATTCTTCCCTCAGTTTTTGTTTATAGTAGAATGGGTCAAAATGTTTTACCCCAACTCCAGTTGCCTTCAAGGTATGGCTAGAATTGATACCAGTGGGCTCCAGTTCCACACTCAAGAGGTGGGGTGTACCCAACAGAGAAGTTTATGGGGAAAAAAACAGAGACTCAGATCTTTATTCTCTCTCTCTCCATTGGGTCTTGCTATATATATAGTCCAGGCTGGCTCAAACCCACGACCCTGCCTCAGCCCCACATTCTAGAATTACAGGCATATGCCACCATAGCTGGCTGAGACATAAATATTTTTCTTTATTGAGACAAGATCTCACTCTGTAGCTCTGGCTGGCAGATCAGCCTCAAACTTAAAGATATACTTGCCTCAGCTTCCCAAGTCCTGGGATTAAAGGTGTGTTATCACTGCCAGGAACACCTGTGATCCCAGCACTTGGAGAGGCAGAGGCAGGCAGATAGATCTCCTTGAGTTCAAGGCCAGATTGGTCTACAAAGTGAGTCCAGGACAGCCAAGGCTATACAGAGAAACCCTGTCCCCTAAAAGGATGTGAATTACCACTAGCTTCAGACTTAAACAATTTTGTTTGTTTATTTATCTATTTATTTATGATTTTTCAAGACAGGGTTTCTCAGCATAGCCTTGGCTGTCCTGGATCTCACTATGTAGACCAGGCTGGCCTCAAACTAACAGAGACCCACCTGCCTCTATCTCCTGAGTGCTGGGATGAAAAGCGTGCACCACCACCACCACCACCACCACCTTTAAAAGAAAATTCAAGAGAAGGTATTATATAGAGTTAAAACTTATAGGAAACTTTTGCTTCAGTGGGCAGCAACATAGCTTATCTTCTTATCCATTTAATTTCTAAGTTCAGAAACAGTGAAAAACAACTTCAGTTTGGGGTCTAAGGTCATTGCTAATGGGCAGAGTGCTTGCCTAGTATTTCTGAGGCCCTGGGTTCCACTCCACTACTGACAGAGAAATGTAAGCTTTCACATACCTTGAGGGGGTCTCATTCCACCTGCAACAGGAAACAGGAAGCTGAAACCAGAATACAAGCACATCAGTATCTTCATCTATATAAAAATTCAAACAAAACCTGATTCGTAGACAAATGAAAGAGTCAGACAGAGCCTGCTGTTGGTTCTGTATTAAAATGATGACATTAATGTGTTAACAATTTTTACATGTGGGGGCTGGAGAGATAGCTCAGAGGTTAAGAACACTGGCTGTTCTTCCTAAAGATCCTGAGTTCAATTCCCAGCAACTACACGGTGACTCAACCATCTGTAGTGAGATCTGGTGCACAGGTACACATGCGGGCAGAATGCTGTATAAATAATAAATAAACAAATCTTTAAAAAAAATTTTTTTACATGTGTGTTTTGCCTGCATGTTTGCCTGTGCATTGCATGCAAACCTGGTACCAATGGAGGCCAGAAGAGGGCCTAGATCCCCTAGAACTGGAGTTTCAAATGGCTGTGAGCTGCTACAGATGCTGAGGACTAAATCCAGGCCCTTTGCAAGAGCAGCAAATCTTCTTAACTACTGAGCTATCTCTCTAGCCCCAGAATTATTAATATTAATAAAGACTGAATTCCCCTACTATCCAAAGTGGAGGAACTTGGTGGGCAGGCGTGTATGAAATAGAGAACAGAAGGCCCTCATACTAAGGCCTGCCTCTGTCACCTTGGATCTCCCTGAATGCCAATTTCTCCATCCATGATATGAGAAAGTTGGATTCATATCCATTCAGTGAACATTTAATGAGCATCTACTACACAAAAGGACTGAAGCAGCTTGCAGTCTTGAATACACAGGTGCAGACAAATAATTACACCATAGGGAAAGTGTGCCAACTCTTTTGAGCAAGGTCCAAATACTAAGCGTTCAGAAGAGAAAGGTTAATTTTTAGGTTATATCTTAAAAGGATTTGTGGAGGTAGCTTTTCTTTTTACTAAAGAAAAAAGAAGAGAGATATACAATACACAGTTTTGGCGAAAGTTCTTAAGTCAGAGATGCAGGATACTCATCAAAATGATCTGTGATTAAATATATGATTTAAAAACAACCAGATTGCTAGGTTGTAGTTCGGTGAGAGGACATTTGTATAGCATGTGCAAGAGAGGCAGAAGCAGGTGAATCTGTGAGTTCAAGGCAAGCCAAGCCTACATGGCGAGACATCATCCCCCACCCTCAATTATACAGTTCTATACAGTCTAACACTGGAAACCGAGGACAGAATGCTGCGAAGCAAGGGAGCAGCTCAAACAGAAGGACCGAGTTCAAGGAAGTAGCTGCTAGTGTCTGATGCTGCAGAAAAGCTTGTCCGGACGAAGAGAAGAATAAAACAACAACAACAACAAAAACACTGCCTTGAGCAGTGGGGAGCAGTTTCAGCGGTCTCTTTGTTGACTAGAGAACAGGGATTCTGAAGGAACAGGAGGAACAAGCAGGAGGGATCTGCTTTGAGGAGCTAGTCCATTTGCTGAGACAGGACAGCGGACAAATCAAGAGCAGGACTCTCTTAAAACTAAAGTAAGTTCTTTCCTGTGTAGGGGGTATTTTCGTTGCATGAGTCTACACACCACAAGCATGCAGTGCCCATGAATGCCAGAAGAGGCGTGAGATCCTGGGGAACTTAAAACTGCTTACAAGACGACCCGTGGGTCTAGGACCCAAACTCCAGTGCTCTTAACTGCCGAACTAACCCTCCAGCCCAAGAAAGGAAAACTCTTGTTTGGGAGAGTTTCAATCTCAGAGTCAAAGATGCTCTTGAGAGGTTTCTGTGTGGCTTAGTGAGCACCAGGAGTCGAACGTCAAATTCAGGAACTCTGGTTTGTTGTTGTGAACTACACTGCTCCCATTCCCAGGAAAACGCCTAGAAACTCAACTTTTGAGTCCATGGTTCTACAGCTATTTTAGTGTCTCGTTTTATTTTTGTTTTTCCTTTTAAGGGCAAGGTGGTTTAGCATTCTAGTTGGACAGCCATCTGGCTGTATGTCACTTATGGGTTTTGTGGAGGCGCTGGGCCACTGGTGAATGCTGTGCTGACAAGCAGGTCTGAACGTCATACAAGAGGCAATAATAGCTGAGTCATGCATTAATGGTTTGTTTGTCTGTTACAATGAAACTTTTAGGCTCAGTCGATTCTTCTGCCGCATCTCCTGGGTGGCTAGGATGACTGTGTGCCACCATGCTGGGCTCTGTTCGCTGGATGACGTGTTAGAGTTGAAGGAGAGCTCTAGTAGCCATCTGTTTTAAAAGGCACCACTCATACCCCGGAGTGGATAAACTAGTAGCCAGGAATACAGTCAAGTAGGCAACCAGTCAAGACTTTGCCAATCTAGCCTTAAAGATTCAAATCAACAGAGTGGCGGAGTGGCTCAGTAAAAACTTGGGAGTTGCATTCCCTTTTATCCCGTCGCGGTCTCCTTATTACCCTACCTGTCTGCTTCTCCCTCTATTAAGTGAGGACACAGAACCCAACACCTGTCAAGGCCCCAACTAATGCAAGCAGAGACAAAATATAAGCTATATTACAGGGCTTTTGTGAAGGACCTGGGTTCAGTTCCCACCATCCACATGGTGGCTCCCAGTCACCGGTAACTCCATTTCCAGGGGATCTGTCACCCTCTTCTGACTCTGAGGACACCAGGCATGTGTGTGGCTCACACATGTAGGCAAAACCCACACACATTAATAAATCTAAAAGGTGATTTTTTTAAGTACCTGTTATACATAAAAGCTACCTGAAAAATTAAACACACATAAAAACAAGTGGACTGACAAATACGACTCACTCTTAATAAAAATTTCACAATCCAAAGTTGCTTAGTGACCCCTGTATTTTTATGACTTAAATATTTAGTTTTCTTTTCATTTGTTTCTGTGTGTGGATACCCAAGGAGGCCAGAAGAGGGCGTCGGGTCCCCTGGAGCTGGAGTCACAGTCACAGAGCCTCCCCATCTGTTAATCTCTCCAGTCCCCTAACATTCTTTTTTTTATTACATGTATTTATTGTGTGTGGAGGGGGTGTTCATGTGGAGGTCAGAGGACAACTTGGGGGAGTCAGTTCTCTCCTTGTACCATGTGGGTCCCTGGGATTGAACTCAGGTCATGAAGCTTAGCAAGAAGTCCCACCCCCTGACAACTAATTCTAAGACTGGCTAGACAAGCAGCTAAGGAAGATGCTGATAAGATAGCTCAGCTTAAAGGAAGGTCAGGGATGGGGTAGGGTGTGAACGGCAACAAGCTTCCAAGAATATGACTTGAAGGCACAAACACTAACTGAAATGCTGCCAACTCTCAGACCTGGAGCTTTGCTTGTCACAAGCCTTTTGCTAATAACCTACATTTGCTACCAGCTTTCATGTCTCAGGCCTGGACTCCTAAATACAGTCTTCTCAATGGATCTTCTCAGCCTCGGGCTTTGGTTACTAATACATCTTATACAGCCCCGATGAGGGGCATCTTCCTAAAGGACCATTCAGTAGAGATCCTGTCTGAAGATGTGCACTGGGATTAACACGGCAGGAAGCCTCTGGGGGTCAGCGTCCCCTACCTTACCAACATGGCCTCCTCTGATCTGGCACACTTTTCCTTTCCTTTTTTATCTCAGGAAACTCTTCTCTCCATCCAAAGCAGCCTATCCGGCTGCAGAAGTGTTGCTTCCAATAGCGCTTGCTAGCCCCGCCCTCCTTCCCCTTGACAATCTCAACTTCTTTCTCTTCCTCCCCCCACTCCCTCTCCGTATAGGTGGAAATCGCCTTCACTATTGTTCAATAGTGGAATCCACAAATATTTACATTTTAAAACATGCCAGGATGGGCAAGAAACAGCAGAAGATGGAAAGACAAAGAAGCCTCCACAGAGCTTGTCAGAGCGCAGGGGAACAAAGAATGCTAAGGTTACTTTGTGAGCGATCCCAGCACTCCGCAGGTCTTGAGTCTTTTGAACCCATCAGGAGGGTGCTCAGCCTTCATGATGCTGTCACCCTTTAATATAATTCTTTATGCTGTGGTGACCCCAAACCTTAAAATTATTTCACTGCTACTTCATCACTGCAGTTTTGTTACTGTCGCGAATCGTGATGTAAATATCTGATAGGCGACCCAAAGGGGCAGCGACCCGCGAGTTGAGAACTGCTGCATGGGAGCATCAAGAACAACGCTGCCGAGCTAAGTGTGCTGGTGTCCACAGCGTTCGCACTAGCGAGATGGAGAGTGACAGTTTGAGGCTACCCAGGGCTACATGGAGCTCAAGACCAGCCAGAGCTAAATTAATAAAACACTGTCTCAAAACAAACAACATTCTCAAAGCAGTACCTGACACATTTAGGCATTTAATGACTACCACTGCAGGCTCACCCAGATGGCTTTCAACTCTGCTGCTTTGCTTGGTTAAAGGCAGATATTGTCATTTATAAGGCTCAAGCATTTACTCTAGGATAGTCCATTGGGCAAAACCGGCTGTTTGCATGTGGCTCTCTTTGACTAGCCTTTCTGAAAACTCAGGAGCTAAAAGAATTTAAGAAATAGTATCTAAGGCAGAAGGAAGTCCTCAGAATTGGTTCCAGTGGGTAATTTTTTTTTCCACCGAAAGCTTTTGTTTTTCTTCTACTTGCTACAATGTCAGTTTTCTCATCAGACAACTCCAGCCCTTAGCATTGCTTTCCCAAAAATCAAAATATTCCCGAGTGCACAGTTTCTCAGCCTAAGAGAGTATCTAATAAATATAACACAAAATGCCTTTCAAAGGATCATTGTAGCCACTTTTCTGTCCCCTACATATTTGGTACCTGTTGGAGCTCACACCCATTTGCTGTCCTTGTTCTTTTCCTTGAGACAGGACCTAGGGGCGCCTAGGCTGACCTCAAACTTTCCTCGTAGCTGAGCATGTCTGAACTCCTGATCCTTGGGCTTGCACTTCCTCAGAACTGGCATTATAGGCATGCTCCAACACACCTGGTTGGACCAACAACACTGAAAAGACTGTAACTCAAACTGAGGAGCACCTAACTTTCTGCATCCCTGAGTCTTCCCCTAACCTTTAAAAAATAAAGACATCTGTGTCTAAAATAAAAAGTTCTTTCCAAATTCCTAGAACTGGTCCCATTATTAACCGTACATTTGATTAGATTAGTGCCCTTTGGGAACACTTTAGAAATTGTTATAATGTATATATTTATAGTCTGCAGACAAAAATTATTTATAACAACCACTTAAAAACTCTAATGAAACAGTGACAAAAAACAAAACAGGAAGCAAAACATTTTAAAATTAAAGCCAAAGACATGTAGAGGAAGTGGAAAACCCGGCCACACACAGTTGATTTATTCAAGTGACTAATTTTTTCCTCCTGCGAATGAATATATATATATATATGATATATATATATCATATATATATATATACCTGTAAGAGGTGATAACTTTAAAATCCTTTACACATTTGGGGGTCTCACTCCAAATTTAAACTACACGTGAAAAAACCCAAACACTTTGCTTTCCAAAGATAACTCAGGACATTTAAAAAGCAAAAGCTAATTTTACCTCTGAATGTGCACGCTGTATATGTTAGCCAATTAAACAAACACAGACTAAGTCATGATAGAAATGGGGTTCCGACATTCCGGAACCAAACATTTCATTAAACGATAATGAATTTGAGTTACAAATGCCTCTTTACCCTTCCGGATATTAGGAAGCACAGGCTAAAAATTATCTGAAATATAACAAAGGGCAGATTTTCTTTTTTTTAAGAGCTCAGTAAAGTCTGGAAGCTTTTGTTGTTAACAAGAGCATAACTGCTTTTGCTCAGTGAAGTCTCTTTGTTTCAAAATGTCTTTTTAAGAAGGAGGCAGACAAGTGTTGAGTCAATCTACACGACTCAAGACAATTACTAAATCTAAGGTCTTCAGATTTTCCTATCTGTACGTGAAGAAAAGAAGGAGGACAGGACAGGGCGCTTTAGAAGAGGAAAGACAGAACAGACACTCTCCACACGGTTCTAACAGTTTCGTGTCCACACTGTCACAGGCTTCGCTCCAACAGCAGCTCAAGCCCAGAAAGCCAGGAAGGGGAGCGCGGGCGCTCGAGGCCCCGCGGCAGGTGCGGCGGCGCCTGCACGGGAGCGCGCTCCCCGCGGGTCCCCGGGACGCCAGCGCCCCGCAACCGCCGCCCCTGCGCCCGGCCCCACCTGCTCAGCCCGCCGGCCCACCTGCGGATCCCGCCGGTCCCGAGCTCCGCCCCGCCCCGCCGACCCACCTGCCTGCCCCACCGGGCCCCGCGCCCGCCCCCGCCGCGCCGCTGGCTCCGGCTCCGGGCCGCAGCGCCATCTTGCTCGGGGCCGCCGCCGCCGCCGCGCCAGCAGCTGTCAGCCGAACACAGGCACTTCCGGGGCAGACACCGCCCCACCAAACCGGGGCGACGGCGGGGCGGGGCCGCGCGCCCACGTGACTCCAGAGCCCTCGGGCGCGAGCAGCGCGCCCCCGCGGCATGCTGCAGGGTTCACAGCACTGCAGCCCGAGTCGAACCTTTCCCAATGTGGGTCAGCCCTAGTGCACAGAGGTCGTCCTGATTGTTGAACTGGATGAAGGAACGAACACAGGTGCTCTTCTGCTGTTCCTTTACACAACATACGGATCCTAGATGGCTTTTTGACAGCTTTACACCTTTTTCCTTGGCCCTCTCTTTTCAACATCCATCACAGGAATTGTCGGTATTTAAAATTTATTTTAGTTAGCCAACCAAGAGCAGCATGTGAACCCGGTACACATGAAGATGTACTCCAAGCACTCCTGTGTTTGACTTTGCCATCACGCCATAATAGTGTTTTCCCTTCCCAGGAAGGGCACACGCACAATTACGCTGAACCTACGCAGGGCATTTTTACCTTGACGACTCCACCCCCAATCAAGCTACCTGACAGTCAAACGTGTTGAAAGCAAATTTTATCAAGCTTTTAGACAATGGATTAATTACAACCAGTCCCTGCCACTTCTTGCCTTACAGCTTTCACTAAGTGATAACTGTAATAGGTTATTAGTTACTAGACACAAACCACCAGTCAAGAGTGTGCATTTCAGAGTCTGGTGCCCCTATGACTAATTACTGCTATTTTAGAAATGAGAAAAAACAATCTTGAAAGAAGTGCTTGTAATATACCCAGATCTTAGAGCTACAAGCAGCAAGACCACGATTCAAATCCAGGCCGGCCTGACTTCAAAGTCCTTGCTCCTTTAACTAGGACCATGCCAGTTATTTGTGGGATCTTTTTTCCTTGTTGTTCAGTCTTGAGTGCTATTTTCACTCTTCCTCTTGCCTGGACAAAGCTGACATTTATGTAGCAGAGTCCTGACTGACCCTTTGACAAAGCAAGCTGATACAGGTTTTGTAGCAACTCCCTGGACTGGGTGGTTGGTCAGAATGACCAGAAAGTAAGGGAGCAAGACCAGGGCCTGTCAAGGTGATGTTAGCATCTTCATCTGTTCCGAGGACATCCCCATCTGAGTTAGAGTCCTGCTCGGAAGCTTCAGGATCATGACCTCACAGCACACAATTTATCCCTGTACTTCATCACTGCCATTAACTGCAAGAGTGGAGCTGTTAACAAGCCCTGTGTAACTAAAAGAAAATAAGCTTGCTTTGTTGAAGGAATACCTGTGTGAGTCTACAAACATCAGAAATAGAGCTAGGTACTTTTACTCTTAAAACACAGGAGAAACTGAAGCTTTAAGAAATTCATACAATTGGCAAACGGTGCCAACAGTATGTCCGCTTCCAGGATACACACTGACTTGGAAGATCTGCAAGAATTCAAAAATATGCACCTTTATTTATTTATTTATTTATTTATTTATTTATTCATTTATTTAACTCTCTGGAGCAATCAATATATTTAAATAAATTCTGATGAAAAATTCAAGATAGTCTTTTCTCATATGTGTGTTCTCAGTAGTAAAGGGCCGAAACAGGAAGATTGCTGTGAGTTCCAGGCCAGTCTGGGCTATAGAGCTCCCTTCTCAAGACAAACACATTAAAAAGGTCTCCTGTGCTGATTTTAGGATGAGGCGTCACCTGCTGAGAGAAAAGGGGCTGAGGCAGGTGCTGGCAGTCACCCGCACCGCAGTCCTATGGCAGCATGAATCCCATGCAACTCTAGGCACCAGTCCCAACCGCTTCAACTGGACCAAGCCTTTTTTTTTTTTTCTTAGTCCACTGTAGAAAACAAGTGTCTAGGCAAAACCTGCACACTGTACATTGCCTTGGTCTGCACATCGTCACACTCCTTTGGCAGAGGGTGGATGAAGGCCATCAGGCCTCTGCAAAGATAAGCCTCTGAGAAAATGAAGCCAGATGTATCATGTAACAGGAATGTTCTTCCTTATCAGGATAAAACACTGTTATCAGCTTTCAAGCAAAATCATCTTGAGTGGAAAGAGATGGAAAGAACAGGGTTAAATGATGGAGAATGAAGTCAGGAAGGGAGAGGCTGATAATCTTACAGTGACAGAATCTCACTGTGACAGCTAAGTATGAGCTTCCTCCCCGGGGCAGTAGCAGTATAAATTTCAACAGATTGCAGTTCCAATCCTCAGGAACTTGGAAAACCACAGATGTGGAACTGCTGACACCACAAAGGCCATTAACGAAGAAGCACTACCGGCAGCAAGAGCGTCTCCTTGGTGGATGGCCTGTGTAGCTGCTCTTGTCTGCATCCCACACACACTCCGCTCTCCATGACACAAGTGTGGATGGTGCCTCAAACTCAAGCTTTTATTTTAAAGTCTCCTTCCAGATGCCTCTCCACAGCAAGCATCACACTTTCCTTCAGACTTGAAGGGCAAAATCCTTACGAGTTCACCCCACTAGGGTGTTGTTTAACATGGGCTCTTGTTCTTCTATTAGAAGCATCCCTCTGGATTCAGGCAGAAGTGTCAACGCAGGCTACTTTCATTGTATACATTCCACCTACAGCGTGAAGCTTGGTGCACCGCTAAATTAGGACCATATGGTTCTCTCACGTCCTTGTTGATTTAAATATCTGGTAAAGATGGTTGTAAGTATTCCATGAGAATTCATGCTGGGCTCATAATTACACTGTGGATACAGCCTTCTAAGGAAGCTATTTTTAACTTTTCTCTTGAAGAGTTTCTTTCTTCTTGCTGTTTTGGCCAGCAATCTTTTTCCTATGAAAATGAAAACACACTGAATCAGAAATTCTATATACATTTACTTCTATAACCAAAGCTTAATGACTATGTGCTGAAAGTTACTGCATTGCAAAGTACATGAGGCAGGTTAACATAAAAATCCCCATCTATATAAGAAATATCACAACTACACTGCTACATAGCACAAAAAAGAAAATACAGCTTTGACCTGTTGGTCCTGTGTTAATTACTAAGACACTGCTGTAAAGCGTTGTTTGTATGTGCATTTTCAAATGAAGACAATGAGGCAGAATGAACAAAAACTTACTGGTCTTCACACATTAGTAATAAATGTTAGACATGAACTATGACAGATTCTACAGCCCAGTGAATTAATTAGTGTTAATACAGGAAACAGAGCTTTGAGACAATAAACAATACTTGCCCACTACAGAAAGGTGTTCTTCGGAATATTTGCTGATGTAATTCTTTAACCATGGGGGACAATATTTGAAAGACAAGCAACTTGCCCAAAGTTACCCAAGAAATTTCCTATTAGAATCAGTTTTTAGGCTCCAAATCCACCCCACACCACAACTGGCTGGGTCTGTAGAGCCTGAAGGGAGGGCCTGTCGGCTACGAGGAATCAGGTGTCACATTTAATGTGGAAGCTGAGCTGAAGACACAAACTTATAAGCCCCAAAGCAACCTGTACTGTAATGGAGAAGGAGCGGGAACAAGATCACAAAGGCTCTTGTTCTTATGTTAAAAAAAACAGCCTTTTAAATTAGAAGAAAACAGAAAAAACGCTAAAGCACCGTAGGTGTGTGGCTGACACCACAAGACATCAATGATGAAATACACAAATTCCCAAGTAAGAGGCATTGAGCCGAGGGACATTATCTTATGCTATAGGATTATCTATTCATTTTACTTCTAAAAATGTATCTTCAGGAAAAATAATGCCTATTCTAATTGTGCAGTAGTTTTCTTACATAAATATATATACTTACTGTTTGGCTTGCTCTAAGAAATATTTTGGAGTTGTACTAATGCTCTCCCTTTCCAATGGTTTCTTAATCATTTTTTTCTTTTGTTTGCTGGAAGTTAGAAAGTAAGGGAGGAAATTAATTAAACACAAGCTCATTTAGAAGCTACAGCTAGCTCTACTCATTTCAAGGACAAGATCAGCTGATAGCACTTATAACTGTTTCATAAGGATACAAGAAATCAATCGTTAAAAATACACCGGGGCTAAGCCTCAGTACACTCTGGGACAACCTCATGTGCTATGTCAGTAGGCATTGAAGAATATGACTCCACACAGTTAACCATTATCAATAATTCCAAGTGTATTTCCCTCACTGAATAATGTTTAAGAAATCACAATTTCAAAGATGAAAAGCTACCAAGGAAATAATACATGCCAAAGCAAAGCATTCACTTAAAATGCTCTGAAAGCACGTCTCTGTTGTGATTACAGTATGTAAAAGACGATAAAATCCAGTGTATGAAAGCAGTCTTCAAAGATGCATGTGTCCACCTGTACTCACAACAGCACCACTCACAGCAGCTGGAATGGGGATGCAGCCTAAATGACAGCCAGATGCGCAGGTAAAATGTGGTAGGGGCTTGAGGACGAAAACTCTGACTAATAAACACTGCCAAGTGAAATAAGTAAACTACAAAAAGACAAATACTGTGTGATTCTACTTATACGAGGCACCCAGACAGTAAAAACCAGAAACAGGAAACAAAAGAGTGTTTAATGCGCACAGAGGCAGTTCTGCAAGAGGAAAATTCCTGGAGACAGGCGGCAAGTGCACAGGTCTGGGAATGCAGTAAGCGTCCTTCAGCCACACACGAGGAAAGCTCAATAGGCAAGAACACAGTAAAGGAACACATCCAGCTGGCACTGTTGAGAAGCCACACCACAGCACGCTCACAGCCTTTTCCTATTATGGTGCAATGTGACTCCTGCTCAGCAGAAATCTACTCTTGCATTTTGACCCTCCCAGCAAGAAACAGGTGGCACAAAATTCTTTAGAAAGGGGGATGCTGGGTGGCATCAGGGGACCAAAGCTCCAAGCGAGTCACTCAACAATGAGGGTGACAGATACTCTAGCAAGGTATGATGACCCATGCCTGTAATCTCAGTAGTCAGAACAGTGAAGGCAGGAAGATTGCTCTCAGTTTTAGGCCAGCCTGCACAAGTGAGTTTCAGAGCAGCCTGAGTCCAGAGTGAGACCCTGTCTCAACAGTCTACAGCACACTGGGCTACTACACTTAGATATTTTGTAGATTAGATGCACTTAAATCCATTTTCTTTTCTTTCTCTCCCCCTGCCCCCGCGACAGGGGTTCTCTGTGTAGCCTTGGCTGTCCTGGAACTCACTCCTGCCTCTGCCTCTTCAGTGCTGGGACTAAAACCAAGTGCTAGACTAAAGGTGTGTGACACCATACTGCCAGGACCATTTTCTATTTATAATACTTTGAAGGTACAATGGGTTTAGTGGACCTTCAGCCTGTCTTAAGTCAAGGACCATCTGTATGCAAGATTAAAAATATATACAATTGGTCAGGCACAGCAGCACATGCCTTTAATCCAACATTCCAGAGACGAAGCAGACAGATCTCTGTGAATTCGAGGCCAGCCTGGTCTACACAGTGAGTTCCAGGGCAGCCAGGACTACATTAGTGAGATCCTGTCTCAGAACAAACCAAAACCAACCAACTCATCAACCAACCAACCAACTAAACAAACAAACACATGTAAAATTCAACAATACAGCATCCTGGAATACATAACTTAAACTACAAACTAAATAATGGCAAGAAACAAAATAAACGAAGAGCAAGAATATATATGTAAAGACCCAAAGAAAAAGCTCCAAGTAAGTTTAAATGCGTACCTTAGTAGTTTCTGGAAACCTTTTATGTATTCAGGCACAGGACAACCAGCCTGCTGGATAACATTGGCAACACTGAAAAAGGCACCCATAAACAGAAACAGGTCTCATTAAACAATGTACAAAATTAGCCATGTACAAAACCCTCTCTACAACATGAGAGGAAAACTACACAAAAGCATTCTATACAGTCCTTTCAGAGAGTAGCAATTACTGTCAAATGCAACTGTCCTGGACGCCTGATAGAAGCATTCACTGGACTGAAATCAGTACACTCACTTGTAACTATTAGACGCAGCTATTTTAAATCCTAAATGAAACTAAAGGTAAGCCTGAATTCACTCAGTGACAGCACTTACTAAAGGCCAGCACCGCAAGATTTGTATATATAATAACCTGCTCGCTCCTCGCGGTGACTCAATGTGGAAAGACCTACAATCCCCATGATACAGATGGAAAACTGATGGTCTTAGCTAACTGATGTTGAGGTCATCAGAACATCCTGGCAGTTATTAAGACCTTAGATCCATCAAGTTGCTTGCAATACACCCCTACATATGGACATATGAAAGTCTGCTTAAAGTAAGACAAAGGGAGAAAGATCGGAGACTTTGAAGCCACAGGACAAGCCCCTTTGCTCTAACTACATGCCATTTGCTTGAAATGTGAGGTGTCGTCAGCTATCCTTCAACTAAAAATCATTGCAGGCAGCCAGAATGCAGAGAGCCCTGCCCCTTCACAGTGGGGGCAGTGGCACCAGCCTGCAACACTACCCCTCAGGAGACTGAGGCAGGTATACTGGGTGTTTCAGGCAGCCTAGCTTCATAGTGAAACCCTGTCTCCAAAAACAAAAATCTGCATAAAAATCTATAATGATCAGCTAAATTAAGAAGATAGAGTCTAAAAGTATATAATACACATACTTCAAAGGGCTACAACTGACTAAAAATAAAATGTGTCACTAAAATACTTTTTCCTCTGTGGCAAGTGAGTCTGGGATTAAACATAAAACTCCATCTGGCCCCAAAGTAACAGGAAGTGCTGACTAGACTGAAAAGCCCTACGTAGTATCTGATAACTCAAAAACCTTAATAGAAAAGCCAAGTGTGGTAGGCCACTCCTGTCACGCCAGGATTTGGGAGGCTCAGGCTCTAAGGCTGAGGACAGCCCATACTACTCAGACCTCCAGGTGAGTTGTTACTCTGAAAACCTATAACTGAATATTCCACTGTCAACACTTCCAAGTTCTAACAGAGGAAGGGCAAAAGCCTCACCCTTTGATCTTTCCCGACTCTTGAGACAGGGTTTTACTACAGCACCTCAAACATGCAGCAATCTACATGGCTCTGCCTCTTGAGTACTGGGATTAAAGGCAGCAAGCACCACACCCAGAGCATGGCCAAAAGTTAGGTAACTAATGTATTAACAGAGTTTGGGACACAGCCGTTTGTAATACCTACTAATAAAATACACATACAAAAAATAAGGAAGCAATTTTGTCAACTGCAACTAAAATACTAAGTTACGTTTCCTAACTTAAATGCTTCTTACATTTTTTGGATGATGGGGTGGTTGGAGTGATGCTGCAATCAAATTTAGGGGAATCCAACATGCCAGACAAGAGCGCTACCAATTGAGCTACATTCCAGCCCCTAATTTACCTTCTTAGTAAGGGTTTATCATCTTCAGTGAAAAATGTAACAGCCTTTCCCCTATTCCCTGCTCTTCCAGTTCGACCTAGGAGAAACCAGACCATGAAAAGGTTTTTAAAAAAAAAAAAAAAAAAGTGGAGGAAAAGCTCAAGGTTCACATAAAGGTCACTGTGGGTTAAAGAGATGGCTCAGTGGGTAAATCACTGGCTGTACAAACACAGGGATGTAAGTTCAAATCCCAGAATCCATGTAAAAGCCAGAAGCAGGAAGTTAACTCTGTGCCACTTTGTTACTAAGATGGGAAAGTGGGGATGAGGGAATCCTTGGAAGCTCACAGTGGAAATAGAGGACTAACAAACACCCATCATTTTCCTCCAACCCCCACACCATGGGCATGCTCAGACACATCATTAAATAAGAAAATACACATCCCACCCATGAAAAAAAAAAAGTCCCTGGATTTTCAGGGACCAAAACCCAAAGAGTGAGGATATCTAAAGGGAACACTAGGGGTGCTGAGGTAGATAAGTAGGGCAACAGGGCATGAAAACACAGGCTCACCTATCCTATGGATGTATTCCACTGAGCTGGTTGGGAAATCATAATTGATGACCAGGTTTACGCCTTTAAAGTCAATCCCTCTTGCAAGCAAGGCTGTACAAATAAGAACCCAGATTTTTCCAGCTCTGAAGCTGTGGACTGTGTTATCTCGCTGGTGAAAAGAAGACACATTAAGTGCTTTAGTACCATTCTAGAACAGAAAACAGGCAGCACAAGTTGTCTGTAGTACGGTTGCCTTTCTACCTGCTGCTGTGTTCTTTCTGCATGAATGACGTCCACATTAATACCTTCATATATGAGCTCATGAAAAAGTTCTTTAGCCCTCTCAATTGACTGAACAAAAACAAGAACAGGTGGACTGAAACCCTAGGAGAAAGAAGCAAAAATTAGCACATCTTGCAAGAGAGAATACAACCAATTCACAAATAACCCATTCAATTTAGTGCACCGTCCTGGCAAGTTTTATGCCAACCTGACCTAAAAGCAGAGTCATCTGGGAAGAGAGACTCTCAGTTGAAAAAAGTGCCTCCATAAGATTTGCCTGTAAACAAGTCTGTAGTGCAGTTTCTTAATGAATGCCTGATGGGCCCGCCCACTGTGGGTGGTGCCATCTCTAGGCAGGTGGTCTCAGGGTGCTGTAAGAAAGTAGGCCCAACAAGCTAGTGGAGAGCAAGCCGTTAAGCAGCCATCACCCCATCACCTCTTTATCAATTTCTGCCTCTAGAAGTCTGACGACCTTCAGTGATGAACTCTGATGGGCAACTGTCATCTGAAATAAGCTCTTCCTCCCCAAGTGGGGACCCCCTTTTTAAAATCAGTGTTTTATCATAGCAATTGAAATTCTAAGACATGCACTTTCACTGCCAGTGTCTAAACCTGCCTTTATCTTCCTCACCATCCACCCTCTACAATGGGTTCTTTTTACCGTCCTTGGACTATACTTACTAATTCCAATAAACTTGCCTTCCTACAATAATGCATAGCCATGCTAAAACCACTACCGCTTGGCTCCAGAACTCTGATTCTGCTCATAACCTAGACATCATGCCTCTAATTCGTTGCTTACTCTAACTTTAGAGTTTCCCTGTACCTTTATTTCTAAGAGTCCTCAACACACTATTTTTACATTTGCTGTCACCCCCTGCACCATACCCCATGTTTCCAAATGTCCCTTTCAGGGAGTCTTCCTTCTTTGCTTTGGTTTAATATACTCTTTGGGGTCTAATGAAAGAAAGAAGCTTTTTAACTGCAAATACTTATTTACAAAAACTTTTACAGCAATCATACATGGCTAAAAAATCTCTGATCTATTTTCACCGTATGAATGCCCGCAAAATCTTTAAGTTTCCTAGGGGTAAAACGACACCCGTAAGAGTATCAGTAAAATGTGGGTGTGCATGGTAGCACACATCTACATCTCAGCACTCAGAGGGCTGAGGCAGGAGGATTCTAACATCAAGGCCAGCCTGAGCTACGGAGTAAAATCCTGACTCAATAAAAATAAACCCAAACAGGAATACTACTAAACATACTCAGGCAAACACTGTTATCATAAGTAATATGCAATACAAAGTTAATAAACTAATAGTAAAAAAATAAAAATTTAATTAAAAACTAAGTAATATGTATAACATATTAAACACTAGAACAGTTCTTTAAAATAGATATCACATTATTTTAGCAAATTGAGAACTGAAGATTCAGGGTGTATGAGAAATAAGCTGCCCAAAGGTCACAGAATGGTACAGATAGAATCTCTAGGTCATCCAGCTCAGAAGCTCAAGTCCTAGCTCCTAAAGAATGCCTCTTCAACAGGCCCCAGGGATGTACAAGTGCCTTTCTTTTCCATCTTCCAACCATACTAACTGCTTTATCACAAAGGCAGTTGCCATATTTGTGTTCACCTATATGAATAAACTACCATTTATAGTTTTTTTTTGCTCCTTACCTGAGCCCACTAGTAGTTTGTTTTAACTTTTAAAGATTTATTTTAAGGCATCACCAAGTAGGTCCTCACCACTCACTGAATCACTAAGATTGAATCAACACTAAATATAATGGAGGATGATGCTAAACTGTGAATGACCTTTACCAAAAGTCAAGAATGCATGTAGTCCAATATACCTTTTTAACAAGTTCTCTCATGGCCAGAAGTTTTCCAGTCTCAGAACCAACAAAGAGAAGTTCTTGTTCAACAGTCTCGACTGCAGAATTCCTGAGAAGAATCGGATTTTAGCTGGGGATGCTGTGTGAACCTGCAACCCCAGCACCCAGCAGACCGGCCCAGGGCTCTGTGAGTCGAGGGCTTGTCTGCTGGGACATGTAGTAAAGCTTTGTCTAAAACAAAAGCAAACAAAAAGCCAAACAGACCAGGCATGGTATGGAGGGTAAAGGCACTTGCTGTGCATACTGGTCAGCTGGGGCGGAGTCAACGCCTGAGAAGTGCCCTCTGCCCACCATGTGAGCGGCGGTGTGACACAGCACCAACTTTCCTTCCATACACGGGTTCTGGGATCTAACTCGGGTCAGCAGGTTTGGTGGAAAGCGTCCTTACAGTTGAGCCATCTTGCCAACCCATGTTTTTCCTTGAACCATTTTGTACAAACTGTGATTGTGTATTTACTGATCATGAAATGCCTATCTACCTCCAACCCTTTCCCAGTGCTGGAGAAAAGGACAGAGATCTCATGCCAAGTACCTGCTCCATCAATCACTGAGCTCTCTCCCTGGTGCTCACCATGTTTTTGTACCAGAATTGCTTACTATGTGGCTAAGTAACACGAGTAGGACTATGTGGTCCTTCTTAAACAATCAATCAAAGAAACTAAGTATGGCTACAGAGCTTATGGCATATTTTGTGAAGGAATAAATGAATGAATATGATGATGGGAAGAGTAAATATGCAAACAGGAGAATTTTTCTTTTTTCTTTTTTTTAGATTTATTTATTATGTATACAGTGTTCTCCCTGCATGTGTGCCTGCAGGGCAGAAGGCGGCACCAGATCTCATTATAGGTGGTTGTGAGCCACCATGTGGTTGCTAGGAATTGAACTCAGGACCTTTGGTAGAAGAGTCAGTGTTCTTAACCTCTGAGCCATCTCTCCAGCCCACCCCCCTTTTTTTAGAGAATTTTTCATTGTATAATTCTGAAAAATCCTTAATCTTGACTTTACTTACTTACTTATTTATTTATTTATTTAGAGACAGAGTTTCTTATGTAGCCTTGGCTGTCCTGAACTCACTCTGTAGACCAGGCTGGCCTTGAACTCACAGGGATCTGCCTGCCTCTGCCTCCCTAAATGCTGGATTAAAGGCTTGCACCACCACTCCTGGCTTAATCTTGACTTTAAAAAGCACATTTCTAATCAGTGAAACTTTTCTCACTTGTTGGTGTCATGCCAAAATAACTATCTCATTGTCACAACAAAACAAACAACAAAAACCAAAAACCTTACTTTACGACAGCAAGTAAGTGAGACAATGTGAAAGAACAACTGTTTACCTTGCTCCAATGGACACAGTAATGACATTGTCCAGGTTGAGCTTACACCACTGCTCAACATCATATGCAAAAGTTGCGCTGAACATTGCTCTTCGGACTTTGTGGGATGTACAGGCCAGGAAAATGGAGGCCAGCTGCTCTCTAAACCCAGTTTTCCCATCTTCAAACAGTTTGTCCGACTCATCAACTACCAGCCACTCAACACTAAGAAATAGCAAAACAACCTGTGGTTACTGAGCTGGAAGATCCAGGACACTGCACCAAAAACCGTCAGAGTACATGAACAAAAGTCCTAACACTTTTGATCCACTTTATCAAATGAGAAAAAAAATACAAGAAAAAATCCTCAAAGACAAGCTTATTAACAACAACAGGGGTTCTTTCAGGATCCCTTTGTCTTTGCTAAAAGATGTGAAAAGGTTTATCAAAGTGTGTAATTTTCTTCCTAACCAGTTTTCTGCTGGTTAATTCAAACTATTATTCTCACCCTAACACTGAGATAAGCTGGCAGAGAGTGTGCACCAAAGGACAACATTAAAAGCAACTGAGAACAAAACAACTGTGATGGATGATACCAGTAACCTGACAGGATCCAGGATTAGAGACAAGCCTCTGGGCTCATTTCTAAGAATGATCTAGACCAGGCTAACTAAGGCTAGAAGACCCACTCTATAAACCACACCACTGGTTGAGGTTCAGCAATGAATAAAAAGGAGAAAGCAAGCTACGAGTCAACAGTCATCGCTGTCCTGCTTCCTAACTGTGGGTGCAAGGAGAACAGGTGCCTCACCTTCCTGCCCCATGGCACAATGAACTACATGCCTTCAAACAGCAGCCCTTCCCTCCTTTCTCCCTTCTTTCCTGAAATTGCTGTTTGTCAAACAATTAGTCACAATAACGAGAAAACCAACACAGTAATCCAGTGAACGAAAGACACTAGAATGTTATACCTTGTTAGGTCTATCCCTGGTGGATCCTGCTTTAACAAGTAGATGAGTCGATTTGGAGTAGTCACAAGAATATCTATAGGAAAAACAAGGGATGGAAATTGCAAAAATAGGATGCATTCCTGTGAGTACAGAATCATGCCTTCAGAATTTCAGTTAATAACTTCAAGTGGGAAGGGAAGAGCAGTTAACACAAAAATCCTTATTAGTAAACCCAAACCCATTTTTCCACCACAGTGTGAACCTCTATTTCTACTCTTTATCATGTGAGCAGTTTCTGTAGCCTTTTCGTTGCCTGAGACAGAGTCCTGTTGTGCAGTACATGACTCTGTCATGCTCATGATCATCTTATGCCTGCCTGAGTGCCAGCTTAGTTGCTGTGCTCCTCCCCACCCAGGAGCAAAACCAAGGCCTGCTATTACACATGTTAGGCTGAAGTATAGTTGTAGCCACTTTAACATCTAAGAGGCAACACTATATCACCCTAAGCCCAGGCTAGCTTCTGATCCTCTCTCCTCAGTGCAGGTATGCTACCAGGCTTGGCTTGAAATATCTTAAATAAACTCTCAGAGCTCAAATTAAGAGCAAATTCTCTGGGTAAGAGAAGGGGAGACATGTAATGCATTCTTCTCTGGAAGGCATTTCACTGCAGAGTAAAAAAAAGGCAGAGCTGGGCATGGTGGCACATGCCTTTAATCCTAGCCCTCAGGGAGGCAGTGGATTTCTGTGAATTCAAGGCCAGCCCAGTCTACCTATCAAGTCCAGGACAGTCAGGGCTCTGTTACACAGAGAAACCCTGTTTCCAACAAAACAGACAAAAACAAAAAAATAAAACAAACAAGCAAAATCAAAGGCATGGGGTAGCATTTCCCAACTCTAGTACTGCTGACATACTGAGTCACACAATTTTCTGTAGAGAGCTGTCTTGGGCATTGAGGAGCTTAACAGTCTTTCCAGCCTCCATCTACAATGGGCTTTTGGTTCCCACACCCAGTTGTAACTACTACAAATATCCACATATGACGTGGAAGTTTCTTTGGAAACTCAGCTGTGCCATGTGACTGTTTTTTCTTTGGGCCCCAAGTATGAGATGTGGGAATGTTTTTCTCCTTAGAAAAATAGCTCCCTTGAAAAGGTGAGTGACATTGATCAGCTGAAACCTTCCTCATGTGAGGGGTGTGGTTTTTACTTGTGGGGATTCTGAGAAGGGATATGTAGAAGCCCACACACAGACAGGGAAACAATGCTTTTGCATCTCTACACTTTGCAACAGCTTCATCCTTTGCTGCGGAGAGAAAAGCTTCAGAGACTTGCTTGTGCTACTTCACTTTGGCGACCTGTGCCCTTTGGGCAGAGTCTAGCTGTTTCTACTGAATCCTTCAGCTGCTGCTGCTGTTGACAAGTGTTGCAGTTGCTGCTTTGCTGTTTGATTAGACTGCTGGTATCCTAACGACTGAGTCTGGTAATCCCTTAAGGACCCATAAAACCTAATCAGCAGCAAGTAAAAAAATTCCTTTCCCTACTAATATCCTACCTAAGGGGTTGGGGGGGAGGGCTGGAAGGGAGGTAAAGACGCTTAAGAAGCTTTAATAAAATAGCCGTTTAAAAAAATCTAAGCTTATACATACACTTACTGTCAAATATCCCTGTAGTAACTGGTGGGCCGAATGAGCTGGGATACCGGCACTGAGGTAAATCTATGTTTAACTCCTTCAAAAATAACTACTTAAAGTGGAGCACAATGGTGCACGCCTTTAATCCCAGCACAGGAGGCAGAGCATCTCTTGGGCTTGAGGCCAACCTGGTCTACGAAACAAGTTCCTGGACAGTAAGGACTATACAGATAAACCCTATCTCAATAACTAATTAGGGGCTTAGAATGTGCCTCAGTTGGTACAGTATTTGCCTACCATGCACAAAAATCTGGTTTTGATTTCCAGCACCACATAAGTGGGGTGTGGTGGTAAATACCTGTGATCCCAGCACTTAGGAAGTTGAAGCAGGAGGGTCAGAAGTTCAAGGTTGTTCTCAACTACAGATTTGAAGCCAGCATGGCTTACATGAAATCCTGACTTAAAGAAAATTTAGACACACACACACACACACCCTTCTCTGTAACAACTCTTAAACAGCAATTAGGACATTTATTATTTCCAAATCTCTTACATATACTAAACAGAGAGTTCTTACCAAACTTCTTAGATGATTTAGGTCCAAACTTTTTAGCTGCTATTGCAGCTTTGTGGATCATATGTATCCTGAATCCTGTACCCTCAGATATTTTAATTAATTCTCTATGAATCTAAAACAAAAAGGTGAGAGAACCAGAGTTGTTAGGACATTAGAGCTGAGTGCACAGCTTCTTCTATGTCTTTACTATCTCTGTTATCAACACACAGACGAAACCTGCAGTGAGTTTCCTCAAGATCTTAACCTAGTCCATGAAACAAGAGCAAACCCCTTCCTTCTGCTGAAGCTTTTCTGAAAGCACTGTATGTGCCTTACTCTATACACTCGGACGGTGGAACTCCTCAATGAAGAGTTTCTACTCTCTCAGAAACTGCGGCAGTTTCTTTTCCTTTCCTGTTTTCAGACAAGGTCTCACTCCATAGCCCTGACTGGCCAAAAGCTCAGAGATCATCTAGATCCTCTACCTCTAGAGTGCTGGGACTAAAGCCACATGCCACCACAGTCAGCTGTTTTTTTTTTTTGAAACAGGGTCTTATGGAATTACAGGTGTGAGTCACCATGCCCAGCAATATTCCATTTTTCTAAATGAAAGATCTTGGAGCCTTTACAAAGAAGCGTAATTGCCAAAATCACATTTCAGAAAATTATAGATTATAGAATTTAAAAGAGCAGCCCACATGCTGTAATAAAGAACACTCTGTACAGGGCACCAGACCGTGACAAAAGACATTCTTTTGAGAGGTTTACCAACTTAAGCAAGAATGATAGCAAAGCAAACACCAACATTCTCTCAAAACTCTAAGTCATACCTGGCTGGCAAGTTCTCGAGTGGGGGATATAACCAGGGCTCTAAAGCCTTTATTTGTGGGTTGTTTCAGATGCATTAAAATGGGAATGCTAAAAGCCAAAGTCTTCCCGGATCCAGTAGGAGCAGAAGCCAGAAGTTCCCGACCCTAACAACAGATCACAGAAAGAACAGAACAAGTTCAACAAGTTTTCAGAGCCTGGTTAGACAATGTGAGCAGCCATGAAAACAACAAATAAAACTGAACGAAATAAACCCAACCCATACTCACCCACTTAAAACTGAATGAGGTAAACTCAACTGTTCACACCTACCCACTTCTATTATGCCTCATCCTTTTTTCCCCAACACCTCCCCCTCTCCACTGCTGCCTAACTGTTTCTGAGCACTGCTACTGATGTACATTTAAATGTTAAGCATCACGGACAACTAAACCCCAAAGAGAATCAGAACTATTACTTCAGGTTTTCTTTTCCATTAAACTCTGTTACTGAAGCACATAACACTATTGACCTTGTATCCTAGGATCTGTGCTGTACTGTTCAATTCCCTTGGGAAGATTTTATTAAATAACATGATGAGTGAAGGTTGGAATTAAAAAGTAGTAATGACTTAGGTGACAAGAATATTTATAGGCAATAATCTTCAAGGAGGTCACTATAATTTCTAAAGATTTTAAAGCTGAAACAATGGCAGAAATAACCTAAGAGGAAATTAAGTACAAATTCAATGTATGTGAGTCAATAATATCATTCAAATATGAGTATATTCTCATTTCAGTACACAAAGCAAAGAACTAATATAATGGGCGAAAAGGTAATGCATACCTTTCATCTACCTTAATTGAAGGCCAAGCTGATAATTTTGTAAATGGTGAGAGGGAAGGAGAGAGAGAAAGAGGAAGAAGAAAGGGAGAAAAAGAGCAAGAGGGGGTAGGAACTTTCACATCTATTTATTTACTGACTTATTTTTCACTGCAGGGTTTTTCTGTGTATCCTAACTATCCTGGAACTCACTTTGTAGACCAGGCTGTCCTCGAGCTCAGAGATCCCATCTCCCTGTGCCTCCTGAGTGCTGGGACTAAAGGTGTGAACCACCACCACCTGGCTGTACCATTGTTATGTTTTTTTAAGTCCTCAGAAAAATTTAAGTTTACAAAGATTTCAGCTAATTTACACTTTTATTAGTGACTCAATAAATACATTGTTAATATATTCATACAACAGAATGCTACTTAGTAGATGTGTTACAAGCTTCAAAAACATTAAGTAAAAGAAGATTAGTGACAGTCCTATCTGAATTTCTAGAAGTAAAACACAATATGGCAATCTGAATAGTACTTTTTTTTCTGGGTGGGGTAGAGTGAGGAATGAATGAACACAACAGGATTTTCTGAAATGTACAGCTCCATTGGAGAACAGTAACATACAGAGGTTACATACTGCTTAGACTAAACTGTGCCTAAAGTCTATGGGCTTTATTGTATATGAAAGATATTTCAATAATAAAGAGTATTGGGGGTAAGGGGAACTAAGCTGGATTACGTATAAGAACTTTAAAAAGCATTTGAATTGAAGATGAAACTTCTGGGCATTACAAACTAAGAATGAAAAGAAAACACAGTCGCCATGCCCAGAAGGTTTAAATCCTTCATGAAAAAGAAGAACTGAGTATCAGGCACAGTGGCACACCCCCCAAGTCTGAGCACTCTCTGGCTAAGGCAGTAGGATCATGGATTCAAGGCTATGTCAACACACACACACAGTACTGATGAAGGAGATGATGATATCTACTTGTGTTGAACAGGTTTTATGGGGGCTCAAGCACTTGAGCTTGACCTTCAAAGCAAATAAAGAATTTAGCAGGGGTCTGAGGGTGGAAAGGATTTCAAGGGGCCGGAAGAGACTGAGGACACGGGGGAACGTTACCGCACCCTAGATCTTCACACTCACATGCAGCATAACGGGAATGGCTTGCATCTGAATCGGCGTGGGTGCTTGGAAGCCTGCATCTAGGATGTTCTGGAGCAATCGAGAACTGATTTTATACTCTTTATCAAGTTGTTGAAATGTAGCAATTGGGTCAGGAAGATCAGTTCCTTGGACATGTATCTTGTGTTTGTTCCGGAAGAAGTTGATCTATAAATTGAAACAAAGGAGCCAACACGGGTATGGCCAAATACCAATCTTCATAGAAATAATATAGGAACAACAGGAAAAAAGGGTAGATTATTGAATCTACTCTTAATAGATCTTTGAATATTGATACAAAATTAAGGCTATATGTTGGTTACAGCATACTATATCTCAACTCTTCTAAGGTGTTGTACCTATGTAATTCTTAAAAAGAGTTGATACATAGTATGCTATAATCGAAATATAACCTTAATTTCGTATCAAACAGCAGTAACAGTTTTGGCATAAGCTACAGCAACACATGAAACTTTCTGCTTAAATTCAAGCCCCCAATCTGCACAGACACCAAGTACTTTTCATGATAGTCACAGCCAGAAGCCCCTCACAGATGACGGGATCCACCTGTCTGTGCTTTCAAGTCGAAGTCAGAAACGTGTTATGCACTGTAATGTGCTCCCATCACACCTCTGACTTAAGTAACTTTATAGAAACTTCTAGGAGGCGAGCACTACAATTATGTTTTCAAACTGGTACACAAAGGCCGGTGCTTTTTAGTACTTAAAAGTAAAAACAAGCCAATGAGGCTGTGTACTTAAAACTGAGTGCCAAGAGTGGAGTGGACTTTAGTGTTACTGACTGACAACTTGTTCATCCTCCAGCCCAGACAGTCATTTTGGCATCTAGGTCACTGAAGCACAGCACAATGGTCCCTGAAGGAAACACTATAATCTCCAACAACACAGTGGCAAGGGTACAGGGAACAATGGATCCATTGTTCTTTCATGTCCCATACCCTTACCACAAAGTACCTTCCTTAAGAACTTTAACCCTCCATAGGTGTAGTGGCATATACACGTAATCCTGACAGTTGGAGCTAGAGGCAGGAGAATCAGGAGATCCATGTAGGCCACATGAAATCCTGTCTCAAACAAACAACAAAAATTCTAACTTTGAAATCCCTGCCAGAGAAAATGCTTTTAAACCAGTAAGTTCAACACTGAAGAGAAAAAGGACCAAAATTTTAATTTATCAAAAGGAGTTAAGAAATTTGAATTAGAAAGTAATTTATTTTATGTACATGAGTGTTTTTGCCTGTATGTATATATGAGCACTGTGTCTGTACCTGATGCCTACAGAGGTCAGAACAAGGTGTCAGATTCTCCTGAAACTGGCATTACAGATGGTTTTGAGCTGCCTTGTAGGTGTGGGAACTGAACTCGGGACCTCTGGAAGAGTAGCCAGTACTCTTAACTCCTTCTCTCCACACCAAGAAACCTGAAAATTTTAATTCTAAGCATACTATTACTCTTGAAACTTGAGGTCAAGAATTGTTTAATATACACACCACGTATCTATAAACAACTGAAACCAGAACGTCTGATCTCTTTCTAATTGTAACCAAATACTTCCAGCATAGATGGCTACTGTCAGTCTTCATTAAAGTAAAGCCTGCACAAATGTAGTTACTCTTCCATCTTAACAAGATAAATCCATAAACAGAAGTCCAGGGAAACTCTATGTCCACTTTTGGGAGATGAGGTATTTTTCAAACCTTTTCCTTTCTGAGGTGTTCCAACTTTCCTGAGGTTAGTTTCTTTTCATCTTTGGCTTTTGTATCTTGAATCTTTGCTTCCACAGAGGACGTCCACTGTATAGTAGTGTCAAAATCTTCTTGAGCAGGAATTTCTGTATCTTAAAAATCAAAAGATACCAAGTGTAACAGTGTTAGGTGTGTCAAACTAGCTACACTTCACAGTAAGCCAGGAAAAGCACGAGCAGCTCCGACTGCAGAAGAAAGGTATCAGTGAACAGAAGGCTGGAAATGGGCGTATTGTGATGGTGGTATAGTCAGAGCTCTGACGCTCACTCTCTTCCTTTTGTTGGTTGTTTCAGTTGCGAACATCAAACAACTGTATGTGTCAAACAGGAGAGGAACTGAAAAGTACACAGGCACCACAGCAGCCAGCTTGTATCAAAAATCAAGTTAGAAAGTATTATGATGGGAGAGAGAGTTCATGGGCAATCGCAGTAAAACTACAATGCTTAGGGCTATCCAGTACTGGAAGACAGCACTTCTGCCCACATCCAGAAACAACACCGGCTCAATTAAAAGCAGATACAACTGTCTAAGTGACTAGATTAGCCGACTTTAATGTTTGTGTGGCAGAATATGTGAGAATAATCTAAAAAAAGATTCTGAGTAGTGAGCAGAGATCTTTAAGGACTATTTCATATCTTTTTACAGTCTCATGTAGCCCTGCCTGGCCCTGAACTACAGATCTTCCTGCCTCCACCTCCTAAGTGATGAGACCATAGGCAAGTACCACTATGCCTGGATTTCTAATTGTTTTTTAAAAATGTATGTGTTTTCTCTGTGTACCACGTGTATAACGCTAGGCAACCAGACAAGCCAAAAGGGGGTATCCCATCCTCTGGAACTGGAGTTACAGGCAGTGTGAGGTGCCATGTGGGTGCTAGAAATTGAACCTGAATCTTCTGAAAGAGCAGTCAGTGCTTTTAACTGCTAAGCCATCTCTCCAGCCCCTCTATGGAATTTTTAACTTCACCGAGACATAGCAGATAGGCAATAAAACTGCCCATGTTTTAAAGTATATATTGGGGGTTGGATGTACCTCAGCAATAGAGTACTTATTTAGCTGTATGTGGTCCCTAGTACACCACACGTGTGTGATAATATGCCTCGCCAATGATCTGTTTTGTTTTTTGTTTAGTTTTTAGATACAAGGCCACAAAAATTTAAACAAGTGATACTGCTATGAGAACACAGGATTATAAACGTGTGAAATAGAATAGAGTCCAAAGACAATCTTGAATAAAAAGTAGGAAATAAGTTCACGATAGAAGTTATATTTGAGTTGTATCTAATGTTACATGCCTGTAATCTTAGCACCAGATGAGATAGAGACAGGAGGATTTCAGCTTTCAGGCCTACTAGGCTACACAGTGAGACACTACTGAAAAACACAAAACTATGGGGGAAAAATTACTTCCCTGCTCATTCTCTCTCTTCTCTCTTGAGATAAGGTCTCACTATGTAGTCCAGGCTGACCCGGAACTTGTTATATAGACAAGAATTCAGAGATTTGCCTGCCTTTTTAAAATTTGTGTCATTTCTTTTTGAACAGGGGGCAAAGATTTCATCAACTTCCTTAAAGCTAGGGAAAGAGAAGACTTTTACAACGTAATAGCAGAAATATAGAAATATATTAAAGGTCCCCGACACAGACACTAATCAAGCAGCTAGGTACCAGCCCTACAAAATATACATTGTGTGCTACAAAGAACAAGACACTCTGCTTCTGAGTGATACAATGTTTATGGTAGATTATTCTATATCATCTAAATTTCAACCTACTTGCCAACTAAGTATCTGTTGGACACAGTCACACAAACACACAAAGTACACCAATATTTTATAACACTACCACAGCAGAAGTATGGAAATCAACTAAATGCCAAGCATAGATGACCTTGTAAAATCAACTAACTTTCTTTCTTTCTTTCTTTTCTTTCTTTCTTTTCTTTCTTTCTTTCTTTCTTTCTTTCTTTCTTTCTTTCTTTCTTTCTTTCTCTTTCTCTCTCCCTCCCTCCTTCCTTCCTTCTCTTTCCTTTTTCCCTTCCTTCCTCCCTCCCCCCTTCCTCCCTCCCTCCCTCCCTCCCTCTCTCTCTCTCTCTTTCTTTCTTTCTTTCTTTCTTTCTTTCTTTCTTTCTTTCTTTCTTGGTTTTTTGAGACAGGGTTTCTCTGTGGCGCCCTGGCTGTCCTGTACTTGCTTGGTAGACCAGGCTGGCCTCAAACTCATAGAGATCTGCCTGCCTCTGCCTACCTGAACGCTGAGATCAAAGGTGTGTGCCACCAGGCCCAGCTGTAAAATCAATCTTAAAGGTGGTCTAGATGGCTCAGCAGGCAAAGGTGCTAAACCTCAAGCCCAACAATGACACCAATGCCCAGAATGCACATAATAAAAGGAGAGAACAGACTCCTGCAGGATGTGCTCTCACCTCCACATGTGTGACATCGTCTGAACACATACACAGAGACACGTACAGGCGCACACAAGCACACACACACAAATGGATAAATATAACATTTTTTTTTATTTTGGTTTTTTCGAGACAGGGTTTTTCTGTGTAGCCTTGGCTGCCCAGGTTGGCCTCGAACTAACAGAGATCCGCCTGCCTCTGTCTTCCCAAGTGCCGGGTTTATATGCATGTGCCACCATACTGAGCTAATATAAATTAAAAAAAAAAAAAAAAAAAACAAACACAACTTAAATCAATTGTGGAACACAATGATACACTATGCTGTGTTAAAGAGAGCAAGTCAATGAACGTTCAATTCCGGAACGTTGATTCCGAACAATTCCAAGATACCTTGTTTTACTTTGTTTAAAAAAGGGAAGGCAGTGGTAAAAGGATTACCCTAAATTTAAGGCCATCCTGGTCTATAGAGCCAGCTCCATGCCAGCCGGGACTACATAGAAAAAGACCGCCTCAAAAAAGGGGAGGAGGTGAGAACAGGGAGGGGAGGAAATGTTCATAGCAGAATTTACATTTATAAAGAATATAAGCATATAAAAATAGTATAGCCATCTTTTTTTTTTGAAGAAAGGCATACATCAATGTGAATACAGTATCTTTAGAAAAATATAACAGAACTAAGGAACAGGAAATAAAGATTGGGAAATAAATTTACTCATCATAATGGTATAATTTAGGTATTTACTTCTTAAAAAGGGTAAATGGCTAGGAAACTTAATAGACAACACAGAAACACTCCTACAGAGCCTTTCCTATACAGGAGAGAAAGAAAGGGAAAACTATATAAAGAGATGTTCAAAGCCGGATGTAGTGGCTTGAGCCTTTAATCTCAGCACTCATAGGTCGTTAAAGGGTAACAGAGGGTACAGACTTGTCTCAACATCATCATCATCATAAATTAAAAGTTTCATGAACTACACTGGCAAAAGAAATTAGCATCAATAATAGAAGTAGGGCAGATGTAGTGGCTCATGTCTGTAACCCCAGCAACTGGTTTAATATATTATTATTGGGGGTAGGGTGGTGCAGTGGAAGTTTAATTCCTTTAAAAACTCAGTTATATTATATGAATGTTTTTGTCTTAATTCCAAGTGCAGGACCGCCTTAGTTCATCCACAGCTAGGAACAGCCTTCTGGGACTCAGAGAAGGACATGGGCTATGCCAGCTGATGACAGCCTGGAGCAGCTCAGAGAGGGAAGTGATCTTTGCTAGCAGAGAGGAGTGGGGGCTTGGACAAGACAGATGGAGAGGGAGAGAGGGCTTTGAAGACAATTAGAGGGCACAGAGGGCGAAAGAAAAAGGTTGCCACTTTATTTGCTGGTTATCTAGACTGCTGGATATCCTGTCTATGAGAATGCTATTGCCCCAAAAGAACCCAACGACCCTAACAAGCCGGAAATAGCTAAAGAGACTTATGCCCCTCTCCCTTCTAATCTTTCTCTCCTACCTAGGGTTGAGGGTTTGGAGGGGAGGTAGAAGCATTAAAAAACCCCACATAAAGAAGAGCCAAAACCTTAGTACCTACAGGGGGGTTGTGCCTCAGCATGCGTGCAGATGTCAAAGGAAAATATTGTGGGGTCAATTCTTTTTTCTTTTCTTTCGTATATATTATGTATGTATTTTGGTTTATAGATATGTAGTATGTATGTATGTATGTATTTTGGTTTTTCAAGACAGGGTTTCTATGTATGTATGTATGTATGTACATATGTACACCTGCATTTTGGTTCTTCGAGATAGGGTTTCTCTGTATAGCCCTTGCTGCCAGGCTGGCCTCGAACTCAGAGATAAGGCATGTGCCACCACTGCCCAGCTATACAGCCGTTTCTATCCTTTCACCTTCATGTGGGTTCTGGGGATCAAACTTAAGTCTCCAGGCTTCTGTGGCAAAAAAAAAAAAAAAAAAAAAAAAAAAAAAAATCTGCTGTGCCATCTCCCAGGCCTCCAACCCCAGCACTTGGGAATCCTGTCTCAAATAAAGAATCCAGTACTGACAGAGGTGTGAGAAGTCAAGTTTGTGATGCCTATTCAAAGGAAGTGTGCGTGTGCATACCCTTTCACAGAGAGCCTCCACTGTGGGACTGTTATTCTACAGAAACAGCAACACCCGAACAAAAGGCTATGCATGAGTATCATGGTAGCAGTTGATGGCTAGAACCTCAATATAATTCAAATGGTATGTGTTGTCTGACTTATCAGCTTTTACTATTTTGAAACTGAAAAAAAAAAAAAAAAAAGAAAGAAAATAGAAAGCTAACACTAACCTGCAATCATCTTCTTTCTCTTTTTCTTCTTGGGCTCCTTAGTCCTTTCCAACAGGCCCCCTTCTGTTTTCTCCTCATTTTGGAACTCTTGGTGTATTTGTAATGCTCCACTCTCATCTGAAACAGACTTCTTGTTTCCAAAGACGTCTAGTCCCTTCAGCACCTCCGAAGATTCAGAACCATATTTCCTTTTTCCTACCTAAAACCCCAAAAGTTTTAAATGAAATCTACTGCCAGGGCAGTGCTGTTTTCATCCAAACACGACTAGCAGTATGGAGGACATGGGTTCAGAAATTCATCTCTTTAACCCTTTCAACCAAGAATCTGTTGAGCTGAGCAGTGTGTTTAGGCAAATGGAACCAAAACGAACAAAAAACTCTCTCTGGCCTCCTAACAATAACAACAATGACAGCAATGAATATTTATATACACTTACTACGTGTCAAAATGTTTATTAGACATTAAATTACTTCATCCTCACACCAACCTACAAGGTTGAGCAGTGAGACAGAAGAAAAAAAAGTTCAGACATCAGCAAGTAACTTAACCAAGATCTCAAACTTATTCACCAGCAGACGCAGGTCCTAGGTTCAAATGTAACCACAGCACTGCAGCCAGGGCGAAGAAATACAGATACCGCCCTCCACAAAGGCTCTGTTCTCTTACGGTAAGGTTTATATTCAAAATATTCCACAAAAGAGCCCCAACTGACTTCCCTTCAAGCTCACTACTTCTAAAAACAAACAAACAAACAAACAAACAAACAAACAAACAAAACCCTCCCCGCATTTCAACACTCTTCTGGTTGGTGACTTAAAATGCCAAATGCCACTGTTTGGAGTGATGGGGGGAAAAAAGTCTTCCAGTACAATACAGCTATCTGCACACTTAGTCAAACCTGGGTAGGTTACGGTGGAAGCGTGTTTCCTCCGTTCGTTTTCGACATTCCTTTCCTCTCGTTTCCGAGAAGGGGCCTCGGAAAGGATTCCAACTTTGTAAGTAAAGGAAGAAGCCGGGAAAAAAACATGTCCGTGCCAGGCTCAATCGAGTCTACCGGGACTCAGAAAACAGCCATTCAGAAGTCTGGGGGAGGTCTGGGGTCAAAGGAGGGAAATGCCGGGGGTCGGAGCCGGGCCTCGAAGGATCCAGCGGCCCCGCTCTCCGGCTGGCAGCGGCCTCACTCTCCAGATCCCGCCCCTTCTCGGGTACTCGGCTCCCCGCGTACAGTAAGTACCTGGAATCGAGCAGCATCTGCCGAGAACCGCTTCACGTCGAACTTGGCGCCGGCACCGAGCCGGCGAAACAGATCATAGGAATCCATCTTTACCCAGAATGCCCCGTAGCCTCACAGCGCCCGAGTCTACAACTTCCTCTCCGCGACTGCTTCCGGACAGGCGGTAGGCGGAAGTAGCTCTACGAGGCGGAGCCTGGCTGTGACAAGCGTGGGGGACGGTTGAGTTGGGAATTCGTTCGCAAAATAGACCCTTCTTGTGCTAGGGAGTGTTCTGGACTTTCAGGGATAGTTGGATGAGCAACAGGCCAAGATTCTGCACTTTACGTTACAATCTAGCGGGACAGAGTTACTGTTAACCAGTTGCTGTAACTTAGAAAAACGAAAAATGCTGGAAAGCAAATTCAAAGATGTGATGGATATAGAAAAGAGTACTTTCAGTTAGATTGGTCAAATTCAAACAAATATTTGAACTGAGAAAAGGCCATTTTTCCAAGACATGGGAACATCATTCCAGAGGAAAACCCATCTGAAGAAGAAAAAGGGTTTGAGACATTGTTAGAACAGAAGCCATCATCCGAGTTGCTTTCCAGTGCCAAAGAAAGAAGGAAAGAGAAAAGAAAGAAAGGGAGGGAGGAAAGAGGGAAAAAAGGAAAGAAGATTGGAGTGGTCAAAGCTAAGCTTACAGATAAGCTTGAAGGGGCAAACAAACAAGATCTCAAAACTGTAACAAGGGCGTGGTGAGGTATTTGGATTTTAATGCAAACATGCTGCAAAACAAAAAATATTTATGGAAGGGGCAATGATCTTAGTTTATCACATATGATTTTTAGTTTCACCCTCATTGCTGTTTGAATTACTCAACTTTTTTACTTTTATATTGCCTCTCTTCTGGAATGTAAGTCCGTGAATGTGAAGATCTATGTTGCTTTACTGATATATATCTATACCTATATCAGTGTATATAGTATATATATATATATATATATATATACTATATACACTGATATATATACTGATATGTATATATATGTATATATATATACATATATATATATATGTATATATTCTGTATGCTCTCGATAAATGCTTGATGAATGAATGCGTGAAAGTGTATATGTGTATGTATGTATTCTAGTTATTTGGAGAAGGGACATAGAACAGGTAAGAGTGGAAATGGAGAGTAAAGTAGAAATGATGTTGCTTTTGTCTGGGTTGATGTCTATGCAAGTATGAATAGGTTGTATAGTTTGGGGATAGGGTTTGTTAATGTACCCGATGGATTTTGTGGGCGAGGAAATTGAATCAAAGGTAACTGAATACTAGGGTTAATGGCATGGCATCTACAGAACTAGGGATAAAGGAAGAACGGCCTTCTAGTGGGAGTGAGGCATAGCACATGGAGTTGGCATGTTCTGTAGACATGAGAAACGCTAGCTGAATAAGTGAAGACATCCAACTAGTTACTTGGACCTAAGAGTCTGAGGTTCAGGAGTGAAGGCGAACGCTGGAGAAACAAATCAGGAGACATATATATCGTACAGTGCATAGACTCACACCTCTGTATCGTTGCTGTATATCTATGTATGATGTAGGGAGGAGAGAGAAAAATGGTTCTAGTGAGACCTTCACACTCAAGTAGAGCCAATATGGAGTGAGCATGAGATGGGCATGGAAATCTCTTCACTGATTCCTTCTTAAAACTTACAGTGGGGATAGCTTGCTGTTTTGAATATATTTACTCCCCCTAAAAATAGGACTTCCAGGGGCCTGGGGAGATGGCTCAACTGGTAAAGACACTAACCTTGCAAACCTGAAGAGCTGACTTTGATCCTGGGAATCCATGCAAAAGACCAGATAAGGTTGTGAAGAAGTTTGCAGTGTTTGGCTTAGCCAGGGCCAAATTTTATCTAGGTAAAATACAGTGGTTATGGTCTCTCCCCTGCAGTTATAGCACCTGATGTTGACGGCTCACTACAGAGTTAACCTCCCAGGGGCTGAGAGAGAGGAGAGGAAAGCCCCGTGGATGGCCGTCCTTACTAGGAGTTAACATTACACCAATGACCCAGCATGCTCCCCTTCTCCTTTCAGATAATAGAGTTGTATTGCTTCTTGCAGTTGTAAGTTGTAAGTTGAATATATATATATATATATATATATATATATATATATATTCTTTACTTTAAAGGCCTGGAACTCAGTCTGAATCTTACAGAGATCCACCTGCCTCTGCCTCCCAAGTGCTGGGATCAAAAAGTGTGCCCCACCGCGTCTGGCCCATGTTCTTCTATTTTAGTTCTCTACTTACTGCATTGCACTTAAAGCTCCACATTGGTCCACAGTCTTTGAAGTTTCTGAGGCTGAGGCAATCCGTCATGCCTCTTCTTAATGCATTTGCTGAGCATGACATCTATTTCACATTAAGTGGTCAATAATTCTTTGAGTGTGTGTGTGTGTGCACACGTGTGTATGTTGTGTTCTGTGTGTGATCTGGTGTGTCTATGTGCTGTATGTCCAGGTTTGTGTGGGTGTGTGCAAACATGCATGTGGATGCACATGAATGTGTTTTGCCAGAAACAGACTTCAGGTGTGTCTCCTCAATTGCACTTTGTTTTTTTTTTCATTTATTAATTTTTTATTATATTAATTTTCTGTATGTATATGCATGACCTACAGTACATGTGTGGAGGCCACAAGACAATATGCAGGAGTTGGTTCTTTCTTTACACACTGTAGGTAACGGGAATTGAACTCAGGTCTTTAGGCTTGGCAGCAAGTACATTTACTTGCTGAGCCATCTCTCTGACCCTCCATATTTATTTTTAAGATTATTTTATTGTTTGAGTGTCTTGCTAACATGTATGTATGGGCACACATCTGTGCCTGGTACCTCTGAGGTCAGAAGAAGGCATTGAATTCCCTGAAACTGGAGTTATAAACGGTTATGAGCCAGTAGGTAGATGCTAGGAACCAAATTCCCAGCTTCCAGAAAAGCAATAAGTGCTCTTAATCACTGAACCATCTCTCTAGCCCCCACATTTATTTTTTAAACAAGATCTTTTACTAAACCCAACACTCACCCAATTGGCTAGACTTACTGGCCAATGAACTTCAGGAATCCATCCGTCTCCTAACCCACCTCCCATCCCCCCAATGCTAGGGCTATGGGCACCTGGAACCAGGCTTGGAATGTGGATTCTCTGGTTCTGAACGTGGTCCTCATGCTTGTATGGCTAACCACTTACCAACTGAGCCATATCCTGAGCCCTGTAAATCTAACTGAGCTAACAAAATGGGACAAAACACACAAAGATCTCTATGAATTTAGCAGTGGACCTATTTCTTTAGGCTGGTGCTTTGTATTAATAGATTTTGGCAGACTGAATGAATGAAGTCAAATGGGAGCAGACTTATTGCCTGCCTCGACAATGCCCAGCTGACTCATTAAGGGAGCGTTTCCTCTTGGGGGAAAAAGAAAACAAGACTATTTGAAAGTATCGTCAATAAATGTGAAGAGGAAATTGAATCATGGTTCTGTATAACTGGAATTTCTCCAAAACTTAGTATGATGTGATTGTTGGACACACATGGTTTCTCAACTGTAGCCAGTGAGAACACAAAGTCTGTGCAACACCGAGGTGGCAGCTGCTCGGGGCAGCTTGTTGTTATGAACAATGACCACTCCACGTCCTGGAGGTGTGTCTTGAAATATTTTTCCTCTTACACTCCTTGCTTATCATTCACCAAGCTCCAGCAAGAACGTTGTTTTTTTTTGTTTTTTGTTTTTTTTTTACAGTGTCCATCATAGCCCATGGCCCGGGGGTGGGGGCAGAGATTAAGTCGACCATCTTTGTTCTCAAGGAGTAGAGCATGCTAGAGATGTAGTTGAGCTCCAACAGAGCACGGCAATGTCCTAGGACTGGCAGCAGAAGATGTAGGGAGGGGAAGAGTTGTCACTGCGGATTGGGAGTGGTGGCATCGGCACTGTATGACATTAGGATGGGCTTCGTAGAGAAGATGAGGTTGACACAGCAGGCTAGGGATGTAGCTCAGTTGGTAGAAGGGTTACCTAGAATTTATGAAGCCCTAGGTTCAGGCCCCATGAACTAGTAAACTAGGCATGGTGTCACGTGCCTGTAATCCTAGCACAGAGGCAGAAGGGTCAAACGTTCAAGGTCATCAAGCTGGTGAGATGGTAAAGCACTTGCTGCCAAGCCTGATGATCTCAGTTCATTCCTGAGAACGCACATAGTGGGAGAAGACGACAGGTTCCCGAAAGTTGTCCTCTGCCCTCCACGTGCATGCTGGGGCATGTACACATTCACAATAAATAAATCTGTTGTGTTTTTTAAAATAAAGTCAAGGCTATCCTTGGGTGTATAGCCAGTTGAAGGCTAGCTTGGACACTACATGAGATGCTATCTCAAAAAATGTTTTTCAATAGATGTTGTGGTTAAATGTTTGATTAGTTGATTGATTGATTTGGTTTTTTTGTTTTTTGTTTTGTTTTTTCAGAGACATAGTTTGTCTGTGTAGCTTTGGCTGTCTAGGAACTCACACTATAGACCACCCTGGCCTCGCTCAGAGATCCACCTGCCTCTGCCTTTCAAGTGTTGGAATTACGGTGTTCATGGCCACCACCACCACCACCACCACCCAGTGGGTAAAGGTATTTAAATAGAGCAGACAGCTGCACTGGATGTACAGGGTCCTGAAAACAGCCTGGTGTGTTTGAGGATCTACTAATGTTTTCAGAGGAGCTGGAAGCAAGGACACAACAAAACTTGGAACTGGACAGGGAGGTAGCTACTTCCAAGTAAAGAGCCTTATGCACAGTCAGAGGCACTGAGAGCCATTCAGGGGTGATAAGCCAATGAGAGAAGCACTTTGCAATTTTAAGATCACAGCAGTGCAAAAGGGAGGCAAGTCCAGAGTCAAGGAAACCAGAGATGGCCCTCAAAGAAAGAAGCAAACCCAAAGCACATTAAGTACCAAGTGTGGCAGCTTGTGCTTGTAGTCCTGGCACTCAGGATGCCAAGGCAGGAGGATGGCTGTGAGTTCAAGATCAACTTAAGCTACAGGGTGAAACCACATCACTCATA